GCCAGTAACGTGGACAGGGAGAGGGTCTAGGGATGAAGCACCGACAGGAGACCAGTGATGGTAGAAGTCTCTACCGAGTCTTCCTTTATTGCTCCTTCATCTCTCCTTATATACTCTCCCCACCCCTTCCTCATTTAGCAGGATATTGGATACAGATGAGAACAATTAGTCTAGGTGTTTTTAGCCACAAGCCCAGTTCCTGTTCCTGCCCAGGTTAACGAGCACTATTCAACTCCTTAGCCCACAACATCAACCCCAACATATAGTTTAATTGGTCTTGCCTAGTCCTGGTTAGTATAGGAGCTGTGTAGTCATTGGGATTCCAGTTCTCGTTCTCTCCCTTTCTCTCTCTCCTTCTTGCTCTTTCTGGAAAGGTAGAATGACAGAGATAGTAGCATAGATAGATAGATAGACATCTTCCATCTGCTGCTTCCATTCCCAGCTACCAATAATGGCCAGGACTGTCCCAGCTGAGCCTGGGAATTCCATCTGGGCCTTCCATATGAGTAGCAAGAGCTCAAGAACTTTGAGTCGTCATCTACTGGAAGTTGGACCACAAGAATAGGAGGCAGGGCTTGAACCAGCACTCTGATACAACATGTAGGCATCCTACTTGGCAGCCTGAATTATTACATCCACAAAACCTCCCAACTTGTATCAAAAGTGTGCTGATTAAGTTGTGTGCAGTCCTGTTTCATGGTTTTCCCACCTGTTGGCGTAGCTCTGGCTAAACAAGCTACTGCCAACGCACTCCTGTTTCCAAGCTGCAGTAAGAGTTGAAGGAAGGTTGCTATGTCCTCTGGCTTACTCTCCTTAGCTGGGTATTGCTACATAACAATGCAAAGAGACCAGGAAATGCAGCGCTAAGTCTCAGCACTGGTAGACTGTTTAGGGGTCTTTTCTGGGACTGGCAGTTTGGTTTATTCCAAATAATTTCTTTTCTCTTGTTGAATTCATCACGGACTCATGAATTATATGATGGCATTATTTTTCCCAAGAGACTTTTGTGTTTCCTTTTTGTCACCCATGTGATGGTTACTCAGCGGCCCATTTTTTCATGATGCTGTAATTTGTTGTTGATGTTGTTGTTGTGGCTGTTCTAACTCATACCAGTTGTTGACCTTGTTTCATGGCTTCCCACTTATGGAAATGTAAGGTGATGCAGTACTAGGGTCTGTCATATACAGACATGGGTGTATAATGGAGCATGCATCCTTGCCTCCAGACAAAAGATGGATTTCCAGTGAAATTGTTGGACATGTGTAGAGAATGGGATGCTGGACTGTCTGACGTTGTCTGTACCAATGTCAGGGTACACTTAAATAAGAGACTGATAGAATTATGATTCCTTATGAAAGACTACACTATTGTAACAAAATGGGCAAAATCTTATGGGGTGGAAGTTTTGGGGGGAATTCCAGCCTGTACAATATTGTACCACATAATTCAAAATTTAAAATAAAATATATTTTTAAAAGATTCTGAGGAGGAAAAACATTGAGGTCTATGAGAAACTCTGCACAGTAGAAAGAGTGGATGGGAAATTTGTTAGGCAGCATCACTACAGTGAAATACCTGAGGCAGCTAACTTTACAAAGAGAAAGATTATACATTCACAGTTTTATTTGTTCAAATTGTAACCTCACACAGCCGTGTTAGTTTGGCCCCTGGTGAAGGTGGAGAATGGTGGCATGACAGGTCAAGGTGCATATTGTGGAGTAACTTACATCATCAAACAGGAGGTTAGAGACTGGATCCTACAATCCCTTCCAAGAAAATGCATGCCCCAAGTGACCAGAGAACCTCTCCCTAGCACTACCTGCAAACCAAGCCTTCACCTACGGACCTTGGACAGACACTCAAAATCCAGACCATGGTAGAAGATAGGACTGGAAAACTAAGAGATCTCATGGAGTGATGGAAGCCTGGATTAGGTTATAAGTCACTGGGGGGAGGCCAAGGAGTCAACAGGATCAATTTTTGGAACCAAGACAGGCCTTTTGTAAGCTAAGCCTTTTGGTGGCGGCATTATGACTTGACCAATAAAGCCACCACCTACTGTGCCAGCCAGCTTCCTATGTGGGCAGTGGTTTGAGTCCCAGCTGCCCCACTTCTGATCCATTTCACTGCTAATGCTCCTGGGAAAGCAGCAAAAGATGGCCTAAGTTCTTCAGCCCTGACCTGAAAAAACCTTCTGGTTTCCGTCTGGTCCTGCCATGGCCATTGGGGCCATTTGGAAACTGAACCAGTTGATGGAAGATCTGTAACTGGTTTTCCGATAAATAAAAATAGCTCTTTTTTTTTAAAGGTGACTTCTTTTTTTCTTAAAGCACATTTTGTCTTCACTACTGATTTGTTTTTTTAATACATATGATAGAAAATTTTGTCATTGCAACAAATAACACATTCACAGTGTTGTACAAATGTCACCTCTATATAGTAAAACTTATTCTGTACCTAAAAGAGTCCCAGTACCTTCCAGGTAGTTACTATACATTTCCTCTGTAGTTATGGTTGTACCTATCCTGGATATTTATGTTTGGTTTAATCCAGCATATTTTCAAGGCTTGTTCCTTTTATTACTGAACAGCATTGCATAGCATAGAAATATCACATTTGTGTATACTTTCATTTGTTTGTGGACGTATTAGTCAATTCCGTTTCTGAGCCAGATGCATTCTTCATGAATATTCTGGCTGCAGCCTTTGTCACACTTTAATGTATCTACTATTTGTCTTATCTTTTTGTACTAAGCTAGACCCAAGGAGGTCACAAATAGCAAATTCTCAAATCAGATATTTCAGATTATATCTAGGTAATGACAGCTATTTTCTTTATATTTATGCATATTACATGTTTATACTATGCAAATTTTTTCAATTGGGGGAAAACCTTTTTTTAAAGAATTATTTATTTGTATTGGATAGTCAGATATGCAGAGAGGAGGAAAGACAGAGAAAGATCTTCCATCTGATGATTCACTCCCGAAATGGCCAATCTGAAGCCAGGAGTTTCTTCCAGGTCTCCAACCCGGGTGCTGGGTCCCAAGGCTTTGGACAGTCTTCATCTGCTTTCCCAAGACACAAGTAGGAAGCTGGATAGGAAGTAGGAACTCCGGGACAAAAACCAGCCCCCCACCCGAGATCCTTGTGTGTGCAAGGCGAGGACTTTAGCTGTGAGGCTACCGTGCCAGGCCCAGGAGAAAACCTTTAAAAATCTTTTTATTAATATTCTCAGCAGCATGAATATTGGGTGCCAGTATTTTTCACCCGGGACACTTCCACTCCACCAGTTATAGTAAGAGTCTATGCACAGCAGTGGTTCTCAGATTTCAACATTACCTCACCTGATGGATTTACATGGTCCTGAGCCCAGAACCCCCGGTTTTGTTGTTGTTACTTCTAGATATTTATTTTTATTTGAGAAGAAGATTTAGAGATGGAAGCAGAGAAAGAGAATAAGGAAGATTCTTCAGTCTACTGGTTCACTCCCCAAATGGCCAACACGATCGGAACTGATTGTCCCTCTCCCTCCCCCTCCCTTTTTTAAAGATTTATTTATTTTTATTGGAAAGTCAAACATACAGAGAGAAGGAGAAACAGTGGCTGCCACGACTGGAGCTAAGCCAGGAGCCAGGAGTTTCTCCTGGATCTCCTGCGTCGGTGCAGGGTCCCAAGGCATTGGGCCGTCCTTGATTGCTTTTCCAGGCCACAAGCAGGGAGCTAAATGGAAGAGCCGGCACATGAAGTGGCACCCGTATGAGATTTGAGCACTTGCAATGGGAGGATTAAGCAGTTCAGCCATCGTACCAGGCCTAAGCCTGTTAGTTTTAATTAATATTGTACACATTTATTCCTTAGACATAAAAAGGTGCCAAGTGTTAGTATTTTTACAGATAAATAACTTTTTAAATAATAAACCACATTGTTAACTTAAAGAGCTGGTAATCTTGTCTTTTTAGTGGTAAGAGTAAATTATGCTTGATTCTTAGAACTCGGCTTGGAATGAAAACAAGCACCAGAATTTAGAGCTCTAATCTTGTTTTTGTTTTTTTTTTTAAGAGATTTATTTATTTGAGGGAACTGGTGGAAAAAAGGAAAGAAAGGAAAAAGAAAAAGAGATCTTCCGTCCGCTGATTCATTGTCTGAATTCAAACTACTACTATGACTTTAATATATCTTATAAGGATTTTGAAGACACTTACTGATTTTTTTAATTTATTTGCAAGGTGCAGAGAATGTGCATCTGTTTGTTCACATCCCCCAAAATGTCTCCAGTGGCCAGGACTGGGCGAGGGCTGGGCTGCATAGAAGCCAAGAGCCAAGAATGCAGTTCACATTTCCCATGTGGGTGGCTGGAAGCCAGTTACTGCTATCATCACTGCTTCCCAGGTCTGAATTGGCAGAAAGCTACAGGCAAGAACAGGAGCTGGTTATTGAGCCCAGAAACTGCAACTTAGGACACAGACATCCTAACCATCAGGTTAGACACTTGCCTCAGACCCAGTACTAACTTTGCAACATGGCATTATCCTGGAACAGAGGAAAAAAAGGACAGACTCAAGGCCCAGTATCTTCTGCCTCCAAATCTGCTTCCAAGTAGCAGGATCCCATATGGGCACAGTTTATGTCCTGGCTGCTCCGCTTCCCATCCAGCTCCCTGCTTGTGGCTGGGGAAAGCAGTCAAGGATGGCCCAAAGCCTTGGGACCCTGCACCCGCTTAGGAGACCTGGAAGAAGCTCCTGGTTCCTGGCTTTGGATTGGCTCAATTCCAGCCATTGCAGCTATTTTGCGGGATGAACCACTGGATGGCAGATCTTTCTCTTTGTCTCCTTCTCTCTGTAAATCTGCCTTTCCAATAAAAATCAGTAAATCTTAAAAAACACAAACTCACATTTCAGTGTATACATTTCGCTGGTGCCTGTGGTTCACTTTGCTGTGTAGTTATGTGTAGTGTCTTCTTTGCTCTAGTGGAATTGATCATGTAAATCTTCATTTCAGCTGATGAGTAAAGAATCCCCCGTCTCTGCTGGGAATGATGCCTACGTTGACCTCGATCGTCAGGTATGGCACTCAGATGATTTCTGTTTGTGCAATGTTGAGAAAAGATACACTTCAGACACTAATGAAAGTACTCTTCCATAACACTGTAAAATGATTTAACTTATCGTAATTCCTGTTTTTTTAAAATTTTTTCTTTTCTATTAGCAGTATATATATGCCACATTTAACACAGTAGTTAGGTACCTGGAGGATGGATATGTTTATTCCAATTTGTTTATTTTAAAGATATTTTAGCTATAACCATATTCTCTACTTGAAGATGTCCCCCCTTGCCTTACCCTCATCTTTTGTGAAGTTGTGAATTTTCTGCCAGTAGATAAATAAAATGCTGCAAGGGAATATAAGGGAGCAGCTGTAATTTTGAGGGGGAAGGGGAAATACTGCAGTATGTTTTTATACTTTTAGTGGAAAGTTATTCTATACTTTTAAATGTTATCTCTTCATAAAGTCCTGTTGTAGAAACTGTCAGTTTCTGTGATCAAACTATTCTTGGATAACTCTTCCATTATATGAAGAAACATGTTCATATTCTTAGTTTTCTCTCGTTTCGAATGGTTTTAAATGTTTTGTAGGAAGCTCTTCTGAGGAGCTGTAATTTTAACCTAGCTGGGATTTGTCATTTACTTACTTTGTGATATTTACTTTCAAAGTTGTACCATAAATGCATTTTTATATCTATAAGAGACAGAGTTTGATTTCATGAAATGAAGAGATTTTAATCATTTGTTCCATACATTGCTAACTTAGAATTTATGTAATAATAAGACACATGCAAGGAATATTGCTTTATATTGAGTATCAGAAGAACAAAACTCTTTTCTTAAAATGATGCTATGCAAATGACCATAAAGACTGGCTATGACTATAGCCTTATGTTAAAAAATACCAGCTGTTTACTTTTTTTAAAAATTATTAACTTTTATTTTTGATGATTTTTACATAGTTGATTAGGGTCAAGGGCTATAGGAAGGTGGGTGAGATCACCATTTCCGCATTATCTTTTTTTCCTTCCTGTATCCAGCTGTTTACTTTTACAGCTTGAAATCTCTGTTGCTCTAGTACATATATATTTTACCAAACTAAAATTTCTCACCTGCTGAATAACCAAGTAACAAATAATCCAGACAAAATATGTGTAACAAAACTTCATAAAGGAAAAACCAAATCAGAAAGACAGAAAAGACCAGATTTAGTGCTGAGGGAAACTTAACATTGAACATGCTGCCTGTGGACCTTTTCAGAGGAGCCCTTGATTTCTGCCTGCACCATCCTTCCAGAAAGGATTGGGAATGGTCTAATTGTGGTTTATACATATGTTATACACTAGTTATTGCTGCTTTGTACTGACCTACTTACCTCTTTGTTTCAACTAGTTGAAGAAAACTACAGAGGAACTTAATGAAGCTTTGTCAGCCAAGGAAGAAATTGCTCAGAGATGCCATGAACTGGATATGCAGGTAGGGAACCTGTTTTGTGTAGAGTGTATCTCTGTGTGTGTTGTGTGTGCCGTGCGGCCCAGCAGCTCTGACTGAGGACAAAAGGAAAGCTGGCTTTTGATTCAACAACGAGGACTCATGCTAAATGAATTAAAAAGGTATAAACCCACAGAAAAGGAGAGGCCAAGGAGGGGTATCTGCACAGGAAAGTCTTTGTGGTATTTCAGTATACTGACTCTCAGGAGAGTAGGGTGGTGTTTAAAACCTGGGTTTGTAGTGCTTGGCAGTTTCTATATGAATACTCTCCCAGTGGCTGATTTTGTGTCACTGATGGCTTACCAGCCAACCCCCAAGGCCCTTGACTATTTAAACTGTCTGCCTGTCTGCAGCCAGCTCCAGCACAACTGCCAGAGTGCTGAGTCACAGGGAGTGCAGTGACCAAGAACACCCAGAGAGGAATGGAAGGAGCCATTCACTCCCAAAGTGACCACAATAGCCGAAGCTGTGCCAATCCAAAGCCAGGAGCCAGAAGCCTCTCTCTTCCAGGTCTCCCATGCAGGTGCAGGTTCCCAAAGCTTTGTTCCGTCCTCGACTGCCTTCCCAGGCCACAAGCAGGGAGCTGGATATGAGGCGGGGCCACCAGGATTAGAACCAGCATCCATATGGTATCCCGGCAGTTGCAAAGCGAGGACTTTAGCAGCTAGGCTACCGCACCAGGCCCAAAATCGCACATGTTAATATTTCATATTTAGGCCTCCTCTCTGTATATCTGACTTTCCAATAAAAATAGAATAAATCTTAAAAAAAAATGATGTGTGATCCCTATTGGACATGCATGTGGAAGTGATACCACTTCAAGGTTGTAGGCCAGAGATAGGAATATGCTGATTTTCAGTGACGCAATGGTGTTTACAGCCATACACTGGAAGAGTGCAGGGGCAGGGGCTGATGGAGGACTAACCAAGGGGATGAAAAGGTGCAGAGTCCAGGAGAGTGAGACATCCAGGGAGGAGGATCAAGTGCATCAATCATGTTGTCTGATATTAGTGGTACCCAGGTTCTTAGTGGTTCTGGTAAGCAGCCTTGTGGAATGGGAGGATAAAATGGTCAGGAGAACGTGAGAGTTGAAGAGAGACCTTTACAGTCTTGTAGTGCTGTGTTTAAAAGCATTGTACATTGAGTACTGTTTCTGATGAGTGCAACATCCGGCTTCTTTCATTTTCATATTTATCTGTGTAATTGGTATCAACAGTTGTTTTCATTGCTGAGTAAGTATTCTGTTGTAGAAATACACTGCAATTTTCCTATTGATCCATCTGTGGATAAACATTTGAGTTGTTGCCAGCTTTGCTCTGTTCTAAGCAAGGCTGCTACAAGCCTTCCTTGTAAATCTCCGTGGGGGGTTTTATTTTTCTTGAGTAAATACCTAGGAATAGAGTGGCTGGATCAATCACGTGGCATTTGCACGTAATTAATTTAAAATAAAGATGAACTCTTGTATGCAAATATTAGTAACCTTCAAAAGGTTTGTGTGGAACATGCATGTTCTAGAAATGCTACTCATGGATTTCGTTTTTTACATCAAAATAAACCCTTAAGACCTTTGGAACTTAAAAAAAAAATTAACTCTTCCACAGTGTTCTGTGTGTTCAACAGTTGGAAATAATGTAATGTTTGAAGTGGAGATGATGGCACTGCATTAATAGGCTTTCCTGAACAGAAGTTGTCACTGGAAGCAATGACCACTGTCTTCCCCTTGGCGACAGGTTGCAGCCCTGCAAGAAGAAAAGAGTAGTTTGTTGGCAGAAAATCAGATACTGATGGAAAGACTCAATCAGTCTGACTCTATAGAAGACCCTAATAGTCCAGCAGGAAGAAGGCATCTGCAGCTCCAAACACAGTTAGAACAGCTACAGGAAGAAACATTCAGGTAAAGATCACTCATTAAAATCTAACTTGTAAACATTTGGTGACTGCCATTTGAAGTTGAAAATACAGTGTCAGTGCTTCTGGGCCCTTGCAGACGACTCTGGCTGTGTAGTACACAGCTTCCCCACGTCTCCATGCAGTACGAGGTAGCTTCATGACTAGGAGGAATTTTGGCATAGATATTGCCTCAATGTGACCTGAAGACAAATGTCCCAGCTGCAGATAATCTTAAGTGAAGGGAGGTAGCCAACACCAACCCTATTCCGCACACACCTGCCCCTCCTCGGCCGCCATGATGTTTGATAGGAATCCAGAACAGAATAGAATAACACTTGTGAAGGGGCCTAATAGTGAGTTGGAGTAATTACCACATAGGTAAAAGTCACTTCGAATCTCAAATTGTTTTTTTGGGGGGGCGGGCGGTGGGAGCAATTGCCAGAGTAGAGTGGAAGCTGCAACCTGAGACAGGGATCTCAGAGCAGAGAGATTTTTTTCCTTAGGATTTATTTGTGAATGTATGTATTTAATCTGAAAGGCAGATTTTTCTTTTAAGTTTTATTTTAGATGATATTTACATAATGATCAGGGTGAAGAGGATCAAGGGTTAGGAAAAGTTGTCACCTGTCATTGGTATGATCATTATTTACAAATTTTCTATTTCTTTCTGTATCTGGGAGTATGGGGCAGATGGAATAAACCACCCAGTCTTGCAACCTCCCTAGTCCCCAGAGATGGGGAACGGCCACCCAGTATTGACCCAGGGTCCCGATCCCGAAGTGGCGCACGCTCCAAAGGTTCAAAAGGCTTTTTTATCTTTTAACAGAGAAAGAAGGAAACACAGGTCTTCTGTCTGCTGGTTCACTCCCCAGGTGCTGGAGCTGAGCCAGGCAGAAGGTAGGAGCCTGGAGCTTCCTCTAGGTCTCCCACTTGGGGGCAGCAGCCCAAGGTCTCAGGCTGCAAGTGAAAAACTAGATGGAATGTGGAGCAGCCAGGACACACACACACAGTGACTGTATGCGATGATGGTGCCACAGGCAGAGAAGTGCATCTTCTTAAAAGGTCAGCTGCCACAGAAATATCCAGGCCAGAAATTTAGAGAAGTTGATGCCTGTTCCTGACACACAGGTCAGTGAGAAACCACATTAAGGAAGTCTTAGACTTCATTAGAGACAAGCTGACTTTAAAGGACAGGCAGGATTTCAAGGGCCAAGTCCTCCACATATAACTTCTGGAGAAATAAAAGACAAAAGAAAAGAAGTTTCCTTTGGCACTTGGATCCTGTAAGGGAATACAAAAAAGGAAGGAAATTCCATGTCTGTCTACAAGATAAAACAAAACCCCACAACTGAAGGATTTAGCAGTGTGATGAAGATATTTCGTTATTTTATTCCAATAAGAAAAAGTATAGTAAAACCTTTTTATTACCCAGCTGTAGGTTTCCAGCGTTGGCTAACATAGACCACCTCCAAGTCTCCATTCACTCGGAAGTTTGCAGTGAAGTTTCACTGGGGTAGTTGATCAATTTCTTCTGCCCTCCTTCCTCTGCAAACCAATGGGTGCTGCAGCCCAGCCCAACCCTGACTACCACACGCTTGGCCCTCATATACACCATCAGGAGCTGAAGCCTAGCCAGACTGACCCCCTAGTAATCCCTGCTGGACTAGCCTACAGGTCTGCTTCCTGTTCCTTCCAATATGTGCAGTGGACTGGTTCATTCAACCCCACATCCCATTGAGATCTCATATACATCATTGGGCATTGAAGCCTGACTCAGTCCAGCTGACTCCACCTTTCAGCCCACACTCATGCCAGCAGGTGCCACTGCCTGTCCAGCCAGGCCTGTCCCCAGTCCTGGTTTTCATGCTCACCAGTGGGAGTTTCAGCCTATCAGAGAGGTATTCACAGCCTCCCTACTGGACCCACTTCCTGCCCGGATCTTGCACTCCCCAGGTGGTTCCGCAGTCTAGCTCCACAGGATTTGCCCCTAGTCCCAGCACTTGGCAGCTGCTGCTGCAGCAAAGCCCAACCTGCCTGACCTTACTCTGGTTCATTCCTGCAACAGTGGATACAATCGGTTAGCCCAGCCTGGCTCCCCTGTTTTGTTTTGCTTTGCTTTACCCCCAAAAATTATTTCTTTGAAAGGCACAGACACAGAAAGATCTTCTACCTACTGGCTCACTCTCCAGATGCCTGTTAACAGCCAGGGTCAGGGCAAACCAATGCTAGGAACCTAGGATTCCATCTGCCTTCCCCACACAGGTGACAGGGACCCCAGTACTTGAACCATCACCTGCCCCTCCCAGGATGAATTTACCAGAAGCTGCATAGGAAGCAGCAATGGAACTCCCAACCCAGGATCTCTGAGATGTGAATGGCCTAAGCAACATCTCACTGTGATTTTTCTTGTTTGGTTTGCTTATTTTTATTTGAGAGGCAAAGAGACAGAAAGCTCATATCTACTGGTTCATTCCTCTTATGCAGGCAATGGCTGGAGCTAAGCTGGGGCAGGGTGTTGAAATCAGGTACTTGAAGGTGGGATGTGGGAGATCCTATAGACGTTCTGAGCTCATAGACTAAATGCCTGCCCCAGCAATATAGTTTTTTATTCTCATAACACAATTGATTTATTGCTGTTATCTTCAGGTAACTAAGGGAGGAAGGCTTGAATTTTATTGTTTTAATTTCTAACAAAGTAAATACTGATAGAAGAAACTCCTAAAGACAGCTTTTTGGGTTCTCTGTAATTTTTAAAGTATGAGATTACCCCATACTCACTTGATTTGGTAAAAAGAATCATAGGGTGGCTCTTATCCCAAACTGTGGCTCATTTTAAAATTAGTGTTTAGGGAAAGTGGTATTAAGGATAGATAGCCTTAAATCATATTATGAAGGAAATAGTGCTTGGTGCTTCAGTGTATCATTTTATTTGAATAATTTAATTCAGAAGTTATATTTGTATTTTTAAGTTTTTTTTCTTTGGAAAGTCAGATATGTAGAGGGGGGGGGAAGATCTTTCATCCAATGGTTCATTCCCCAAATGGCTGCAATGGCCAGAGCTGAGCCAATCTGAAGCCAGAAGCTTCTTCTGGGTCTCCCATGCAGGTGCAGAGTCTCAAGGCTTTGGGCCGTCCTTGACTGCTTTCCCAAGCCACAGGCAGGGACCACAAATAGGGAACTGATGGGAAGCAGGGCTGCCAGGATAGGAACCGTCACCTATATGGGATACTGGTACATGCAAGGCCAGAACTTTAGCAACTAGACTACCACACCAAGCCAGCTCTGGCTCATCTTTATTAAGATTGTGTTTGCTTTTACTTACTATTTTTTAGAACCTGTGGCTTTTCAGATTTGAATTTCGTAGATAACTTGTGTTATAAAGGGACAGTGCACCGCGTTAACGGAGGTACATGAAAAACACTGAGAATGTTGCCTGGCTAGTGCTGTGTAAGTTTTAGCTGCTATTGCTACTTTTATAGAAAATGAAATAAAAAGAAATGAAGCAAAAATGTTGGAAAGACAAAAACTAAGCAATTATTTTCTACAGATAGTATTTTTTTCTTACCTAGAAAACGTAAGGGAATTAAGTGAAAAGTTCTTTGACCCAGTACACACTTAACAGGGGAAAGAAAGCTAGCTGAAAGACATGTTACATACTACTTTTCTAGCAATTGCTGATCAGAATAATTGGCAAAATCTTACGTTATTAAATAAATGAAATCCTGAAAATAAAAAAAATGTTAAAATGTTAAAAATACATAAAACTTTTAAGTTACACATAAAAATATTATATGGATAGAATAATTGTAGTCTTACATGTTTTTAAAGGAACATTTCAAGGATATTGTTTTCTGCTAACCAGTCTAAAGTTTGTTTAATTAAGGTACTAATAAGCAAAATTCCACCAGACATTTTGAGAATAGTGAACTCTTGCCATATTCAATGTGGAAATAAGTTATAGGCCTCTTATAATTCAAATAAGTTAGTACTGATACAGTGAAATACCACAGAAATTGATACAAATGTATCTAACTGTATAAAAATGTGTAATATGACAATGGAAGCATTTTATCAATAGGAAATAAATAGAATATCTGTTAAATGAATTCTGATAGGTATCACAGCAAGGAAAATTAAATTCCTACATTCATTGTATATAAAATTTGATGTGGGAAAATTTGAATTTTTAACATTAAGGTGAAGCCATTAGAATTACTAACAAATTTGCAGTTAAAAGAAAAAAGTGTCAAGTATGACTTAAAAGCAGAAAGACAAATTGAACTAATAATAAACTACTGAAGGATATACATTAAATAAATAAAAAATAACTAAGATTTAATTATTGAGTAAGTAAATTGGATAAAATATTTGCAACATGAGAGACAAAGAACCTTGTAAAATGAAGGAGGGACGTATGTTAAATAGACAAGCCAGTGAGTAGGTGGGAACTGTACTGTCCATGTTGTACATGAAAACAGCAAACAGAAATGAGCCTGGAGAATACTCACCAAAAATGTAAGTAGTAGTTATCTCTGCGGATGAATGAGTGATTTTTATTTTCTTTCCTGTATTTTGACAGCTTTTCAACAGGAACTTGTATTAGTGTCATAGTAAAAAAATGAACCTTAAATAAATGACATTGAGTAATATTTTGAGAAAGCATTACTTGATGTCTAGCTCTTTGGTGGTACGCAGGCGTCAGTTGCCATCTTTCCATTCCTGGCAACAGTGCAGCCTTTGTCCTGACAGGGCAGGCTTGGGACGGCAGCTTGTGACCACCCAACAGAGTATGTTGATGTTTCCTGTTGTTACTTTCTGTGACTGTCGTGAGAGGAATGATGAGAGTGTAAACAGTGCCGGCTTGATCCGTGCTGTGTTTGGTTACAGACTAGAAGCAGCTAAAGATGATTATCGAATACGCTGTGAAGAATTGGAGAAGGAAATCTCTGAACTGCGACAGCAGAATGAGGAGCTCACCACGCTGGCAGATGAAGCCCAGTCTCTGAAAGATGAGATCGATGTTCTTAGGTGAGCCATCTCCCGTTAGGGCGGCGGCTCGGCCCCACCTGCCTGGAAGCCACACTCTCAGTTCTGTGACTTCCCTGGTGTGCAGGAGCCAGACACCTGGTTCCCAGGTCTTCCATTTAATCTCTCATCTGTGAGGCAGAAATCATGTACTACCTGCCTGAGGTTTCCATGAAGAATTCTGTGGGTGTTTGTCTGCAAGCACTGGGAAGGGAACCTGCAAGCAAGTGTATTTGTTAAGTAGAAATTAATCTCTGGCCATCACTTCATATTTACATAGCTTTGTAGGCTCTTTGTAACTGTTGTACCTCCTGTCACCAGGTCTTCCTTCCCCGTCCCCAGTTCCTCCAGATGCTTCTTTGCTTTGGTAGATATTCTTACTCCTTTACTCTTTGCTGCCTCTCATTTTCCCATTGTTCTACTTACTGTATAGTCTACTCTCCTCCTTGGGGTCCTTGGAAACCACCTTTTTCTTCCACTTTGCTCTTGCAATACTGAGAACAAATTATGGAGTAAAGCAGTTTTGTCCTTCTACCTGTTAATGACCTTTGTATGGGGTTCCTACCACAGGCTCCCCACTCTGCTTCTGCTTTGTGGGGAGATTGATTTTGCATTTTCCTCATTATTACTGTGTTTCTTCTGCTTTTCTCAGCTGACGGACCGCCATACCACGCCTTCCTCAGGCAATGCACTGCTGACTCTCGGAGCCTTTGTCCCCCATGCTTCCAGGCACCTCTGTGCAACCACTTGCCCATTTTCATTCTAGCTGCTTTAGTATAGACCTGTTAACCCTCCTGTCCAGGCTACCCTTCTCATTCATGCACAAACACATGTAAGTCTGTTTAACCGTAAGGAAAAAAAAAATGAAAAAAAGGAAAAAGAAAAGGGAAGAAAGATTGATTTATCACTCTTTTTTCTCCATAACCAAATGTGAAAGTGCTCGTCAGAGTTGTTCCTGTATCTTCCTGGCCGTGTCATTTAGACACCACACACTTTTACTTTTGTAGTAAATGTTACTGTGCTGGCTCCCTCCTCGTTGGTTTCCTACATTCTCTGTTACACATTGTGCTACGATTTTGGACATATTTGGGGGGACTTTTGTTTTAATTCTTTTAATTTGTTTAGAATGAGCAGATTTGACATTTTTCATGATACAGATACAGACTTGCAAGCATAGAGCAAGCATACCCTCCCTGCCCTGCCTCTTCCTTATCTCCTCACTCATTTTTTCCCAGATTACAATAGCATATTCATTCATTTCACAATAACAGGTATAACTTTCTGATATTTAAAGGTATCATGACATAGAAAATAAAAGGAGAGAAAAGGGGGAAAATATGAGTACATATAATAAAAGTAATCTAAAATGAAAATGAAAGTCCTGCTGTTACTTGTCATATAGACTGTCGCTGTACACAGCAGTTAATTCCCAGCATGCTGATCTTACTCATAAAGATTATGTTTATTGTGCTTTGTGTATAGATCAAGGAGAACTCAAGATATTTATCTTCTTGGGACTGCCTTATTTCATTAGGCACAATCGTTTGCAACTGGGTCCATTTTATTGTGAATGATAAGAATTCCTTATTTTTTATGGTTGGGTAGTATTCCGTAGGCATTTTCTTTGTCTAGTCACTAGCCAGTGAGCATATGGGTTGGATCCATATCTTAGTTATTGTGTATTTTGCTGCTCTAAACATGGGGTTATAGATAACTCTCTTATGTGCAGATTTCATTTCTTTTGGATATATTCTCAGGAATGAGATAGCTTGGTCATATTGTGGATCTGTTTTCAGATATCTGAGGATTCTCCATATTGATCTTTTATAAGATTTATTCACTTCTATTGGAAATGCAGATGTACAGAGATAGAGATGCAGAAAGAAAACTCTTCTATCCACTGATTCATTCACCAAGTGACTGCAGTGTCGTCCAGAGCTGAGCCAATTGGATTCCCCAAGAGAAGAACTTCTTCTGGGTTTCCCATGTGTGTCCAGGGTTCCAAGGCTTTGGGCCATCTTCTGCTTATTTCCCAGGCCACAAGCAGGGAGTTGGATGGGAAGCAGGACAGCCAGGATAGAACCTGTGCCAACATGGGATCCTGGTACATGCAAGGCGAAGACTTTAGCCATTTGGCTGCTGCGCTGCGCTCCCTTTGCCCTTTTCTTAACTGGATTGTTTGTTGTTGGATTTTGAAATTTGCTATAGTCCTGGATGTTAGTAATTTTGTTTATATTTAACCTGAGAAAAAATGATCTGTCACCACTTAGGATCTTACAATGTCGTTAGCCCATGTTCTTTTCTGACAGCATTTCTTGCTTTAGCACTGCCTAAAGCAGTTTTGTAACTATGGATGTTCTTATAGCTTAATTTCCTGTCTCACTCCAGGCATTCATCTGATAAAGTTTCTAAACTCGAAGGTCAAGTGGAATCATACAAAAAGAAGTTAGAAGACCTCGGTGATTTGAGGCGGCAGGTTAAACTCTTAGAAGAGAAGAACACTATGTATATGCAGAACACTGTCAGTCTAGAAGAAGAGTTAAGAAAGGCCAATGCAGCAAGAAGCCAACTTGAGACATACAAGAGACAGGTAAACAAACAGAAACACTATTTCTTGACGATATTAAAGTAGGTATGTCATTACAATAAGTGGCTTCTCGAAACTCCGACTTGTTTTCATTATTCTTTACTTTTTCTTTATTATATAAGGAATCTTCAAAAATTTTGTGTAGCAAAACTTTATCCATTTTCCCATTGAAGGTGTTGCACCTTTGTTGTAATATTAAAAGAAATATTGTTGTGAATAGTAGTGAGCATGTGTTCTCTTCCATCTATGTTTGAAGATTCTATGGAATTTGTCTATTAGAGCATCTTCCGTGTACTGAGATATTCCTCTGTCTGCGTTTACATGTTGCGCTCCAAGTGTTTATATCACATCCGTGGATATAAACTGGTTTCTCCTGTGATTATATTTTGCATTATCTTGATTACAAATTGTCTATTTTCATGCTTTATGTGATTTTAAAATTGTTTCTTTTTCCTACTGATTTCTAAATCGTCACTTGCAGATTTATGACCTTACTTTTACTTCTTTTAAGGGTGACGATTTGTGTGCTTTTGTGCTTGTGTAAGAAATCATTTCCAGGGGTGGGGTTTGGTGCAATCTGTAAGATGCGCACAGGGACCTGCATATCCCATATTTGCATCGTTGTGCTCACAGTCCTGCTCTGCTTCCTGTCCCAGTTTCTGCTGATGTGGTGGCTCAAGTCACAGAACCTCTGTCATGCATGCGGGTATCCTAGAGGCATTCCTGGTCCCTGGCTTTGGCCTTGTCCAGCCCTGGCTGTTGAGGCATTTGGGGAATTAACCAGCAAATGGGAGCTGGCTTGAGTCTGCACACATGCTCTCTCTGTCTCACTCCTTCTCTAATTAACTAATTATTTACTTTGAAAAGATTTTTTCCATTACAATGCTGTAAGTCTGATCTCTGTTTTCATTGCAAGATTTTAAATCTGCTTTTAACACTTAGCTTTTTAGTCCTCCCTAGGATGGATTTTTGTACATGGTGTGAAAAGAAATCCATTGAATACTGGTTTTGTCTGTGTGAATAGTTAGTTGAGCTAGCACTATTTATGTAATAGTTCATTCGGCCACATAGCTTACAGTGCTACTTTCTATGAAGGGCTCCAGAATGTTCCCAGAAAACTCATATTATGAAAGTCCTGCATGGTTTTCAAATTTTTGGCCCTAAAATAAATTTGTCTTTTAGCTCCATGTTTCTGCAATCTTGAAAAAGGGGTGTGTATGAATGTATGTATGTATGTATGTATATGAGAAACAAGCAGAGAGGGACAAACAGAACTCTTGCTGCTTCATTTTCCAAATGCCTAGAATTGACCCCAGGCTGGGAGCCACAGCCAGGAAGGTGGGACCTAGCCCAGGTCTCCCCCGGGGTGGCAGGAAACTAGCTACTTGAGCCATCTGCGGTCCCTCTCCAGGTCTGCATGAACACAAAACTAAAATTGGGAACACACCCAGGTATCACATCCAGGCACCCTCACTGGCATCTCAACTGCTAAGTGAACACCGGCCCCTCTGTGAGCTGTTAGAAGTATTTTTGCATACATTAACTTTCTGTGTTATGTGAGGATTTGTTTTGGAACTGTTCTATTTTCTTGGTTTACTTGCTTAGTCTTAACCAGTACCACATTTTTGTGTATTTTCTGTAGATTTTTAGTAATTTTGACATTTGGAATACAGTTCCATGAGCCATTTTCTTTTGCAAAAGTGTATTCTTGGTTTTTGCTTTTCTTTTAAACACAAACATTCTTTGGGAATTGGACTTACGTAGAATCTGTTTACAGTTTGGGAAGTATTAACATCTTGGTGACAATGAATGTTGCTGTCTGTGAACCTATCTTTCCACTTACTTAGATTTTCAGTATCTTTTAATTAACTTTTATAATCTTCTAAGCATAACAGTTGTTGTATTACTCTTAGGGACTTAGCATGTTTTGGATGTCTTGTAAATGCAGTTTAAGAAAAATAGCATTTTGAGTTTGTTGGTCTAAGATTTATTTATTTTGCTTGAAACAATTAAAGAGAGAAGGGGAGAGACAGAGATTTTCCACCCACTGGTTCACTCCCCAGATAGCTGTAATTGCCAGGTCTGGGCTGGTCCAAAGCTGGGAGCCAGGAGCTTCTTCTGTGTCTCCCATGTGGTGCAGGGGCCCAGGTATTGAGCCATCCTCCACTGCTCTTTTGGGTGAAACTGGATGGGAAGTGGAGTAACAAGGATAGGGACTATAGCCCACTGGGATACCAGCACCACAGGCAAAGGATTAGTTTACTATACCAGCCCTGTTGTAGGATTTATTCTCACCTTATTTCCAGCTTCTTTCTTAAGCAAATCTTGGATTCAGTCAGCTAATTTTCCTATATACTTTGTGTTAATATGATAAATCATTATTGGTAGATTTTTTTTCTAAGCTTAAACCTGTATGATTCAGTGGAGATAATTCTGTTTTATCTGCTTTTGCAACCAATATTATACCATCTTGATAAAGTAAATTGGAGTTGGTCTGCTGTTCTCAGAAAAATAAAATTGTATAAAACTTGAATTTTCCTTTTATGAAGTTTTAGAACAGCCCTGTACATCATGAATTGTAGGTGGTGTGTTTTGATGGAGATATATTTTTTCTTCTGAATAAATTCTTATATATAGCCCAAAGCAAACTATTAACAATATTAAAAGTAAAATTAAAAGAATTGATAGCATTGAGTATGAACTGAGATGTTACCTACAATAGATATAGCTACAACAGAAACTATAAATGTTATTAGGTGACATGAAATATAAAACAAAACATTTGAAAGAATTGGTGAGATATAGTTGAAGGAACAGCTGGCTGGACATTTTTGAAAAGTAATGAAGGATATCAGATTTAGAATTTAAAAAGAAATCTAGGAGCCAGCATGATGGCATACCAGACTGAGCCATGGGCAGCAGTTCATATGCCAGCTGCTCCACTTCTGATCCAACTCCCTGTTAATGCTCCTAAGAAATTAGCAGAAGATAACCACGTGCTTGGTCCCCTGCACCCACACAGGAGACATGGAAGAGACTCTAGGCTCCCAACTTTGGACTGGCCCAGCTATGATCATAGCAGTGGATGGAAGACCTCTCTTTCTATCTTTCCCTGCCTCTCTGTAATTTTTGCTTTCAAGTAAAATAAGTAAATCATTTTAAAAACTGATGCACCAACAGTATTGTAGTAAAACTTGCATAATGCATGAAAACTCTGTACTTGGTACTAGTGCTTAATAGACTTTATGTTCTTTCCACCAGTTCGCTTGTGTGTCTTTCAAACCGCATGATTGTTTTTATAATCTCTTACTCCTTTTTCATTATTTCACTTTTTTAAAAAAAATTATTTGAAAGACAAAGTTACACAGAGAGAAAGATTTTACATCTCTCCTGGTTCAGTCCCCAAATGGCTGCAGTGCAAGCTAGTAGCGTCTTCCAGGTCTCCCAACAGAGTGGCAGGGGCCGAAGTGCTTGGATATCCTCTGCTGCTTTCCCAGGAGCATTTGCAGGGAGTTGGGTTTCATGTGAAGCAGCCACAACACGAACCAGCACTCATTTGCAACGTCAGCATCACCACACACCGCAGTTCCTCCTCTTTAACTTTTTAAATCTAGTATCTATACATGTGTACATATTTTTAAATTTGACAATTCCAATATGAAATACTTTGAGACCTTATTCTGTTCTCTTGTTTCTGGTCATGTTTTCTACTGACTAGTGCAATGCTGTTTATTTCCCTGTGGGCCTCTGTAGTGCTGGTGTTTGCTTTTATCAATTCATCTTTGTCTTTGGGTATCCTGAGTTGAGGTTGTGTTTCTGCAGATCATATATGGAGTTTGCTTCTATCAGATTTTCCGTAGCATTATTAATCAGGATCACTTTAATTGTTTGGTGTAATTTTCCCCAGACAACAGTTCTAAAAATTTGAACACAAAATCTGTGTACTAAAAGGTCATTGTTAGATTTCCAGTTTGTACTTTTTAAGCCCAAAGTACGCAGTTTTCTTTTTCTGCTGATATATTTCTTCCCTTAGCCTCACCCTTTTTCTGACCTTTTAGATTTCCTGGTGATTCAACAACCACCTGTCTCCTAATAAATGCCTTGCAAAGTTTGGAATCTGGCACCTCTTGGTACCCACAAGAGTCTGTGTGAACTTCTCGCTCAGAGTTTAGCCTCTGTGGATTTCCCTTTCGTGTGAATTTAGCTGTACAATTGGATATCTTCTCTTCTTAGGATTTCTTGTTTTGTACAAACAGGATCTTTGAATGCCCAGTTATCTGTATTACTAGAAATAGAAGTCCTGTATATATTCTTTTTGTAAAAATATAATTTTTGTACATATTTATATATTTGAAAAAATAATAGAGAGGGAAAGACAGAGAGAAAGATCTTTCGTTTGCTGATTTCACTCCCAAGATGGTCAGTGTCCAGAACTGAGCCAGACTAGAGCCTGGAGCATCTTCTGGGTATCCGACGTGGGTGTGGGGGCCCGTGGAGTTGGGTCATCCTCTCTTTTCCAAGGAGCTTTATCAGGGAGCTGGAGCAGTAGTGAAGCAGGCAGGACGCAAACCACCACCCAGATGGGATGCTGATGCCACAGGCAGTGGCTTTCCTTGCTGCACCACATCATGAGCCCCTCTTACAATTTTGAACATTGTTATTCTAAATGACTCTGGCTTTTGCTTCCTTCATGTCTCCACTGCATTAAATAACTGTATTTTTATGTGAGTGTTAGTGAAGAGGGGGTCTTTATAGACCTATAGAAGAAAATAATGAAAATTTGTTACTTTCCAAATTATAAGATGTAATCATGTCTTTCTGTATCAGGTAGTAGAACTGCAAAATAGATTATCTGAAGAATCAAAGAAAGCAGATAAATTAGATTTTGAATATAAGCGGCTAAAAGAAAAAGTTGACAGTCTTCAAAAAGAAAAAGATGTGAGTATGTGTAACAAAATACTTTAGTTTTGAACACTGCTAAAATTAGGATAGTAATGATTCATCTTTTGACTATCCATTCTATTTGTGATAGAAACAAGAGAACCTGTGTATTTTTTAACAACAGATTTCTCCTTGTGTTTCTAAAATCGATTGAAAATAAAAGATATAAAAGACTTTCTAGTTCCATTCTGACATTCTGATTGCTATTTTTTTTCTTTGTTTTTATTGGAAAGTCAGATTTACAGAGAGAAGGAGAAACAGAGGTCTTCCATCCACTGGTTCACTCCCCAAATGGCCTCCACTGCCTGAGCTGAGCTGATGCAAAGCCAGGAGCGAGGAGCTTCTTCTGGGTCTCCTATGTGGGTGCAGGGTCCCAAGGCTTGGCCCATCCTCTGCTGCTTTCCCAGGCCACAAGCAGGGAACTAAAAGGAAGTGGAACAGCTGGGACACAGTTGCTCACATGGGATCCCAGCACTTACAAGGGGCATATTAGCCAACTGAGTCATTGGCCCGGCCTCTCCTTTTTATATGCCAATATTTTCTGCTGCTGTTGTCTCTTTTACATTGTTCTGCCCATAGCTAGATTTGTGTAACTCTTCGTTTTCTGTGTCAATATGGAAGATACTTTTTTTGTTGTTGATTAGAATATATTGAACTCTTTAAAAACACTCTTACTTTGTCATTTTTTAATGAATACTAAAACTATCCTTTTGATTTTTATGTTTAATAAGAAAAACGTTAAGAAATCAGTTATCCTGGAGACCTAACTATAATTAGATAAATTTTGGATTAAATCATTAATTTACTTTTTTTTTTCTTCAAAAGAAAAAAAGCCAAAACTTACCAGAACAGTTTCTTTTGTTTGCCTTTGGGTAGCATGCTGCTTTGTACGTATTGTTTAGTGTTGTTAAATGGGCAAAGCAAATTAAATTTTTTTTAAGTAATACATTTTCTTTACATTGTGGTCCTTCATTAAGAGATGGAAAGGTAAAATATGTCTGTGAGCACTATCACTTAGCATTTTGTTTGGTAAGATGGTAACCACTGCAGAACCTTTAACACGTAAGACTAACCCTGCTTTTATGTTCCTGCAGAGACTACGAACAGAAAGGGATTCTTTAAAGGAAACCATTGAAGAGCTTCGGTGTGTCCAGGCTCAAGAAGGGCAGCTCACAACTCAAGGTAAGCTCATGCTGCTAGCTTCGTGAAGACCTTAACAGGCTTCACGGAAAGTAGAATGGAAAGATGATCATTTTGCTGCAAAATTTTTTTTGAAATCTGTACATATGGGAGCCTCCATGAACTTGATAAAAAATGTATATTATGAGAAAACTACATTGATTTCAAAATTGTTACAATAAAATAAACATCTTTTTATTTTTCCATATACTTTTTAAAGTTGCTTCATATTTCTCGTGGTACCAGTTAGAATAAAATATTTACATTAAAATTATTATACCAGTAGATTGACATGAACAAGTGGTAGGAGACAATAAAATCTTTTTAGCTATTTCTGGGCTATAGTTGTAGAATTGGCTTTAGCTGCTCAACTAAAGAGTATTTTCTTTTTAACATCTGAGATTTATTAGTTGGAAAGTATTTGTTAAAATCATCTTTGTTCACCTGGAAAATTTTGCCTGAAAAACTGCTCATGACCTCTTTTGCAAGTGTATCAGACATTTTAAGTCAGTGATTTTTTTCCCCTAGATGAACTAAGTAGGATAAGGTTTCAGTCCGTTTAGGAACTTACGTTCAAGCGCTCTTGTACGTGACCTGGCCAGGTCAGCTCTTGGCCTCTCAGACATCACAGTGGCAGTTGCTTGTGCAGCCTCACTTGATTCACTAGTCACCAGCTCTTAGCATTTCAGCCTCTTCATCGACCCCCACTTTCTCCTTCTCTCCAGACTGCTCCCTGTGTACTTGCCTTCTGAGGCCCGCATCAGTAGTTGTCACTGCTTGTCAGCTCTCGGCTGGCCTCAGTGTCCTGTTTGCCCAGCCTTTGTGGTAGCCCTTGTAACTGTGTCCTCCCCTCTGCTCTCTCTCCTGTCCTCTGTACCTCTCAGATCCAGATTCAGACACTATCCCAAATAACCAAAGCCAGCTAAAGAACATTACATTTCTTTTTTGATTATTTTCACCAAAAATAAATGATTTCTGATTATAATCAGCCCTCATCATTGCCTGGCAATTATTTTATGCGTTTCTAATCAACTCTACAGCATTTTTTCCAAAATGCTAAGAATCTAATCAGAGAGCCCAGTGCAGTAGACTAGTGGCTAAAGTACTAGCCTTGCATGTACCAGGATCCCATATGGGCACCACTTCATATCCCAGCTGCCTCACTTCCCAGTCAGCTCCCTGCTTGTAGCCTGGGAAAGCAGTAGAGGACATCCCAAGGCCTTGGGACCCTGCACCCATGTGGGAGGCCCGGAAAAGGCTCCTGGCTCCTGCCTTCAGATCAACTCAGCTCCAGCTGTTGTGGCCACTTAGGGAATGAATCAGGGGTGGAAAATCTTTGTGTCTCTCCTTCTCTCTGTAAATCTGACTTTCCAATATAAATGAGTAAATAAGAATTTAACCAGAACCTTAACTCTTTAGCTCTCAGCTCCTACGTTAAGAAAAAAAAAAAAGTAAAAGACATTTCCTAAATATTCAGATTAGTTTGTTATTGCTTGTGTGGATCCTTTGGCCAAGTGGTTTTGCTGTAGGCAACCATCCTAAAACACTGAAAGTGTTTCTAGTAGTGAACTTTGTGAAATTAGTTAAGTTTTTTATTTGGTTTATTGGAAAGACAGATAGAGGGAAAGAGAGACAGAGAGAAAGATTTTCCATCCTCTGGTTAACCAACCATATGGCCACAATGGCCAGAATTAAGCCGATCCAAAATCAAGAGCCAGGAGCTTCTTCCGGGTCTGCCACGTAGGTGCAGGGGCCCAAGGCTTTGGGCCATCCTCAGCTGCTTTCCCAGGCCACAAGCAGGGAACTGGAGCAGCCAGACACAATCGTGGCACGTGCAAGGCAAGAATTTAGCCACCAGGCCATCCTGCTGGGTCCTATAATAGTGAATTTTTTAACAACCTAAATGTTCGGCATTCTCATTCAGCTATACACCATAGAACCATAGAAGGATTCATATGTCTCGCCTGGCGTGAAGAATTGTGTTTGTTACATCATGAAGTTAAGAAAAAGTAGATGATGCCCTTCTTGAACCGTCAGCATGAAGTGCTCTTCGTGGGTTTCATTTTGCATCCGTGTGTTGCCCTTCTGAGCTTTGTAACTGAGGTGGTAAGCAGGCACACTCAGGCAAAAGAAAAAAAAATAGCAGAGCAACTCATTAGGAGGGAAGTTGTAAAAACAAATCAGACATAAGTTCAGCAAGGTCTCAAGAAAAATGCTTGTTTTATTTTTGTATATTTCTTGAACAGTCTGAAAATAAAATTACAGAAGAATCAAAAAGAATAAAATGCTGAAAGATAAATTTTAAAGTGAAAAGCTGTAAAACAGTGCTGAGGTAAAGTAAGATCTAAATAAGTGGAGAGAGGCTGGTGGTGTGGCATAAGTTAAGCTACCACCTGCAATGCTGGCATCCTGTACTGGAGTGACAGTTGAGTCTGCTGCTGTGCTTCCCCCATTCAGCATCCTGATGATGTGTCGAGAAGGCAATGAAAATGCCCAAGTACATAGACCCTTGGCAATCATGTGACAGTTAAGTTGGAGCTCCTGGCTCCTGACTTCTGTCCTCAGCTGGAATCAGCCCTGGCTCTCGAAGATGTTTGTGGAGTGACACAGTAATTGGGTGATCACTCTTGTATGTTTCTTTATCAAATAAAAAAATACAAAGTAAGTCGGCCCAGTGCAGTAGCCTAGTGGCTAAAATCCTCTCCTTGCACTCCCAGGATCCCCTATGGCACTGGTTCTAATCTTGGCAGCCCTGCTTTCCATCCAGCTCCCTGTTTGTGGCCTGGGAAAGCAGTCGAGGACAGCCCAAAACCTTGGGACACTGCACCCGTGTGGGAGACCCGGAGGAAGCTCCTAGCTCCTTGGCTTTGGATCAGCTCAGGACCACCCACTGCAGCCGCTTTAGAAATGAATCATCGAGAGGAAGATCTTCTCTGTCTCTCCTCCTCTCTGTATATCTGACTTTCCAATAAAAATAAGTCTTTATTTTTAAAAAAAAAAATGAATAAATGGAGGGACATTTCATATTCCAGAATTATCCAATAAAAATAACTAAGTCTTTATTTAAAACATCATATTGAATGTTGAAAGACTGAAAGATTTTCCGTTAAGGTTTAGGAATTAGGCAGAGATGCCCACTGTAATACTTGTATGAAGAAAAATGAAAATTGCGTATTTGTGCATGTCTACACATGAAAGAATGACACCAGACCTAAAACTTTCAGAATCCTTTTCCCCTGAGCATAGCTGTTCCCTCTCCCCAACACACACACACACACACACACACACACACACACACACACCGTGTCCCTGTCCCACAGTAACACACACACACTGCATGTATTGCAGTAACACACACATACGACACACAGAGACACCGTGTCCCTGTCCCACAGTAACACACAGACACACACTGCATGTATTGCAGTAACACACACATACGACACACAGAGACACTCTGTCCCTGTCCAATAGTAACACATACAACACACACACATGTCCCACAGTAGCAGGTCATGTGCTCGCTGAGATCTGACTTTTCTGTAGATCTATTGCCAATGTTTTCACCAGCACTAACTGGACCCAGAAAGAAAACCTTGGGAATTTCTACAAAGGCATTGCCCTGGCCACCAGCCCAACCAGCAGAGAAGAACCTGGAGACCAAGCAGCAGCCACGGAAGGAAGCCTGAGGCCAGAGGACCTACCAAAACAGGAAAAGGCTTTAAAAAAAAGAGCTTTTAGAGGAAAATCTTACTGACCTTGAGTTTGATAGTGGTTCCCTGGAATTGAAACTGAAAGCATAGGCACTGAAAATTAAAAAAAAAAAATAATGAGTTGGGCTTCGTCAAAATTTAAAATCTGTGTTTAGAGGAAAATATTAATTAAATGGAAGCAGCCTTCAGACAAGGGGAGATATTAGTAGACTGCGTATCTGATTAGAGACTATTGTCTAGAATATAAGAGGAATTTCTGTCACCTAAGAATAGCACAAAAAGGACTTGAAAGGATACTTCTCCAAAGATGATAAACAGTGGTCAGTAAACACAAGAAAAGGTATTCAATGTCATTGTCATTGTCAGAAGAAAAATGCTAATTAGAACTACTTTTAATAAAATATCACTTAGTGCCAGTTAAGACAAGCAATACCAAAAACATAAAGGAAAATAAATGTTAGCAAGGATAGAGAAAACTTGGAACATTTATGTGTTACTAGTGAGACTAAAATGAGACGAAGCTATGGGAAATGGTTTAGTGGCTCCTAAAAATTAGAATTACCATACAGGGCCAGCAATAGATTGCAGCTGAGTCAGCTGCTGCCTGCAATGCCACAACCTGTATGGGTGTCTGATGTTCTTCTGATTCAATTCCCTGGTGATGGGCCTGGGAAAGCAGCAGATGTTGGCCTAAGTACTGGGCACCTGCCAGCCTTGTGGAAGACCTAGAGGAAGTTCCTGGCTCCTGGCTTTGGCCTGGCCTATCATTGGTCATTTTAGCCATTTAGGCTATGAACCAGTAGATGGAAGATCTATTTCCTGTCTGTGGGTTTTCTTTTTTTTTTTTAAAGATTTATTTTACTTTTATTTCAAAGTCAGATATACAGAGAGGAAGAGGAGAGACAGAGAGGAAGATCTTCCATCTGATGACTCACTCCCCAAGTGAGCCCAACGGTTGGTGCCGTGCCGATCCAAAACCAGGATCCAGGAACTTCTTCAGGGTCTCCCACATGGGTGCCGGGTCCCAAAGCCCTGGGCCATCCTTGACTGCTTTCCCAGGCCACAAGCAGGGAGCTGGATGGGAAGTGGAGCTGCCGGAATTAGAACCGGTGCCCACGTGGGATCTTGGCGGGTTCAAGGTGAGGACTCTAGCCGCAAGGCCATGACGTCGAGCCCTGTCTGTGGGTTTTTTAACTCTACCTTTCACAAAAGTAAAAATTACCATAAGACCTGGCAATTCCAAGACAATAAAAACATAGACTCAACCATACTTATTTACAGTAACTAAATGGTGGAAACAACCCAGGTTTCTAGTAAGAGATGGAGCTGTGGTTTGTGTGTACAATGGAATATTCCTTGGCTAAGAAAAGGAAAGAAGTGCTGATTCCAGCTGTAACGTTTCTGAATCTATAAAACACTTTATTAAGTGAAACCAACCAGATGCAGATGTTATGTGGTCTCACATGTGAAGTGCTTCCAGTGGGAGGATCATTGGGACAGACAAGAAGTAGAGTGTGGCTGTCAGGGAGAAGGAAAGTGGTGGTGGAGAGTTGTTTGTGACTGATTGATTGCAGAATTTTTGATATGGGAAAGTTTTAAAAATAGTGATGGTGGGTTGCAGTATTACAATTAAAGTTGTAAAATTATATTATAATAAGACTACTGTGACATGGTTCAGAAAATTAGAGTTTCCTGTACAAATGGTGTCCCTTTTCTGAACGTCATTTTCCTGTGTGTGTTCACAGGGCTGGTGCCCCTGGGGAGTCAGGAGCCTTCTGACAGTCTGGCGGTGGAGATTGTGACGCCTGAGATCAGGTAAGGATGCCGTCCTACTCAGTCACAATGCACGCGAGTGGCAAACGTGTTTCTCTAAAGCAGACAAAACAGTTTGTTTTTGTTACTGCTACTTTCAACATGAACTCTGTTATCTTTCTATATTTTAAGCATATCAAAAGCTTTTTATTTTTAATGTAAGGTTTATTTTGGAAAGTGGAGAGGGACAGATAGATCAAGAAACTGCTCTTTTACCTACTGGCTCATTCCCCAAGTGGCTGCAATAGGCCTGGGCCAGTTGGAAACCAGGAGTCAAGAGCTTTGGCCTGGTCTCCCATGAGGATGGCAGGGTACTTAGATCATCTTCTAGCACCTTCCCAAGCACATTAGCAGGGAACTGAATTGGAAGCAGAATTGCCACTCTGGCTGCATTCCCTGTAGGACAACACTGGCCCATAATCTTAATCTTAAACTGACCCAAAACAGAAATATTTTTAGTAGTGGAATCTTTCACACATTGAGAGCATGCTAATCCACTTTGTGCTTACATATTGCCAATGTTTAGCAAGAAGAATACTTTACCCAAGGACAAAGATTGTACTTAACAAGCAACCTGCAAAAAATTAATCACCAAGATTTATTTACTAATAAGCACATGGACTTAAGACACACAGTCTAGAAAAATCTTTGTATACCTTTTACTTGATTGCCATCTGATGTCCTACTTTATGATGATTAAATCGATAAAATTAGTTGGATGAGTGAATTCTTATATTTTATGAGAATTTCAGAGAAATGGTCATATTTCCCCCAAAATTATTTTTACAGGCACTTATTTGTAGTATAGTTGCTTTCTAAACTATGAAAAGGTCAATGATGAAAATTCAGTAAATAGGGCCCATAGCTATGGCTCAGTGGCTAAATCCTCACCTTGCATGCACTGGTATTCCATATGGCCAACGGTTCTTGTCCCAGCTGCTCTACTTCCCACCCAGCTCCCTGCTTGTGGCCTGGGAAAGCAATGGAAGATGACCCAAAGCCTTAGGACCCTGCACCCACATGGGAGACCCAGAAGAAGCTCTTGGCTCTTGGCTTCGAAATTTCAGCTCCAGCCATTGTGGCCATTTGTGAGTGAACCAATGGATGAGTCATCTTCTGTCTCTCCATAAGTCTAATTTGCTTTTCCACCAAAAATAAATCCTAAAAAAAATAAATAAATCATGAGTCAGTAAACTCAGCTTTTCTGATTATGACTAGGTATAAATTAAAACATGTTCTATGTCCAAAAGACATATCAAGGAAATGGTGAACAGAGTTGAATTTGCAACTTAACATTTAATACATTTTACTGTGTTAAGGATGAGGAGGAATTGTATACTTCATGAGCTGGACATAGCAGGTAAAATAAAGTGGTGTAACTGTCTTATGAGGACATAGTCGGAACCTGTTGTCTAAGCATAAGCCTGTTTTTTGATCCAAAAATTATTTTTCTACAAGTTAATTTTAAGGGATGACCAGGAAGGTACATAAAAGTATATGTATAGATTAATTTGGTCATTTTAACGTGTTAAAACATAGAATTCACAGCAATATAAATGCTCACTAGTTTATTTAAATAATTACTCTTATGCATTTTAACATGTCATTAGTACAATTATTAGTCCAGTTTACTACGATAACTAATATATGAGAACATGAAATTTTAAGTATATAAACAGCAGTATCAGTGCAACATATATCATGTGATCTCTTTTTAAAATATTTACTTGTGTGTATGTCTATACAGAATTAGCTATATTTCAGCAGTAGTTATGTGCCAACTTCAGATAGTACTGTATTTCTATTTTTCTTTTTGCTCTACAATGGGTGTTTACTTTTTAATTGTATAGTCAGTGTTGCCCTTATGTATCATTTATCAGGTACTGCGTAATTTCTTGAATTGGGTCACAAATTTGACTCTCATATATCCAGTGCAAGAATGAATTTAAAAATGTGTGCATTATTCTTGTTTATATTTATTTATTTTAAAAAATTTTTCCATTTTTCATTTTGTCTGAAATCTGGAAGCACTGTCTTTCTGGCGCCTTCTGCTGATGGCCCGGTGTAAAGACAGGAAGCATACCTTCAGTAGATCCGTTTTTGTAGGCACCATCCTCTGTCATCCCTACAGTAAATGTGATGGCCAGTTGTGTTTAGCAGCTGTTCTTACCATCCCTTAATGTGCAATCCTGGCATAACACAAAGCCCACAACAATCTATTGCAGTCATCTTAATTAAGAATCTATTTGTGATAACAGCATAATATTACATATGTAGACATGTAGTGTTTATCTTGAGGGCAGTCCTGCTTGCGTGTAATATCTTGTAGCCAAGTACTTGGTAACATCATGATCCTGATGAGAACCAAAGGATGAATAAAAGTATGCATAGCTTAAAAATTTATATGGGAAAGGAAATGGGGTTGTAGGGTTTAGAAATCTTCATTTCAAATCCTAGTGTTTAGACTCAGTTATCTTCAGATTACCTGTTGTAAAAAGAAAGTTCTTAAGACTCAAAATATAAAGTCTTCGTAGTTGTATTATGTATTAGGTGCTCCACAGATACTTTATTTCCATTTGTGCTCTGTGTATTAAATCTTTTAACTACAGAAGCTGGGTTTTGGTATTTGTATTGTATTGATGTACCACATAAGTTTTTATTTTGTTCATTCAGGGAGAAACTTATTCGTCTTCAGCACGAGAATAAGATGTTAAAAATTAACCAAGAGGGTTCAGATAATGAAAGAATTGCCTTATTGCAAAGCCTTCTGGATGATGCGAATCTACGCAAGAATGAGCTGGAAACAGAGAATAGGTAGAGTATCTGCAGGTGGCCATGACCAGCCACAGGTTTTCCTTTAAAGGTTTGACTTGTATTTTGAAATGTGATCTGTCCTATTCTGTTTTCTTTTAGGAGTACTTTAACCCATCTCTCCACTTTCAGATTTGCCAGAAACTATTATGTCTCTTTTTAGTAGCATTTATACTATTTCTTTAGACCAAATGCTGCCAAAGCTCCAACGTTTGCCCTTTCTAATCATTGAATAAAGGCAGAGGACTTCTGAAAACACCTTCATCAATTCACAGTCTTTCACCAACAGTTTCCGTTCACTGTCCTCATTATGTTAATAAAACTGACTCTCTTTTCACAGGCTGATGGTTCAGAGACTCTGTTGAAATAGAGAAAGCAGTAGGATCCATCGTAACGGAGTTGACAGGACATCTAATGATTTTCTGATCCTATAGGGAAATTACTCAAGTGAACAATTCAGTTGTTTGGAAAAAGTTAGCATCTTAAAATTTTGATAAGAGACTCACTTCTCTACTTTTAAGTTTTTAGCATGTTGTTATACAGATAGGAAGAGTCAGATTTTTTTTTAAAGATTATGTTATTTTTATTGTAACATCAGATATACAGAGAGGAAGATCTTCCATCTGTTGATTCACTCCCCAAGTGGCTGCAATGGCCGGAGCTGAGCTAATCCAAAGCCAGGAACCTCTTCCAGGTCTCCCACATAGGTGCAGGATCCCAAGGCTTTGGGCCATCCTCCACTGCTTTTCCAGACCATAAGCAGGGAACTGGATGGGAAGCAGGGCCACTTGGACAGGCATATGGGATCCCAGCGCATGCAAGGCTAGGACTTTAGCCACTAGGCTACTGCACTGGCCTAAGAATCAGTTATTTTAATTAGTAACTGACAAGGGTTACCTTTTTTTTTTTTTTTAATTTTGTTGTGACCATCAGCTATTTTCATTTGCTTTTTATTTTTTCTTAAGATTTATTTAATAATGTATTTAATTTAGTACAGTTACAGAGAGGGAAAAATAAGAGAGAGAATCTCCCATCAACTGATTGACTCCCCAAATAATCTCTATTGCCAGGGCTATGTCAGATCAAAACCAGAAGCCTCGAACTTTTTCTGGATTTGCTGTGTGGGTTGCAGGCGCCCCAGCACGGTGGTCACTGCTACCTTCCCAAGTGCATTAGCAGGGACATGGATGGGAAGTGGAGCCGCCAATGTGATTGTCAGCATCACAGGAGGTAGCTTAACGCACTGTGTCACAACTGTGTTCTCCCTTTCAGTTTGAAAACTGTTAGGTACCAATTAGATGGTGTGTTTTCCTTTTTCTTACTATGCTGTGATAATTCTGTTATTTTCAAGGGATTAACATTCTTATTCAAGTAAAATATTAGGCATAGTTTGCCTGGTATCACTTTTTCTAAAGTGCTTCAGTGGGAAATAAAAGTGAGGGAGGAAGGGAGATTCTAGAAACAGCACCAGTCCTGCTGTCTCTGGGTAGAAAGTACCTTGTTTATAACATTGATTCTTGACCCCAAGGTAGGTTTTATTTTAATTGGTCTTGTCAGGAAAGCCATTGCCAAGTCTGAATTTTCTATTGAAAACACATATCTTTTCCCACAACGTTTTTCCTTATTTCTCCAGATTTTATGCTTACCACTTTTGTTGTATCAGAAATAGTCCAGCTTGTTGCCATTGATTCAGTCTTGGAATATACGGAAGACTAATGACCATGGCCTGAATCAGTTGTGTTAGTTACAGAGACTTACTAACTACCTAGTGTCCAAGTTTCTTTCAATTAAGACACGGATAACAGTTTATGTTTAGATAGGCATCCCCAGTGATTTAAACAAGAAAAATATTAAGTTCATATTTATTAAGCATCTATTTGTTCCAAACATCATGCTAAATTCTTTGAATGTTTTGTGTTGCTTATCTTCATAAATGTTGTGCAAATGAGGGACCTGGGCCACGGACCCTGGCTGCCTGACTCCAAAGCTCTCCACCCCCCCCAGATCCCCTTCCTGGCCAATCTGTCTCCCATCTGGCTTGCACAACAGTTGTTCTTTCTCCTGCCTTCCTCTCTCTGGATGCTTTTTCTCTTAAGTGACTTACCCGAAGTTTGTTATGACTGAGATTGACAGCTATTTACCACATTTCCAATTTAATCTTTTACTGGATTGCAGTACTGACTGAGCTCCAGGAAACCTGATATTTGTTCCTCTGTGTTTTTAGCTCTATTACCTTTCAGCTCTATTACTTACTGTCTGCTCACCACCCAGATGTCCCTGGTAGAAAGCCAGCTTTGAGTAGACCTCTGCTGCCCCTTCCATCAGGTTTTCCCAGTGCACGAGCATGTCTTTCATCTGTAATGCCAGCTTTTGAGGAAACGATACTGGAAAAGGGATGCAGTGTGGAGAATGGAGCTGTTTCAGAATTGCCCAAGGAGTGCTCTCAAGGAATGTGTCCTCTTATTTCTGTACCTCAGAAGGTGTCATTGACCTCAAGCTCATCTTCCCTGTGCAGCTCCGTGACAGCTGTGTATTCAGCAGGTGTTGGACTCTGATTAAAATGCTAGCTAAGTGAATGCCTCAAGAGGGACGGGGACGGTAGAAGCAGTTCACACAGGTGCTTGCTGTGTGCACAGAGTACGCTGGATATGCTCCATGCATTGTTTCCCTTCATCTTCTAAACAACCTGTGAGATGAGCCTTATAAACCTTACTTGTTTTGTGATTTATTCACATATATTTAACACATATTTTTGTTGCTTATCTACTCTTAACAGTTATATTACCATGTTTACTTGTCTGCTCCCAGTGATGGACATTTGAGTTTTTTACACAAACACCGCAAGGAACAACTTGGTGTGGACTCATGGTATCTTATGGCCTCTACAATCGTACATACCCTGTAGGATTACAATGAAAGCTGATGAAATGATCTCAAACGTCAGCTCATGAAGTAGTCTTACAGTTCAGTAGTATTTTTATATTGCTTTCTGAAAAATAAAATAAAAGCAAAGTTGGTGTCATTAATTTTGTATTTACATACTTGTATCTTCATGTTGAACCTGGATTCTCTGATGATTTAATATCTTACAGCTTGTTAAGTAAAAAATGGTATTGAACTTTATGTCTGTTTGCATTCTAAATACTGCCTCGTCTTATTCTTACTTTGGGAATCTTGCTTCTATCATTTCACTACAGTATGTCTTTCATTTATTTTTGAAAGTTTTTGTAAAGATTTACTTATTAATTGAAAATCGGAGTGACAGAGAAGAGACAGGAGATAATCTACCACTTGCTGATTCACTCCACAAATGGTCACAATGGCCAGAGCTGAGCCATTGTGAAACTCTGTATTTAGGATCTTCGTCCACATTTCCCATGTGGCTGGCAGGGGCCCAGGCACCTGGACCATCCTTTGCTGCTTTTCCAAGGCCATTAGCAGGAAGCTGGAGCCTCTGGAACACAAACACCTATATGAGATCCCCATGTTGCACAGCTGGCAGTTTCTGCCACTATGCCATGGTGTCAGCCTCTACATTTGAATTTTTTATTATCTGAAAGGCAGAAAGAGAGAGAGAGATACCTTCTGTTCACCCTCCCAATGCCTGCAGCTTAACCCAAGTCTCCCATGGGGATGTTAGACCCAGTGACTAAACTGTTACCTTCTGCCTCCTAGGATGCACATTATTGGGAAGGTAGAATCAGAAGCTGAGCCAGGATTTAAACCCAGGCACTTCTATGTGCAATACTGGCACCCTAAATGACACCTTAATTACTGAGCCAAGTGTTTACCCCACTGAAGTATTTCTTAGAAAAATAAATAGGCATCCTGTAAATAGCCAGTAGGATCATTCTTCACTTGTCTCTTAACTATATTCAATGTTGTTAATAAGTTCCTCCTTCTTAGTTATTTTAATTTCAGTAACACCTCCCTCCTATGTTTCCCCTCATTCTGTGGTTGTTCTTCAGCCTGAGGGTCCTTTCCCTGGAGATCCCTTGGCTGATCTGCCATGGCCATCTTTGCTCCTTGTTTCCACTCTTCCACGTTCGTGATTCTTTGAGCAATCTCTCTCTCTCTCTCTCTTTTTTTTTTATGCCTGTGTGCACTGTTGAGAAGTGTCTACCTCATTGCATTTTTAGTTGTTTGATTTACGTGTTCACCTTTGCCAAAGACTGTAGAATTCTTGAATGCAGGGATCATGAGCCTAGTGCTGACTCAGTCTGTTTGAACACTTGAACTGATGCAAGGACATCAGTTCCAAAAAGTGTGTCCCCCAAACCACTACATTGGAAATCATTTCAAGCAATATGAAGATAATTTGAAAAGCAAGCTCAAAACATAAAGGCCTTATGTTTACAACTATCACTATCTACTTCTGTTACAAGAGGCTCTAGTGTGCTAGTTACACATCTGTCTAATCAGTATGACTACAAAAAAATGCATGTCAGTATTTGGAAAATTAATGTACATTTGATTTCTAGGCTGGTGAATCAGAGACTTCTGGAAGTACAGTCACAAGTCGAAGAATTGCAAAAATCTTTACAGGACCAAGGCTCAAAAGCAGAAGATGTAAGTTTAAAATGTTGGCAACCACAGCCAAAGCTCCATGGTGTTGAAAAAGCCTATAACTTTTATTTTTTAATTTAGTGATCTATACAAATAATTTAGCATTATATTGACTACACAAATGAAAGTGTTTCCCTTTTACCAATGTTTCTTGTAGTGCTTCAGTGTCTCACATTCAGTTTGCCAAAGTGCATGTTGAGTCTTCAGCTGAGGACAGAAATTTGTAAGGCAGAAATTTTTAGTGTAAACTTGATATTCCAGTAAATAATGACATCCCTAGGTTTCTGAGTCCCACCACTCCCCTTGCCTGAGAGCTCTGCGCTTGGCTGCTCTGGCTCTGCCTGCCTGCACCCTCACCTGGAGTACGCTGAAGAGCTGAGCCAAGGAATGTGGCTCGCTTGCCTTCAGCATCTGAGCGTGTCATAGTGCCTAGCTGACACATGATGCTTACTCAGTCTCTGGCAACGTGTAAATTAGTCATTTAATGACAAGTGTGTATTAGAGCTATGACTTGTAAAATGTTTAGAAAACAGGGTTAAAAAGGAGGGGGGAAATTCCAAATTTTTAGTGACTAATACTTAGCTAGTTATTTGGATGCTAGTTTTGTTTAGTTTCTCCTAATGCCAGTGTAATTTTCTATCAACTGACATTTTGAGTACAGATCTTGGTTTTCATTGACAGTCATTTTGGGGGATTGATTTTCAAATTGCAAGTACAGACAATTGCATCCAGCTTTACAAACATAAAAGAGAAACAATCAAACAAAAGGAGTTGAACATATTGCTACAAATCAAAATATGGTATCTAATTTTAATTAGTTTGTCTAAACATATATCTGGTTTATATTGGCAGCATCTTTTTTCTAGTATTAGTGATTTTTAGTTTATCCCTAAGCTATTCGTCACATTTAAACTATCTTTTGCCCTTATTAAAATGGAGATAATTTACAGTGCCTTCAAAAAAAGACAATGTTTTTATCCAGAATGCTAAATCACAGAGAGATGAAGTGAAAGCATCATTAATGTGTTAAAATCCCAAGCGTGGTTAGGAGTACTTTAGAGGATCAACCTGAAACAGTAACATTTCTGAGGTCATTGAAATCACTTCATCTCTTAGCCTGAAGTGAACACGAGATTTGTTCTGATCTCTACTTGGAGGAGAGTTTTTGATTTGATAGGATAGGAAAAGGAATGGAGTGAAAAGAGGAAATATCAGTACTAGGTAAACATTACCTCCTGTTGTGCTTTATTTTCTTTCATGAAGGTACAGATAGAGTAATGCATGTCAGAAGTAAGATGCCAGCCCCGTCAAGTACTGGTCGCATAAATTAATTCATTTATCAAATGACCTCTGCTTAATGAGGCATGTTGCTTAAAGCTAAACAGAAGGGCTTCCTTGGCTGAAAACACTCTGACAAAAATTCACTTATTCTGAACATCTGTCTCCAGCTGGAGAAATGAGTGGTGCTGTATAGGTTCTGTCACTTTTCTGTCTCACTAACCTACAGTGCTGCATCTCAGGAATGTGTAACACATGGAAGACCTGCCAAATGGGTGTAGTTCCCTCTGAGAACAGCATTGTTTTACCTGTTTATGTTATCAGAAACACAGTCCTTTCATGTGACCTAAGTCAGAGTAGGATGGTCTGCACATTATTATGACTTTTTTATGTCATTTGTTTTTAGCATGGAAGCAGAAAAACATTGTTACATAAAGTCATGTGGATAATTTGAGCTAGCCACAGTATATAAAACTCCGAAGAACAAGACAGGATGAGGAAATCATAGAAGAAAAATGTACATTTCTGAAACAAAATGCGTATCTTTTTACTTTTGTTCAAGAATTACTAAATCAAATTGTCTTCTGTTGGCTGCTGTGTTTGCGTCATACTAATATGTCCTCTCTGTCTCTTGGCATGGTTCTGCTCAAGGCTATTGTAAGTATGGCTTCCTGTTCCTTTCTGTGTAGTGAACAGTTTATAGGTTTATTCATTATCTAACATCATAGTTGAAATTTTAAATGAAGGCACTTTCATGCAAAAGGAATAGGCTAGCTTTATTTGCCAAACGGGTTTATGACTTTTGCAATTAACATATTTAACGGATGTCCAAATCAAGAAGTCAAGCCAAAGAGAATCGTTGTCTTTTTCCCCCCATCTTTGTCCTGCTCTACCCCGTTATGTCAGTTAATTCCTTTGTGGAAGGGATTTTGGTGCTGGTTTCTTATCACAGTGTGGCCTCCTCCTACTGCATATTTGGATAGTAACAGTTGTCAGGTTAATACATTGGGGTATGGAAGTGCATAAGTTCAGTTACATCAATTTGATCTCCTGCTTTTCAGGAGAGCTTTTTCTTTTCTTTGAACCCAGACAAAGATGCAATTGTAAGAACATTAAAAGATGTGCATACAGCATCTTCACATTTTTCATACTGTTGCATAATTTATTTGCAAGCCATTCAAGTAATAAATCACTGATTGAGTCAATAAGTTTGGGAAATTATACTTTTTCATGTTGCAAGAAAACACTGTAAGAGATGAAAAAGGCTCTGAGAGTAAGCTTGCCGGTCATGGAGCTCTCCCTGCTTGTCGGGTCCAGAGATGTTAGAGCTATAGTTAAGTGACTTTGCCACTTATTTCCTTCTCTACAAATACAAACATCACATATCCGGTTTCTGGATATTTTATAGTGATTGCTCTCAGACTGCCTCTTCCCTAAATTAAAGAAAATTAAACTGTAATTCATTCTGTGTCTTGACCAAAGATATCCCTGGGGGCTTATTCAAAGTCACTACTGTACTCTTTTTAAAAAATTATTTGCTATTTAAAATGCTAAGTAATAAACTCATCTTTATTTTCCATTTTCAGTCAGTTCTTCTAAAAAAGAAGCTTGAGGAACATCTGTAAGTATAAAAACTGTGGAACCTTATTGTCTGTGCCAGCTGGTTACAGAGGCTTTAGTCTTTTGCCCAGCAGGAGTTGGGAGTAAGAGTTGTGTGCAGAGGATCCTACCTGCCCGAGGTCATCAGGTCAAATAGCCACTGCTGGAACCATTGTCTGCATGAGACCTTAAGGCCTGTGTCTTCCCTGCTGATTTTGAGTTAGAAGCCTAGTTCCATAAAGGCCCTGAGGTCCTGACTGGGCCTCTGCCGGCCCACACACTCCATCATTATACTCACCCAGCACTACCCTGGCTTAGAGCTGCTGGAGAGAGAGTAGGCCTGGCCGTGTAGCTGCTTCGGTAGAATTCCATTGTGTAAGACAGGCAGCCAGCTGAGCTCTAAAGTGTGCCAGCTGCATCTTCCTCTTGAAGGAGATTTTGATAGGTAATCAGACAAGTCCTTGAATTGCAACCACGTTGGAGTATGACTTACTCCTGTAGTGATGAGCTTCAACCTAAGATGTATCACTGTTAGTTTCTTCATCCCTCTCTGAGGAGAGCTGACAGTATCAGGAATCTTCGGGGTGTTTCCTGCACCCAGAGCAACCTTCATCTTTCCTGTCGCTTTGGAGTAAAGTTCCTTGCAGGTGCTGAAGGCAGCGTGACTATGAATCACAGCTTGTTGGGGTGTCAGTGTAACACTGCGTTACGCCAGACATCCTCCACACTGCAGAGACAGTTTGCACTTGTGCTGTGGTTGTAGAGGAATCCTGTGTTCTAGAGATGGCTTCATGCTATTTCCTCCTCCCACCCCTTTCTTTAATGTAGGAGATACCACTAGGAGTTGAGATTTGTTACCACATCTAAAATGGGCCAATTTTTAATATACTAGAAGGCTACTTTCTGACCTTTGTAAGTTTGAAAATTGGATACTAAATCCTGTTTTTTCAAAATTCCCTTTTCTGGTTTATAAAAAAAAAGAATATCTCTCATTTTGTGAAACCATCTGTCTCTGTCCTATGTTCAGTCCTTTGCTTGCTAATATCTTTATCACAGAAGGTTTCTTATTGAGGATGAAGCCTGTATTAGCTTCTTATGGATGCTGTCGCAGATTACCACAATCTGGCTGGCATAAGACTTCTTCCTTCTTACACTGGAGGCTAAACTCCAGGCGTTGCAAAGTTGTCTCCTCCCAGCCACCCTGACAGAATTTGTTCATGCCTGTGTCCCAGTTTCTGTGTCCTGATGCAAGCCTTGATGTTCCCCAGCTTGTAGACATGTCACTCCAGTCTGTCTCCATCTTTGCATACCATTGTTTTCTCTGTGGGGTACCCCTCTTATCCCTGGGGCATACATTCCAACATTGCCAGCGAACGCCAAAAACTGCAGAAAGAACTAAACCCTGTATATACCATGTTTTTTCATATACAAATGAACCAATGATAGAGTTAACATGGAAGTTAAGCACAATGAGAGAGTAACAACCATTGCTAGTAGCAGAATAGAGTGAGTATAGCAATATATTGATACTGCAACCATTTATTGGATAACTGAGATGGATGCTTGGTGATAAATGAGTGGATGTCATATTCCATATGGATGACCTGAACAGAATGGTTCATACCCCTGAATGGATCAAGCAGGGTGGTACAGGATTTTACTGTACACTTTATAACATTGTGTAGTTTAAAACTCAGATATTCTGTTTAAATCCTTTAACACTATAGTTGACCACTCACTGGATTTAGGGCCAGTGCTTATCCAGGGACCTTCTCTTACTCATTAATATCTACAAAGACTCAATTTCCAAATAACATAAACTTCACAAATACTAGGGGTAGGAACTTCAGGTTACTTTTTTTGGACAATTAAAACCCCCACAGCATCCATAGATGTATAAAAAAAACAGTCAACCTCAGAAGACTCAAATCATCAATCTCAGATGACCCAAATGCTTGGGCTCCCAACATCGATGTGTAGAGTCCCAGCTGGAGTTCCAGGCTTCTGGCTTCATCCTGACCCAGCCCATTGCAGCCATTTGACGAGTTAACTAGCAGATGGAAGATACATCATTTTTTCATAAAAATGTATCAGTTTTTAAATGAAAGGTATAGTAAATCTCATGCAAATTTTAGAAATAATGGAGATCATTTTAAACACACCTAAATTATTAAAAAAAAAAAAAACTTTGAAGATCAGACGAGGTGACCCCACCAAAGACGTTGAACAATGCTGAATCTTCCCTGCCAAGGTTAGTGCTCATCAATTTCTTAGTCAAGATGGACACACACATATTCAATATCTCAGTTGCACCTATGCGGCAGCATTTGCTAGAGGTGTTGCTGTCAATGCATAGCAAAAGATGTAGAAGAAAGTGCAAAAATAATCTCTGTAGGGCTGGGCACGGTTGCCCAGTGGCTAAAGTTCTCGCCTTGCATTCATTAAGACCCTTTATGGCTGCCAGTTTGTCTCCTTGCTATTCCATCTCCCTTCCAGCTCCCTGCTTGTGGCCTGGGAAAGCAATATAGGATGGCCCAGAGCCTTGGATCTGCATCCATGAGGGGAGAAAATAGGAGCCTCCTGGCTCCTGGCTTAGAATCAGCTCAGCTCCAGCTATTGCAGCCTTGGGGAGTAAGCCAGTGGATGGAGGATCTTTCTGTCTCTCCTTCTCTCTGTAAATCTGCCTTTCCAAGAAAAACAAGTAAATCTTTAAAAAAAAAAAAAAGAGACAAAAGATTAACATATGTTATCTGTAAATACAAAAAAAGCAAAACCAACATAATTGTCTACCAGCTGGAGAAGGATAGAGCAAATTTAAACAACAGAACTCCATTCAGTGGTGAAAATGTGCAAAATGGGCTGATATCAAGAACAATTGTCATAAAGGATGCAAGTCAGGGCAACACTTAATGGCTGAACAACAAAATAATAACACCAGGGCAAAATTAATCAGCAGTAAAATACAGATAATAAAACAATATTAAAAATCAAGAATAGTAAAGATTCAGACTTGTAGAGCCAATGTCTGGCCAACAGCTAGGGGAGTGGTTGGGATGCCTGCATCTCACGCCAGAGTGACATGATTCTGCCTTTCTGTTCATGCGTGCCCTGAGCAGCAGCTGGGGAGGGCTCAAGCAGCCGGATGCCTGCTACACATGTGAAAGACCAGAACTGTGTTCTCAGCTTTGGCCTGGCCCAGCCCTGGCTGTTACAGCTGTTTGGGGAGCGGGGCTTTCTGTGTCCACCTGTCTCTACCACTCAAATGATTTTTCTGTAAAAATCATGGGCACAGGGAAGAGATTACAGACACACCCAACTCCTAAGGTTTGGGGATGATTTCTGTTTCTCATCATAGTGGTGAATCACTAGTATGGGGTTTTTGGTTTTCTGTTTTAGGGTTGCTTGGGGCTAGTGCTTATTATTTTTATTTATTAAAGGGCAGAACATGCCCAACATGATGGCTTAGTGGCTAAATTCTGGCTTTGCATGTGCCAGGGTCCCATATGGGCAACAGTTCATGTCCCAGCTGCTCCATTTCCTGACCAGCTCCCTACTTGTGGCCTGGGAAAGCAGTCAAGGGCGGATTAAAGCCTTGAGACCCTGCACCCATGCACAAGAGACACAGAAGCAGCTCTGACTCCTGGCATCAGATCAGATCAGCTCTGGCCATTGCAGCCACTTGGGGAATGAACCAGCAGATGAAAGATCTGTCTCTCCTTGTCTCTGTAAATCTGCCTTTCCAATAAAAATAATTTTAAAAATTAAAAAAAAAAAAAAAGGCAGAGTCAGACAGAGGTCTTCCTTCCACTGATTTACTCCCAAGTCTCCATAGCAACTGAGACTGGGCCAGGCAGAAGCCGGGAACCTAGGACTTTGTTTAGGTCTCCTGTGGGTAGCAGAAACCCAACTGCTTGAGCCAACAACCCCTGTTGCTTCCCAGAATGTGCCTCAGGAAGAAGTGGAGCCTAGGACTGGGACCACGACTTGAACCTGAGCACGCTGTGTGTCCTAGTAGCAGCTTAGCCACTGAACCCCAGCATGCTGCGTGTCCTTCCCCCGAGACAGCTTAGCCACTAAACCAAAAGCCTATCCTGTGAGCTTGGTTTTTCTTTTTTTTTCAAGATTTATTTATTTTTATTACAAAGTCAGATATACAGAGAGGAGGGGAGACAGAGAGGAAGATCTTCCATCCGATGATTCAATCCCCAAGTGAGCACAACGGCCGATGCTGTGCCGATCCAAAGCCAGGAGCCAGGAACTTCTTCCGGGTATCCCACATGGGTGCAGGGTCCCAAAGCTTTGGGCCGTCCTCAACTGCTTTCCCAGGCCACAAGCAGGGAGCTGGATGGGAAGTGGAGTTGCCAGGATTAGAACTGGCGCCCATATGAGATGCCGGGGCGTTCAAGGCGAGGAACCTAGCTGCTAGGCCATGCCCCGGGCCCCGAGCTTGGTTTTCTAAAGTGTGTTTTTTTCTCCCCTTTCTTCAGATTAGTATAGGTATACATTTAATATGTTACATCATGTTTCAGATATGTTAAACATGTGGTGATAGTATATTGAAAGAGAAAAAGATTTGTCAAAGTATTAGGCATAGAAGATATAACAGAGTACTCAATTGACCTTTTATTTTTGTGACTGTTCTTCAGCTCATGCAACATTGTGTTGTGCACTAAGTGCTGTTAAAGGAGAATAACACATGTTGCAAACTAGGAAAGAAACTTGTTTTCTGCTCATTCTTTTATATTAGGATGTAACATACACACAAAAGTATGTATCCTAAGTTCCTAAATCTGTAGCTTGAATGCTTACCTCCATAGCTGAGTAACTCAAATCAGCATATCTCCAGTATTTCCAGCACCCAGCAAGATACCACGTCCTTCATCCGTGACTGATCTCATCCCTAGACAAGCCTAATGGAACCTGACAGTGCTCTCCTCTGTACTTACATTGTTAAACATCGGTGTCATACGTATGTGATTATGTGTATCATTAGTTCACCATTTGTATTGATTCCATTAACTACTATGTTTAGAACTACTTTTCACAACAAAATTTGCTTTATAAATCCTCTCTAAAGTTTTAAATTTAACTTTTTACGATATCCTATTCCTGCAAAATAAAGATCTGTGCTTTCTTACACAGGCTGTTTGTTTATGCAGGCCTCAATGAAAGAAATGACCACTGTTCCGAGGAAAAACGGGAAATTTTCTCCTTGCCTTTCACAAAATTTTAAGAAAAATTAATGTCATACCAATTAGTCTCTCATCTTTGTTTTGTAGCTAGCACTTCGGAGCATTGCAAATGTATTCCAGAAATATAGATACTAGACCTTTAGTTTTAAATGGAAAACAAAACAAAAACACTGCATGACACAGTGTTAATTTTTGTTACAGAGAGAAGCTGCATGAAGCCAATAATGAACTGCAGAAGAAGCGAGCCATTATTGAAGATCTTGAACCAAGATTTAACAATAGCTGTGAGTATATCTTAATTAGCATAGTTTTTAATTGAATTATCCACACATTGCCATAGTGAGAAGTTTATTGTATAACATTGTTTCTTTTTGAAATGGGTCCTACTCTGTATTCTGGCAATTAAGGAATTTGCTTTATTTACAGAATGAGTATGTAATTACTTTATATGTATTTAACTTCTGATTATAGTTAATTTTTCCTTAGATGTAGATTATAATAAACATATGAAGTTAGGATTTTGTATTTTTTTTAATAGGGTGATAGGTGACAGCTACCATATGCTAATTCACTCTCCGGATGTCTGTAATGGCTAGAGCTACCAGGACCAAAGCCAGGGTCAGGAAGCTCAGTCTGTTTCTAATGTGGGTGGTGGTAGAAACATCACAGCTGCCTCCATGGGGCTGGAGTCCTAACTTGCGTTTTAATGTAGGGCGAACACCCATCCCTGAAATTAGATGCTTTTATGCTATAGTTACATGTAAGTCATCTGTACTTGGCCTCCATTGATTTTTATACCTTGTATATAGCCTGACTTTCTTTGGGCGGCAATGAGAAGGCAGATTTTTACTGGTTTTAACTTTTGGTCAAATATGCATAACAAAACCATTTTAAGTGTACAATTCAGTGACACTAAGTGCATTTATCATGTACAACTATCACCAGTACCACCCATTTACAAAACTTTTTCGTCATGTCATACTGGAGTGCTATTCCCAAAAGTGATAATACATTCCCAGGGCTCTTCTCTGCACCTGTTGATAATCATACATACTTCCTGTCTCAAGTAGAATCAGTATATTTTTCCTGTTGTAACTGCTTTGTTGTATTTATTTTTTGAGATTTATTTTTATTGGAAAGGCAGATTTGTACAGAGAAGGAGAGACAGAGAGAAAGCTCTTTCATCTGCTGGTTCACTCCCCAAGTGGCCACAATGGCCAGAGCTGAACCAGTCCAAAGCCAGGAGTCAGAGCTTCTTCCAGGAGGCCAAACACTAAGTCTGTTTTCTGCTGCTTTCCCAGTCACAATAGCAAGGAGCTGGATTGAAGCAGAGCAGTCAGGGCAATAACCAACACCCATATTGAATTCCAGCACTGCGAGCAGAGTCTACCTGATATGCCACAGCGCTGGCTCCAAATGAGATATTTTTTTAAACTGTTGCAACCTAAATAATTTACTTTTGCTTTATTTTATTTTAAGCTTTAAAAATTGAAGAATTACAAGAAGCTTTACGGAAGAAAGAAGAAGAAATGAAGCAAATGGAAGAACGATATAAAAAGTACTTAGAGAAAGCCAAAAGTGTAAGTATGAATTAGTGGGCATGTTACTCTACTTTGTGATCATGCCTCATTAAAGTTTGGAAATGTAATGAATACACAGAAATAGTGGCATCTCATCAAGAGCGTTCCCAGGAGAAAAAGAAGAAATCCTCTTAAAAACAGAAGTTGGTTGTGTTAGCCAAGAGGCAGTGTTCAAGCAGATCACCTGCAGATTACTTAGGATTACCAAGAAAAAAATACCCTGGTGTAGGAAATGAGTGGTGGTCGCCACCCTGCCCCTTAAAACTGAAATTCACAATACCGGTGCTGGGACAGCCAAGGCCTTGTGCCTCCTGATAAAGCAATAATTAGCCTGAACATAAGCTATAACAACCTAGCTTAAAGTTTGTAGGAAAAAGAGGTAAAATAATGCCTTCAGGAAGCTGTTAGGTCAGTCCAGGACATGGGATTAAAGTTTTGTCATGGAAAGCTCGATGAGGCAGTGCTGCTGGAGGCCATTGTGACTGAAGAGCCCCATCCCACTGCCTGATGCAGTGCTGTTCTCCTTGGGGCCTGGATTGGTGCTGGTCGGAGGTCAGTTTTAGAATGTATTTTGGAGACGTGTACAAGTGTGAATTTGGGCCAAAGAGTGCTGATTTTATAGAGTTGGTTTTCTAACAGATGAAAATAATATTGTGATATTGTAGAATAACAACCATAACCAAAGAGGTGCACATTAAAGTAGCTATGGGATATGTCAGCAGCTTTGCAGATCATTTAAATACAGTCCCTGTAATGAGTAAGTATGGACGATGTAGGTGGAGAAGTCACAAATGGCAATGTAGTACTTTGCTGAGCAAAGTTGAAGGCAAAAAAAGCGAATATTTTGTTTTACCTTTTCAAACATTTTGGATTTGGACATTCTGACAGTAAAAGTTTTAAGGCTAGGACAAACATTTGTTGCATTCGGTGAGGTGCTTTTTGGGGGAAAAAAAAGTAATGTTTGTGCGCCTATATCAGTATTGGAGTGCCTGGGTTCAGCTCCCACCTCAACTCCCAGTTCCAGCTTCCTGCTGTACGCACTCTGGGCAAGCTGCATGTGATGATTCCAGTTTTTGATCCCTGCTAACCTGTGTGAGAGACTCCTGGCTTCAACCTGCTCCATGCTGACCCAGGCAGGCCCATAGAGAATGAACCCGTGGGTGGGAGATACCTGTCTCTCTGTTTCTCTGCCTTTCAAATAAATAAAAATGCATCTGCCACTTCACAGCCTTTTGGCTAAGATCAAGTGTAGTCAGAATACATCTAAAGAACAAAACAACTTTGTCCTTTGTAAAAATATATTGGGGGAGGGCCCGGCAGCATGGCCTAGCGGCTCAAGCCCTCCTCACCTTGAGCGCCCCAGAATCCCATATGGGTGCCGGTTCTAATCCCGGCAGCTCCACTTCCCATCCAGCTACCTGCTTGTGGCCTGGGAAAGCAGTCAAGGACGGCCCAAAGCTTTGGGACCCTGCACCCATGTGGGATACCCGGAAGAAGTTCCTGGCTCCTGGCTTTGGATCGGCATAGCATTGGCCGTTGTGCTCACTTGGGGATTGAATCATCGGATGGAAGATCTTCCTCTCTGTCTCCCCTCCTCTCTGTATATCTGACTTTCCAATAAATAAATAAATCTTTAAAAATATATATATCTATATTGGGGGAAAAAAAGCCTTTCCCTGAAATCCTGTAGTTTGTCTGAGAATTACTGCCAGTACAAATACACAAACTAAACAGGCAGGGGAAGAGATCGAGCAACAGTGCCAGGCTGAGACCCTCTATGCCCAACAGCTCTTCAAAGTTCCGTTGTTTGGTGGCAGGGGGCTGAGCCAAGTCACAAGAAAGGGAAAGAGTGGACAGCTGACAGAACTATCTGCTGCTGCAATATTTATTACTTTTAAGTCAGAATTACTCTTTAAGATGGATTCTTTATATAATTCAAAAGCTGCAACAATTAATATAATTCATAGATTTCCAGTTTATCCCTGCAGATAGCTAGGTGTTCGTCTTTATTTTTTTTTTAAGATTTATTTTCATTGCAAAGGCAAATTTACAGAGGAGAGACAGAAAGATCCATCTACTGGTTCACTCCCCAAGTGGCCACAACAGCTGGAAAGGAAGATATAGAGAAAAGTAGATACAGAAAGATCTTCTGTCTACTTGTTTAGTCCCCAAGTGGCCACAGTGGCCGCAGCTGAGCCAATCAGAAGCCAGAAGCTTATTCCAGGTCTCCCACATAGGTGCAGTGTCCCAAGGCTTTGGTTAATCTTCTATTGCTTTCCCAAGCCACAAGCAGGGAGCTGAAAGGGAAGTGGAGCAGTCAGGATACGAACCAATGCCCTTATGGGATCTCAGCAGATGCAAAGCAGTGATTTAGCAAATAGGCTATCGTGCTGGGCCCTGAATTTTTTAATAATTGTTTTCAATGTTGTATTCTTCAAATTTAACAGCTTTTAATTTTTCATCACTTTTTGTAGGTTATCCGCACTTTAGATCCTAAACAGAATCAAGGAGCAGCACCAGAAATACAAGCTCTTAAAAACCAGCTCCAGGAACGGGACCGGCTTTTCTACTCCTTAGAGGTAATATACTGTATGCTGTGTGATAAAATACTCATCTTCGGGTTTTTTTTGTTTGTTTGTTTTGCTTTGTTTTGGTTTGATTTTTTTTTTTTTTTTTTTTTTTTGCTTTCTGGAAACAGAAAATTACAGTTGGATATAGACAACTGTCAGTGTCTTATTTTAATTGAATTATTTTCTAGCTTTACATGTGTGCATGTGTTTGTTCTTTAGAAAGAATATGAGAAAACGAAGAGCCAAAGAGAGATGGAGGAGAAGTATATTGTTAGTGCCTGGTACAACATGGTAAGACATGAGCACCTCAACCTACTGCGAAGTCCTAGGAACCTGGAGTAATTACTGCACTGCCTTTATTGCAGAAGTAATTCTGCCAAATTAGTGTGAAAGTGATTGCTATCCTAACATACTAACAGAACCTGAGCAAATACTTACCTTGGGGCTGAAAAAGCAGTATGAGAGTCACCATGAACGGGTTCAGGATATGCCGCATACATCACCCAAGGAGATAGCAAGATGAATGCCAGTTTAATGTCAGATCTGTTTATTGTAAGGGAGACGGACATTCAGAATATCTAAACATACATGCAGCATCTTTTGTTGAGGGGAACTGTTACCAGGGCTTTGCTGAATGTACTTCCATTGTGGATGCCTTAGCCATCTCACAGATCAGACCCTGAATCATCGGAAGGTTTTGCGATTGAGTATTTCAGTACACACAAACTATGTGTGTTACAGGGGGAACTTGTGTGCTTCAGCGTGAGGAGAGTTGTGCTTGTTTTAAAATGCTCAATTTTTTCCAACATTTCTTTCTCAGGCTTTTTGTCTGTTTATGTTGTTCTTCCCGAAAGAACCTCTTTTTTTCATTTCAAAGTACTAATTATGTAAGAGAGAAAAATGAAACCAAACTCCTTGCTTTATCCCCTGTGTGAGCCCAGGGCACTGTAAATGAGACAACACCATTATTTGTGTGTTAGTTGTAATAGATACTGCCTATTAAGGGTTAGTGTCCCTGGTCTGAAAATTTGGTTTGATCTTTTTCAAAAATTCATGAATTCAGGACAGAATTTTGGCCCAGTTACTAGGACACAGCTTGGGATACTGACATGCCATGTCCGAGTGCGTGGGCTCAGTGGGATCAGGTCCTGCCTCCACTGTCTGTGTGCCTTCCCTGGGGGGCAACAGGTGGGACGCTGAAGACCTCGGGTCTCTACCACCTGCGTGAGAGATGCAGGTCAAGTTCCAAACTTCCTTGCCTTGGCTGAGGCCAGCCCTGTTTGTGGTGGGCATTTGCCATGTGAATCAGCAGATGGTCCTTCTCTCTGTCTCTACCTTTCAGGCAAAACTAAAATCATAGCTTTTACATTTATAAATTAGATAACATCAATATGTATTTTTGTCTTGGTCAAAACTGTTCAGTTAAGATTCTATCACAATTTTTTTAAAGGAGGATGTATTGGACTTATTATATTGTTACCAAGTGTAGGTCTCTTGAGAAGTAACATTTTAAGAATAGAGACACACCACATATTTAAGGAATTTCTCTAGAATCCTGAGCACAGTAACACCACCTATGTAAGAACCCTGAGCATGGTCATTTTTCCTCTCTGTCCTCCCCTAAGCTTAGTGCTCAGTTCTGCGAATCGATTTTTATTAGTAACCTAACATTTTTATTGGTTTTGTGATTTGCACATTGTTTCTTAATTGGAACCAGATATATTTCTTCTTTGATACAGTACTGAGGAGGAGCCCTAATTGCACACTGCTCAGTAAAGAAATAACTCTAAACAAACTCTCAGAGTTGGGTTCACATATGTTGTAGTAACAGCATTCCGCTGACCTGCTCGGGCGGCTCAGGAGGTGGGGATTGCTGGGGAAGGGCTCTAAGGTGCTCAGAAGTCGAGTCAGTGTCTAGAGGTCAATATTGATAGCTTGAAAACGTGTGATGACTTCTCAAATGCAAAAATGAAAAAAAAAAGTGCTTTAAATATAGTAGCATATGTAGCCAATTTAAATATTTGTTACTTTTTCAAATCAAACTTTTTCAAGCTGAACTTAAAAAGTTCTGAATTATCTCATTGGAAAATGTGTATTAGGATGTGCAATAGGGGGTGCATGATAGACTAACATAAAACAAGAAATGCAATGCCAGGGCAAGTGCTTTCTCTAAAAGCCACATAGTAATGGGAAGATTTCTCTTCTGTGCTTTGTTCATTTCATTCCAGGAAAGCTAAATTTCATGTTCATACCATCTGGCTTATCCACCTGACCTCTTTTGCCTCCTCATGGCTTGTCTCTTGCTGTTGCCAGCTTCACTTGTAAGCATTAGGGATAGGATTCAACATCAGCTTCTGTCATGCTGTTTTCTCTGTCCAGGGTTCTTCCTTGCTTGTTAGCTTTTTGTCCTGACACCCCCCGCCTTTAGGCCAGTAGTGCTATTATTGTCTGCACCACATCCAGACTCACCGTGGGTTTCCTCCCTCGATTAAGGCACTCTCAACCCAATAAGTGCATGCCTAGGCTATCCTTCCCTGGCTCCAAGAAAGACCACCTTGCTCTCTCAGTTGGGCCCTGTGTGGTGGCCCCAGGAGCTTCTCTTAGTTTGTTTGAGAATACAAGTCGGCCTGCAAGTGAAGAGAACCATCACAGTGGTATGTATAACATCTGGTGTGGCTTTCCATCTTAAGAAACAAGTGCGTTTCCGTTTTTCCATCCTATATAAGCTCAGTGATTTCCATTGCCCATCTGAATCAGCTGCCACCAATCAGTTGCACTTTTTTCTTGGCAAATTACCTTGTACACTTTAGAAGGGAATTGTGATTTGAATGTGGGGATTATGTTCCTGAAATCTGTCTCTGTGATCTATTGTTTTGGTTATCAAAATGCAAAAAACCCTTAATTTTCCTAAAATTTGTAATTAATTATTGGAACTAAAATACCTCTATAAAATAATTCATAAAATAATTTGTAATTCATATTTCTAATTGTGCTTTGTATGCAGTGTGACAAATTCTGCATGATGACATTTTGTAACAGATATATTATTCCACTCCTTTTACATTGATTGCTTATATTGCTGTTGTTTTATAATGCTACAGGGAATGGCTCTGCATAAAAAGGCGGCTGAAGATAGACTGGCTAGCACAAGTTCCGGGCAGTCATTTCTGGCTAGGCAAAGGCAGGCAACCAGCACAAGAAGATCTTACCCAGGCCATGTTCAACCAGCCACAGCAAGGTAGAGCAGTCTGCTGTGAGAAACAAAAAAACAACCTGCATTCAAAGCATCCTTCTGTTACATGTAACAACATTTCAGGAAATTCAGCCAGCTTATTTTTTCTTTCTCTTAGATGTTATTATTTAGTGCTTCTTATCTGAGGACTTTTCTCTCTCCTGTATCTCTTTTCCTTTCCCTTGTCCTTTATTTTATAATCCTTTCAGTTCCTTTTAATGTGCCAAAAATTTGTAAGTGTCCAATTAAAAGTGTTGTATAATAGTGTAATACTTTCCTTTGTATGAAAATGTCTTCTTCCCCAATGCTTTGTAATGAATTAGATTTTCTGCCAATGATTGATATAAATTTATATTCTTTATTGTGCCTATGTGTTACCATGCTTTATAAGAATGTCTTTGTTTAAAGGGAATTAATCTTTTTATGATGTATTGATCTGTATTTTTGATTGTTTTCCAATTGCACTTCAAATAATTCGCATATTTACTATATAACTGGTTGGCAAGTGCACTTTTTGCAAAGATGAAAATACACTGGCAGAGGTGCTAATCATGTCACCTAAGGCACCTGGTTATTATTTAGAGAAAAAAAATCAGTTTTCATGTGGTTTTATAGGAAATTAAATCTGTCCTAAGATTTGGGGACTGTTTTTAAAACATAACTATGTAATATTTCGTTATTTCCTGCAATTTTGTTAGCTGGCAGAAGTAAATGCATTGGTGAGATTATTTGTGGGAAAACTATAGAAGAAAAAAATCAGGCAGTGCATTTTTTTTCCTTATTTTGGAATATCTTCTAGCCAAGGATTAAGTCTATCAGCGTATTTACCAGTTACTCTGTTACACTGCACATCCATGTGATCTATTTCTCATACACTTACAATTAAGGTATTCCTTTTGGGTAGTTTGTTAACTTGTCCATCATTTGTTTCATGTATTCCTTCATTTATAAACCCATTCATTTATTATAATTCTCTATCTTTAATACCATTCAGATCATTAAATGACTTCTTATATGTAGTATTATTATGAGAGCTCTCTTCATAATTTTTTCTTAAATCTGGTAGTCCTAGATTTTGTTGCTGAGTGGCTTTTCTGGGTTTCAGAATGTTTCAGTTGTAAGTTGTGTTTATTCACATGGATGAATGCCTGTGGAGTCATCGCTGGAAGGCCCCTTGTTGTCTAAGGTGCTATAGGTGTAAAAGCAAACATTCATGTGACAGTGAAATACCTTCTGTCCTGTCCAGCTTCCCATTTTGACTCATGTACATGTTTGTCCCAATATATTGAGTTCCTCTGCAGCACAGCAAATATTTTTTTAAAAGTAAAAATTTTCTGAAATTAGGTCAGAAATATTTCTTGTACTTGATGCGTGAAAGATCGGTTTTCATTTAGGTCTGATTGTCAAATACAAATATATCACTTCAAATTCAGGAAAATGTAATTTAAGTGTTAGAAATTCTTATGCTTGATTTTTAATTGTTTATGAATTAGTTGACAAGAATTAGAAGCATTTTTGTCATTAGAAAATCTACTTGAGGAAAGGCATTAACATAAACACAGAAGTGACTCCAGGCATTGTGCTAACTTTACATTAAATGCGGAAGTTGAGCACACCATGAACACTTTTGCCTGATGCTACTACAGAGCAGCAAGAACTAGCAAGCACGGAGAACTCTACATGAGCAGAGTGCAGTATGGGGGCTTCTTAAGAAACTGAGATGAGAGCGTAAAGCTCTTGTAGGATGCTTCTTCCCCTTACCCTGTTTCACAGATAGCACGAAGATTCACATGATTATGAAACATATTAGGATGTGAACACTGCTGGCCTTGGTGAAATAAAAACGAGAGCATGATACTTGCAGAGTAAGGCAGGTGGAAACAACAGAATGTATAATAATAAATGAGAGTATTCTGTGAGATGAGACATTTTAATTTTCATTCTCTAGTTATTCTCAGTCCTGGTCTCCTAGCCAAATATTTTTCTCTAAATGGATTGGAAAGGTGCCAATCTCTTAGAAGTTTTATTTCGGATTCTTATTTAGCATCTGTTGTATGCTTTGATTTGGATGTTTACATTTGTAACTTTCATTACATAAAGAGATGATATTTCTAAACATTTGATGATGTTTGAAAACAAAACAGGTATTTTTAATAGCAAACAACATCTGAGTGTGCTTTGGGTATTGGAAATCCTAGAATAAAACTGCACTAAGGCCGTGGCCACGGTCTCTTCCCTTGTCTGGCTTTTGGGCAGGGTTTAAGATCTCTTTTCTCCACTAAAGGTTAATAATTCTCAGGAGAGATGGGTGGTGATCTGTGGTGTTTCCAGAACGTGAAAGATATTAGGAACTGAATGTAGATGTACTAAGCTCCAACTCCTGTACACAGTAATTTCATGAAGCCACTGTGTATGTGTGTGTGTGTGAGCGTGCACATGAGGGACTGAGCTTGGCATTGGCAAGTGGTGTGTGCAATGTTCATGTGCCTGGTTGAGTGAGCCACAGCTGTAGCATTTGAATTCTTGTAAACGGAAAGCTATTTTCCTGATAACAAGCGCAAGAAATTCAATGTAAACACTTAATGAACGTTGAAAGAATGTTTATATTTTTAAATTAGTAGTACAATTTAAAAATCATATGTATTAATTTTTTAATCCAGCAAATATTGTAGTTCATCATATCTGAAAAGAGAATAAGTTATACAATATTTTTAAATGAGTCTTCAAAGACGTGACTTGATCTTTTTACCATTTCTCTAAATTACTCAATAATGACAACAAAAGGAGTGAGCCCTAAATAAAAGGCCCATACTCCAAAATTTAGCAGCATTTAATTATTTCTGTTGGATCTCGTTAGCCAGGTGAGATGGGCTGCCTGAGGTAGAGTGTGAGGGTGATGTTGTGGGCCATGTTTTCATTGTACCAAAGTAAGCTAGCACCCAGTCAGAAACTTCACTCTGTGTATTTCATTAGCTCTCTCAAGGAAATATCCAAGCAGCGAAAATAGATGAACAGTGACAGATGTTGAAGAACACATGCATTTTATATTTGAGCTCCTCTTCTCAGGTTCCCTCTGCGGTCAGTTCTTGATATCTGAGGAATGAGAGCAAATGCTTCTGATTGTATCTCACTCCCACATGAGCATTCATCTTGTGTTGTAATGATCACACCATGTTAAAATCTTCTTGAAACATAAACTTAAGTTCTTGAAGATTCATTTCACTCTTTTCCTTTTTTCTTCAGTTATGCAGATCTCTGACACCAAGATATTGCAGTTATCCCAGGTTGGGAAGAGGGAGCTCAACTAGTTGATAGCCAGGTGGATAAGGACATCTTTGGTTCAAGAGTGAGAGAAAGATGCTTCCACTTTGTGTTGTCTATTCACTATATACAGAAGAATAGCTTTACTTGTTACCCTTCTGTGAAGATGGAATTCTTTGCCTGGTATAGTACTGTGCGAGGCTGTGACCCCACTCTGACGCTCCAGGAGGGCAAAGGGTGGCTGAGCAGAGTGCATGGGCATTGGATGCTGGGGATCTTTTCATCATGTTGGGTTTTTGTTTGTTTTTAATATGTAAGTTAGATGGGTTTCCTAATCAGTTTTTTAAAAAGTCAGCTCTGTTGGCTTTAGTTCCTATGTTTCTACCTGAGGAAGAATATTGTCAGTGTGTTTGTCATTTAAAGTTTTACATCCTATGAAAATACCTAGTGTTGCTTTTATTGAAAAATTTCAAAATGTTTTTATTTTGTGATTTTAGCACAATATTTTTACAATTTTTATGGTAAAAGCTACTTAGAAGCTTAAATAAGTGTAAGTACAGTTTGGTACTGCTGTTTCACTCTGCTATTTCTTGTCCCCCACAAATCACACAATTATTCAGATGTAACTTTCATCTTTATAAAATGAACAACACAAACATGACATCACAATCTCTTAAATCAAGGGTTATACTGTTGGGAAGTCCATGCTAATTATAAACAGCCTTAGCAAGCCAGGTCACATGTATTTATGAATATAGAAACTTTGAAAGTTAAGACAACACATGAAGATGTTCACATTACATTGAAATGGTAAGAAGGGACATTAGTTTGTTTGCATAACAAAAGGCATAAACTTGATTATGGCAAGTATGTGATTTTAGCATTTGTGGCAAGGTCTATGGATGCTTCCTAAGACATGCATATATAAGTATGTAGCAAGATTGCTTGATGTCTCTTTTTCTTATATTTGCTGGTAGCAGTCTGTAAGACTAGATTTGCATGCTGTGTATGAAGTCAGAATAGAAAATTAAGAAAGTAGCAGAAGACTATTCAGGCCAATCCCTCCTAGTGAGTTCAGAGGATGACTACATTAAGAATGGCCTGATTGTGAGTGAGTATCCAGGCAGATGGTAGTACTAAGACACTCAAAACTTTTGCTTAAAGTAATGCTTAACATCTATTAATGTGATCATTCAATAACAGAGTAGAAAAATATAGCTTATTTTCTTAGTGTCTCTCAGTAGCTGTTAAGTAGGCACATAATGAAACTGTATATCAATTAGTTGAGGGGGGGGAAACAATTATTTTCATTTTGGCATTGTTAAGCCGTGGCTAAACCTGAGATAGTGATGTTTGATCATCATAAGGATTCTGTGATTTGATGAGTTGACAAGAAACTGGTAGTGAATCACGCTTGTAAACAACTTCCTAACAGTTGTCTAGAGCTGCTGTCTTATCTTGTTTGCAAAACCACAGGCTCCATTTTACAACTAAGAAGAGCAGCCCCTCACAAAAGTCTGTGGAAGATGAAAGCAAAGTAGACATTTTAAAATATTTTGAAAATGAGCCATTATGCCCTGGCTCAGAATTAGAAGCTTAGGGTCTGACAATGTAATCAGAGATGTGTATAGATCCCTGGAACTCCCAGATCCGGTATTAAAGCAACTTCCAAGTGAGAAAAAAGAAAACTACCAAAGCATAAGAGGTTTTAACATGTCTAGGAGATTTCTGAGCAGTCTTATCACCCGAGAGGTCTCTAAACTGAAGGAGAATACTTAGTGGTTGTGTTGTAAAGCTGCCTGTGAGGAGCTGTGTGTTCGTGTTGTGTGTGTCAACACTGTTAGATGTGAGTGTGGTGTTGTGTACTATCCTGATCATTGCATGCTGTTTATACCTCACAACTCTTGACTCCCTCTACACCCCGGTTCCTGTCTCAAAGTCAGGACTCTGAAGGTCTAAGTCTGGAAACCTGAAGTTGGATGAGGGCTCCTAACAAGACCTACAGAACCCCCTCAAATGCAGACACACTCAAAACTTCTCATTTGCTAGAGTTGCATCAATGAAAACTAAGCTGTCTTCTGGTTAATGTGAAGATTTGCCTACCTTTGACTCTCTCCTGCAAAATTGTCTCTTAAATTCACCATCCATGCCCAAGGATAAGAGAATAAAAGCTGGTTCTAAAAGCTGACAAGTCAGGTTATTTGACAAATGGTGGGGGTTGAGGGAAGGCAGGCCCTCCTAAACATGTCAAGATGATACAGGAGGACTCTTAGTTCTGTAACAGATATGCTTTATAAACTGGGCTCTTTTTTTTCTTTTTCCTTTTCTTTTAGTTAGAGATACAGGCTGATGGACAGACACATCCCATCTCTGGTTCACTCCCCTAATGCCTACAATGGCCAGGCAGAAGCTGGGAGCTAGGTAGGAACTTACCCAGGTCTATCAGGGACCCCGTTAGTTGCACCATCACCACTGCCCTCTAGAGGCCGCTCTAACAGGAAGCTTGAGTCCAGAGCTGGGAATCAAGCCCCAGGTACCCAACCTTGTTACATAGGCATCTTCACTGCTACAGCAAATGTCCACCCTTGGCCATTTTTTCAATGCATATTTAGCAAAGTTTTCAGCTTGTTCTATTGAGAGGTTTTGGCGGGGGAGAGGATTGTTTGTGTTTTAGGAACTGGGATTCCTCGATTTGTAACTTGGATATATTAGTATTCCAATTATAGTCCAAAAGTTTGGAGATGCTTGTTGTGACATGAACTGACACTGAGTGATTACTGCCAAAGAATGGGGAAATCAGCTCGTGAGAGCATGAAGGTGCTTTACGCTTTTTAGCATCTGTGGTGTGAACAGTCTGTGTGCTGCTGTCCTCCGCGTCACCCTGTCCTGGGGTGCACTGGTTTGGCAGGACACCTGCCAGGGCCACAGCCCAGCAACAGAAAAGTACACCTCACCTTCCCAAAGCAAAAGCTCTACATTTACACATGAGGACAAAACACAGAGGTTCAGTTAGTAGAAGTACTGATTCATTGCTAAAACAGATAAAACTCTTCCTGTCTTATTCCTCCTGGCTGCTTTTGTTGGTCTAAAGGAGAACATCAGTGGTCCCATGTGATGATTTCGGTGGATTTTGTGTGCGTCAGTTAGCTCGCCACAGCTCAGATGCTCTGCAGCCACCTGTTCTGGGAACCCGGGGCACCCAAACAAAAATAGGGACAGAGTGAAGGCTGTCGTTAACCTGTGGCAGCTCTTGTGTTCTACCACTGCAAAACTTTCTTCTTAGAAAAGAAAATAAATAGTAGCCATTTATTATGACCATGAAAAAAAAATCTAGACCCCATTGAGTTAAGGTAATTATTAGTATATTCATTTTTTTAAATAGATTCTCAGTGCTTTATTTCAGGTGATTAAATCATTTGGTGAGCAATTTCTTAGGATCTTTTCAGTGATAATATTGTTATCTAATATTTACCCAACAAAAACTGATATGGATACCAATTTTCAAGTAAAAGTGAATAAACTTCATTATATGTTATTACTTTTAAGCCTATATGGGCCTAATGAGAGTTCCCAACACTTTCTTCTGTTCCTTTAAGCATTTTTCCCCAAAGTCACATTTAACTATCTTCCACCTCCAAGATACGTACATCAAGATCCAAATAATTTGACTTTCCTCATAGCTTGTGGCTGTTATTAACTTGAGTTATAATCAAGTTTTATGTGTAAAGCAGACATTGACTATTCCAATGACTTAGCTAACGAAAACATTAAGATAATGTCCTTGAGCTGGTACTAAACTACTTCACTAAAAGACTGTATGGTTATATCTGTGAATTTTTAAATGAAAATCGTGTTCCTCTTGAATGAGTGCAGCACTTCAGTAAAGCTGCACTATTAGGAAGTCTTGATGCGCCTCTCTTCTTTAGTTTTTGTAATGAGGAAACAAGCTTGATCAGATGGTGTCAACTTCCACACAAGGTGTGATGGAATTCTTAGGGCAGTCCAAGGACAGATGAGCAATAGTGTGACTTAAGCTAATTTTATCACTTTCTTGGTGACCTGGTTTACATAATGTTCTACAGAGACTCACACTAGTTAAGGGAAATTTTCAGTATGCTTAAAATAAGAAATAGTATTTTAGTAAAAATGCAGGAAGTGACTGTCTACAAAGATAGCAGTGGATGATTTGGGGGCCTTTTCAGTTTTTTTTAACAATAGTCTTGTTATTAAGAGTCTTAGTTATTTATAATTCATATGCACTAAAATGTCATCACTTTCACTAACTGCTGTTTACACTTTCTGTATGTTTGGGGATGCTTTGTACTCAGAAGGAAATTTCCAGGTTTGTCTTATTTTGCAGTTTTCATGTTTTGACAATAGCCTATTATTTATAACACTTATTTTTTGACTGTGTTATGACTGGTAAAATTCAAACATATCCGATTGTTTAATAAGTTGCCTTATTTTGATTAGCAAAATCAGAGTGTCAGAAATTTGGGGATTTTAAAAGAGACTTTTTTTTCCTCTGTAGTCCTTTTTACACTTCTCAGATGTGCTGGAAAAGATCTTCGTACATTGGAGCTGGGGCTGTGTTAGTCACAGGACCCACTCTGGAGCCTTACCCTCATGTCTTAAGTACTGATTGTTCTCTGGGTTATGGGTTTCTTCTTCAACATTACAGTTATCCACCTTGCACTATAGCCTTTGCAGAAAGAATATTGCTACAAGTAGTCTTGTTTCTGGCTGACTATTAAATTTATAGTTTCATCATTTCATTCTTTGTCTTTATAATCCAGAAATGATGTCCATGTAGGACTTGCTTCACAACTGAAACACAATACAGATTTAGCCACTTTGTACATAGTGGTATCCAAGCATTTCTCCACCTGCTTACAAAATTTATCTACAGTTTACTGTTTTTGGACATTTAGTGGGTATTCTTGCTGGTTTTCTGAGATGAATTACTTGCTAGAGAGCTTCAGTAAGAAATTTTACCTACAGTCACAATAACTCACCACCCAAGATGAAATTTTAGTTTTTTTTGAAATTTTATATTTTGTTTTGATAATCACTCATTTTGAATTTATGACTGCCAACTTGTTATGGTATTATGTGTATGTGTTTATATGTATGCATATAATATATGTATATGTATATGAAGAGTAAAGTTAAGATTTGGTCAAACTATATTTTCCCATTCAAGTACAAAAATGTTTTCAAGGCTGCAAAAAGTGTACAGTTGTTAAACAAGTTGTAAATAAAGACTTGTATAAAAATGTAGCTCAGTTTTGTTGTTTTGTTCTTGAATCGTGACAAAAACATGTAGTAATTGAATAATTGAATTATTTCCACTTTCACTTACTTGCCATACTGTCCTGACAACTTACAGATCATGTTACTGACTTATCATAAATCAGAAATACATATTCTTTTAATTTTCCTCCAGGATCGGCACTAGATTTTGCATTGAGTTAGCCTGGTACAAAATGCTTGTAAATGACTAGGCAAAAAACACAGGGTTAGAACTTCAATATGAATTCTTGCATCTTAAGAGTTATGTTCTCCATTTCACCACACAAGTACAGCATTCTTTGCATCAGTGTAACTTCACGAGATAAGACATTATCACTGAAGCATCCTAGTTAGGCAGCAAATGTCCCTTGTCTAACCTTGTAGACCCATTGGGCTCCATCTGTTCTCCTAAACATTATTGAAATCTGACATAAGGTTGTAATAGTAATTTGGAAGTAAATAACATTTGACATTGGTGGGATTATTTAAAAACAAACAACCAGATTATCCCAAAGTGAAATTAGCAGTAAGTAAGGTAGCATTATACATAGCTAAAATAATGTTCATGTTTATGTGCACTTAGTATGACATTTCAATATCAGAAACAGTTTATTTCCTAGCTGGACTGTAACTATATTAGGTTCCTGCATAGTATCTCTCCTGTTTGCCTGAAGTGCATGTATGTTGCAGCATCACAAACCATTCTGCAGTTTAGCAGCTCTCAACCATCTCACACTTCAGCTGAGTCCAGTGCAGGTGCTCTCAGTTGAACTTGCCCTTTCAGGTGTGATTAGCTCACCGGAAGACTCGCCGTGTGCCGGCTCTTGGGCTGGCCTGCTGACATACCAAAGACTCATGGGGCAACTACCAGGTCTAGACTAGATCTTCTCACTATCTGAACCCTCAGATGGGGTGTACACATACTGTGCAGCCAGCTTCGAACTTAGCCAAAGTTCTCAGTCACAGGAGAAAGGTACAGATCTGTGTAAGGTCTAACCTTGAGAGGTACACAGCCCTGCTTCTCTATTGGTCAGAACTCAGAAACAAGACCAGCCAAGTCAAAGCAGAACATAGTCTGCTTCTCAGTGGAGGAATGGTAAGTCCCACAGCTACCACCCTGGATTCTGAAAGGAGGAAACTATGAAGATCATACTTCAGAAGGAAAATTAGAGAATACTTGAGTGCCCTGGTCCCTAATTCCTGGGACTGTATCATAAAGAACTTTCCCAAAATATGAATACGTCTGTTTGTGTGTGTGTGTGTGTTTTAAGATTTATTTATTTTTATTGGAAAGGCAGATATACAGAGAGGAGAAACAGAGAGGAAGAGCCTTGGTCCGATGATTCACTCCACAAATGACCACAACAGCTGGAGCTGGGCCAATCTGAAGCCAGGAACCAGGAGCTCTCCGGGTCTCCCACACGGGTGCAGGGTCCCAAGGCTTTGGGCCATCCTCGACCACTTTCCCACGCCACAAGCAGGAAGCAGGATGGGAAGTGGAGCTGCCGGGATTAGAACTGGTGACTATATGGGATCCCAGCGCATGCAAGGCAAAAGGCTTTAGCCACTACGTTACTGCACCGGGCCTGGATACATCTGTTTGTAATGATGAATTCAGCATTTTAAACCAAGGGCTCGTCAGACCCCTTTATAATATTTCCAGCCTTGCCAGCTCCCCGGATGTCAATCCTGCTTTTCATGCTTTCTATCATCTCCGTGTCGTAGGCCCTCATTTTTGTCCGGCCGCATTTTCTCAGCATGATCACCTTGAGGCTTTCCATCTTGTGTGTCTGTTCAAGGGTCACCCATTTATATGGGTGAGGAGTATTCCATTGTATAGCTGGTTCACCTCTAATTGATGCATTCACTTGGTGGTGGACATTGGTGTTTTCTTCCCCCAATGTGTCACTGTCACAAATGAAGCCATTGTAGATGTTTGCTTATAAGCACTTGCATACACACCTAGGAGTGGAATACCTGGGTGATATAGGATGTCTGTGCACAATTTTTTAAATGTTGCCAAGCTATATTCTGAGGTGGTTAGGCATTTTATATTCTCAACAGTGTGTGAGTTGCCCAGGTCTTGATGAGTACACCTGCATTTTGGGTCCTTTTTTTTTTTTTCAAGTGAGAGGCAAACCTTGCCCTTTGTTACTAAACAATCTTTTGCCACTTCAGCAGAATTCCCAGTATCTACATGCTGATTCCTGCCACTGCTCAGGCCCAAAGTCCTGAAGAAAACTTGGCCTTCCCTCTCTTTCCTCATCTTTCCCCCATATGCATAGTCAGCAAGTGTTGATGATGATGACTTAAATCTTTTTTTGACGATTTATCTGTATTTTATTGGTAAGTCATATTTCAGAGAGAAGGAGAAACAATGAGAAAGATCTTCCATCCACTGGTTCACTCCCCAAGCAGCTACCATGGCCAGATTGAGCCAATCTGAAACCAGGAGCCAGGAGCTTCTTCCAGGTCTTCCATGCAGGTGCAGAGTTCCAAAGTCTTGGGCTGTCCTCTATTGCTTTCTCAGGCAACAAGCAGGGAGCTGGCTGGGAAATGGAGCAGCCAAGATATGAACCAGCACCCATATGGGATCCTGGTGCATGCAAAGTGAGGACATTAACCATTAGGCTTCTGCACTTAGCCCTCTTAAAATTTTTACACAAATTTTTGCCTCACCACTTATAACATTATTGCTGAATTTTTTTTGGAAAGATGTATGTATTCCCAGAGATACAGGGAGAGAGGGAAACAGATATTCCCTGTGCTTGTCCATTCCCTAAATGGCTACAATGGCCAGGGTAGGGCTGGTCCAAAGCCAGGAGCCAGGAGCTTCTTCCAAGTCTCCCACATGGTTACAGAGGCCCACTTACTTGAACTGTCCTCCACTGCTTTCCCAGGGGTATTCACAGGAAGCTGAATCGGAAGTGGAGCAGATAAGACTCCTAGATGGCACCAATACAGCATATTGGTGTTGCAGACAGCAGTTTAACCAATTATACAGCATTTCTGCCATTTCCAGAGCTACTGTCTCTCCTCTGCCACAGTAATCCCCTCTGGGCTTCCCTAATTCTATCTTCACCTGTGATGCCACTATAGTTTGCATAAACTGAGGACAATTCATTCTCAATACGGAAGTCATAGTGTCTGGCAAAGCAAAAGATACCCATAGCCAAACTTCACATCTCACAAGTAAAAGGCAAAATTGTGTGGGACAAGGAAACACAGATATTTCCTGCCCTTCTGTAAGTCTGACTTTCATCTCCCATTCAATCACTGCACTGCAGTCACAAGGGCTTCTTACCAGATGTCTTCATGTCTGCACTTCCACCAGGAATGGCTTCCCACAGATGTCCACCTGGAAAAATTAAGACAAAAAATGATTAAAAAAAAAAAGATGTCCATCTGGGCTTGCTCCATCTCCATGGAATCGTTCTTCAAATGTCACCTACTCAGGAGGGCTTCCTAACCAGGAACTGTCAATAGTAACCCAACTGTTGCAGTTTCAAAGGCTTTCTGAATACACGCTAGTATGTAGACCCCAAAGTCAGGGGGTTGGTGATGCAGAGGGGTGGAAACTTGCCCCAGTGACGGTTCATACAAGGTGTTCAGATGCAACCATGAGGCCTTCATGAAGTTAATGTCATTGTCAAACAGTCTATGAAAAGGGAGTTCTCATTCTTTAGTGGGAGAAATTTGAGGGGTTTTTTTTTTTCTTTAAGTTTTATTTATTTACTTCAAAGGCAGCCTGACACACAGAAATATCATCTATCCTCTGCTTCACTCTTCAAAAAACCCCAGTAGCCTTGGGCTGGATGAGGCCAAAGGCAGAAGCCAAGAGCTCAACCCAGGTCTCCCACCTAGAGAACCAAGCGCCTGGGGTACCACCTGCAGCCTCCACAGGTATGCATTAGCAGGACACTGTATTTAGGCTCTGAGCATTAACACGATGCTATATTGAAGCTGCTTCTGCAGGCGTACATTACCAGGAAGCTGAATCATAAACAAAGCTGGGACTCAAACCTGTACTCCCTGGCACGAGATGTGGGCATCCCAAGGAGAACTTTAACTGCTGAACCAGATACCTTTCTCCAGTCCTTTTATTATTTAAATAAACCAAATAAACTACACAACAGGTAAAACAAATTGAGGCGTAAATTGTCAATCATTTCACTGTTTCATTGTGCAGTTCATCATGGATTACTTTTCGTTTTTAGGAACCACTGACACAAGCTTTTCATTGCATTGCTTTCACAGCTCAATGATGCAGCTCACTAGATTGCACACTTTGGAAGCTTTTCAGGTGAAGCGATCGCCAGATGGTTGGGGATCCTGTGAAATGACTAAGCTGTCAGCTTCCACCTTCCCCCACTGCTTAGCAGCCTTCAGCATTGCTTTCTCTGTAGCAGCCAAGCAGGTTGATGCCTTCAGGTCCCTGATTGCATTGCAGGAGTAAGGGGTTGTGAGATCTGGCGAGGGAGAGAGAAGTAGGTAAGGTCTTCTTGATCTCTGCTGCCAGCCCAGAGCCTCTGTGTGCCTTGTGTTTGGCTTGATCCACGCCTGTAAAGACCTTACTGCAATCATTCTGCCCAAGAGTTAGGAAAACAGCAGGCTGTGCTTCATGGGAACCTGTTCCTGATACAGAAGCATAGGTCAGCAGAATGATATCAAAAGTCCTGGGAGGGGGCTGACTACAGTGCTGACACCCTATACGAGCTCCAAGTAAAATTCTAGCTGCTCCACTTTTTTTTTTAAAGATTTATTTATTTTATTGGAAAAGCAGATGTACAGAGAGGAGGAGAGACAGAGAGGAAGATTTCCCATCCAATGATTCACTCCCCAAGTGGCCGCAACGGCCGGTGCTGCACCTATCTGAAGACAGGAGCCAGAAACTTCTTTCTAGGTCTCCCACACGGGTGCAGAGTCTCAAGGTTTTGGGTTGTCCTTGACTGCTTTCCCAGGCTACAAGCAGGGAGCTGGATGGGAAGTGGAGCTGCCGGGATTAGAACCGGCGCCCATATGGGATCCCAGCTGCATTCAAGGCAAGGACATTAATCATTACACTATCACGCCTGGCCCCTAGCTGCTCCACTTTCTATCCAGCTCCACTTTCTATCCACTTTCTCAGCTGCACTTGAGAAAGCAGTGGAAGAACCAAGTGCTTGGGCTCCTTTACCCATGTGGAAGCCCATATGGAGCTCCTAGGGCTTGTGCCTGGCCTGACCCTATCTGTTGTGGCTATTTGGATGAAAGATTTGCTCTCTCTTTCTCTGTAACTACTCTTTTGTTACATTAGTTCTTAAAAATAAGAAAAAAAGTGGGCCCGGCATGGTAGCCTAGTGGCTAAAGTCCTTGCCTTGCATGCGTCCAGATCCCATATAGGCACCAGTTCTAATCCTGGCAGCCCTGCTTACCATCTAGCTTGTGGCCTGGGAAAGAAGTAGAGGATGCCCCAAAGCCTTGGGACCCTGCACCCATGTGACACACCAGGAAGTAGCTCCTGGCTTCAGATCAGTGTGACTCCGGCCATTGCAGCCACTTGGGAAGTGAATCAGCAGATGGGAGATCTTCCCTTCTGTAAATCTGACTTTCCAATAAAAATAAATATCTTTTTAAAAAAAAAGTGCAGAAAGAAAACAACTGCTCGGTGCTGTTGGAGTGCTGTTCCAGGTTCCAGGCCTGAGTACTCACATGTGCCAGAGTTCCAGGCAGCTGGAGGTTGGGAAGTGGGTGGCATTGGGTCCCAGGCCAGCATGCTGGCATGCATGGCATGCTGGTGGGCCGGAACTATGCATGTATGCATTTGGGTCCCAGGCAGGGGAGCAGGAAGGGCTCTAAGCTAATACAGCACCATGGACCCAGCTCCAGCCACTGAGGCCACTGGGGGAGTGAACAACCAGATGAAGACCTCTGCGTCTGTCTGTCCCTCTCTATATAAAAATCTACCTTTTCAGATTCACAGTAAGAGACAGGAAAAGAAAAAAAAAGTCTTCCACCAACTGCCTCACTCCCCAAACGGCCCCACATCCGGAGCTGATCCAGTCTGAAGCCAAAAGCATCCTCCAGGTCCTCCTTGTGCGTGCAGGGGTTCAAGGCCTTGGGTCCATTGCTTTCCATGTGCTCATCAGTAGGAGCTATGACCCACTAGGGGAGTTCCCCAGGTTCCTTCAATGGGGTCACTCCCACAGCAAGATCTCATGTTTGTCAGCAAGAGTTTGGCCCTTACACAGCATGGCTCGCCCCATCTGTCCTGGTCTTTGTATGAATTGGTGTAGCCCAGCACACCCCACACCATGTTTCAGGGTGGTCATGCTAGTGCTACAGTCTGGACCTGCCCACTAGTTCTCAGCCCCACTACCAGTGAGTTACATGGTCACACCTAACTCAGCCCATCATCATTCCAACTCTTAAGCTAACCAGCGGGTCTTGTAGTTCCATAGCGTTGGGCCCATTTGTCCCCCACAGAATCCACCCCTGGACTTGGTTCTCTTGCTAGTTGGTGTCATAGCCCAATTGATTTGACCCATTCCCTGATGTGACACTCACTGTCAGGTACTGGGATCTAGCCCTGCCAGACAGGCCCCCAGCCATAGCTTGTGTGTCATGTTCATTGTCAGTCATGTTTCATGCTAACAAGCCCAACCCAGGACTTCCATATGGGCTGGTGTATCAGTCCGACCCACAAAGATCTTCAGGTCTCTCCCCTCCAAACTACCAGGTCTCAGTCCCCTCACTTACCTGCAAGTACAGTGGCTTTGTGGTTGAGTGTCCCTCGGGATTCATTCCTCACTTACACATACAGTGGCCTTATCCATGGCAGCCAGCAGGCAGAGCTGGTGTCAGTTGGTGCACTGGCTGCCCACAAGCCCAGGACGCTCCCCTCACCCAGCAGCAATAGATGGGGAGCTAGGATCCCCAGCAGGCAGCCTGGTTCTTCTAGCCACAGATCCACATGGCTGGGAGAGTAAGGTACCTACTGTTGCTCAGACTTACTTTGGCTCCCTACTTAGGTTGTATTTTTGATTGGTAGTTTAGGATGCTTGTATTGAAATATTGGTAGAAGTGGTTGATTTTCTTTTCCTACAACTTCAAATGATATGTTGTATAGTCTATTTGAATTAATTATTAGAGTGTAGAGGAATTCATCATTGATTGGGAAGTGCATATCAGAGGATCAGCAAAGACAGAGAAGTTATTTTATAGCCCAGAAAAACAAAGTACTAAAATGTCTAGAAGTTTTTAAAAGTTAATACTTTTGGGGGCCCAGCGTGGTGGCGCAAGTGGTTAAAGGTCCTCGCCTTGCACGCCCGGGATCCCATATGGGCGCCGGTTCTAATCCCGGCAGCCCCGCTTCCCTTCCAGCTCTCTGCCTGTGGCCCGGGAAAGCAGTCGAGGACGGCCCAAGGCTTTGGGACCCTGCACCCGCATGGGAGACCCGGAAAAGGCTCGAGGCTCCTGGCTTTGGATCGGCATAGTATCGGTCCATTGCACTCACTTGGGGAGTGAATCATCGGACGGAAGATCTTCCTCTCTGTCTCTCCTGTCTGTATATCTGCCTTTCCAATAAAAAAATAATAAAAATAAATCTTTAAAAAAAAAGTTAACACTTTTTAAAAAAAAAATTAATAACCTAAAAACTTTTGTATATGTAAATAGAAGTCCCTAAAAAAAAACCAGTATATTGTTAAACACAATGGACAATCAAAGACACTTTGGTTAATTCTGACCAAAGAAAGTTTTATCTTGGAGCCTTTTTTGGGGGGAGGGGGGTGTTTCACAATGCCACATCCAATGAAGGCATTAAACAGCCTTTAAAACCATGTCCAGAGTTTATCATCACCTCCACTGCCATTGTTTCCCAAAATGTTGATAATGACCCACAGTCAGAAATAGTTATGATATGACCTGTTAAGCTTCAAAATGTGTAAATAATGAACAAAAGCTTGACCCCCCCACATTGCTTTCTTTCACTAAATAAAATGCACTCGCCTATAGTCCACTGTGCTGTGTTTTTGTGAATGGTGGTCTTAGAATCAGAGACTGGGGGGCTGGGGGCTGCAGGTCCTGCAGTCACCTGCCAGGCGGGAGTGTGAAGCAGGCCTCTGGGTCCACCTCCTGAGCCCCTCAGGACTCGGCCTCTGTGCCTTAGCCTCACTTGTTCATCCTGGGTGGGTAGCTTGGGGTTAAGCTGTTGGCTCTCTGCTCACAGCAACACCCACACTTGGGCAGCCATTCTTCCTTGAAGGAGGATTGGCTTTTATACAAAAGAGAATTTGTGTAGGGTGGGGTGAGGTGAGGAAAGGCCCTTTGACGACTAAAATGGCCCGCTGGAGGCTGGCTGCTCTGAGGTGGGAGTCAGGGGTCGCCGGTCCAGCCACTGGCCTGCCGGTGCTGGCTTCTTGACAGCTTCCAATATTCGGTCAAACGCCCGGTCGCCAAGTCCCAACCCGGGGCAAGCCTACTTCTGGAAGGCTTCCGGACCGGCTGGACAGTCTCTACCCCGACTCGCAGACTCCCGCACCGGTCCTCCCAGACCCTGCCCCAGCGCTCTGGCCCGCAACTCTATGGCCGGAAGCGAGCAGCCGGAAGTGGCCGCCAGGGTTAAGGGGCGGGGCCTCCGCCTTCCCCTCCGCTGCGGACCAAGGCGAGATGGCGGCCACCGAGGGGGTCGGGGAAGCAGCGTCTGGCGCCGAGCAGGGCCAGCCGGAGCAGCCACCGCCGCAGCCGCCGCCGCCGGCGCAGAGCGGAGAGACAGCGGCCGAGGCCGGAGAGGCGGTGCCGTCGCCTATGGACGACGGGTTTCTGAGCCTGGACTCGCCCACCTACGTCCTGTACAGGTGACGCCCCGGGAGCGGGTCCTGCATCGCGGCGTGCTGGCTTGGGAGCCTGGGAGAGGAGCTTCCCGCTCACACCGGGCAAGGGCTGGGGCGCTGCTTGCCCCCCAGGGGCGAGACCGCGGAGGATTGAGTTCATATTAGAGCCTGGGACCCTCTTGTTAGCATCGTTAGGCCGCGAGGGTGCAGAGAGCTTTCTGACTTTAACGTTCACGCGTGGAAGTGCTGCTTGAGCGCCCCTGGCTCTCCTCCACCCACCCCAGCACGCAACTCCAGCCCCTTGTGGCCGCTGCTTTTAGGGAGAAATGCCGATTCCTTGTTTTCTATGTGCACCTGCAGAAGCAAAAACATCCCGTCTTCTCCCTAGCTATGCATTCACACCCGTCAGGTGAACGAAGGAGCAGTCGCTGGCCAGATTTTATTATTGATGTAATTATTAGTGGAGCCTGTGTTTTCTAGATTTCAGTTGGTTGTGGTGACCTTGTCCCTGGACTGTGAGATGTTTAGACTGTCTGATTTCGCAGTCACCGACTTCATAGTCTCCTCTCCATTGCAATGTCCCATCTCAGGTCATTGTTCCCCCAGCGTTTCTGCTCCTTTCTTGGACACACAGGGATTGTCTGGCACCTTTTGTCAGCAGCTGATCAGGTATAGGCAAGAGTGGGTGACAGGAAAAGAGTAGGAGTGAAAGAGGGGCTAAGGTGTTGGAGCCGTGGCATTGCACGCTAATCTGCAGCTCCTGCTTGAGTCCTGGCTACTCCACTTAAATCCACTTCCGTGCTGATGTGCTTGGGAAAGCAGAGGAGGGGTGACTCAAGTCCTTGGTCCCCTGCACCCACATGGGAGACGTGGAAGAAGCTCCTGGCTCTGCTCCTGCCTAGCTCTGGCATTTGGGGAGTGAACCAGAGGGGGAAAGATCTCTCTTTGTTTCTGCTTTTCTCTCTGTTCACTCTTGAGTTTTAAATTAAAAAAAAAAAAGGCTAAAAACTGGGTCACATTAGAGAGTTCACAGGGGAATGTCTGTAAGTTGTTATCACTATAATGTAATTTTATCTTTGATAATGAGTAGTAGTCCTTGAATGCTGTGATTCGCTATGCACATTTTAAATACTTAGCATCTGTTACCTCATTGAATCCAAAAACAGCCTTCTGAGGTTGCTTGGTGATGCCAGCATCCCCATTTTAGAAGTGAAGTAGTGGGGCCCAGAAGGACTGACTTTCTCAGGGATACTTGGCTTGTAAGTGGTAGAGTGAGTACTCCAGTTTGCGCAGTTTGAGTCTGCCTGCTCTCTGACTCATCACCTGGGCCACTTGTCTGCTCTACAGAAACTGGATGTCCGTGCGTAGTAACTTGTTCCTCAAGTTTGAAAGACACGAATTCCAGTCTGCCAGCCAGTGAGCTAGATCGTTTTGCAGTGGAAACTGCCGTGTGTTTGAAACGAAGATGCTGCTTCCGAGTATAAAACTTTAAATTTGAAAGTTGTTGATCTGTTAAAAGCATCTCTATTTGAAGGATTTATTAACCTTAGAGAATTTTTGCTTTAAAAGTTCAGTGTGTAAAGCAGGTGGCCAAATGTGACCCTGAGAAACTCAGCCATGATTGCGGTAAGTCCCTCTGAGCTTTTGGTTTTAATGTAAATTTTAAGAAAATTGTTATAAAGAAGAGTTGTTTCTCTTATGTGTTTGAGTATAATCACTGAAAACAACGTGTATTTTCAGGGACAGAGCAGAATGGGCAGATATTGATCCAGTACCACAGAATGATGGTCCCAATCCAGTGGTCCAGATCATCTATAGTGAAAAATGTAAGTTTGCTTTTACTTGAAACAGGTCTGTAAGTCAGTCTTAGTAGTGGAGTTGCAGTTCACATCTGTGGGCACTGGTTCAAGTCTGAGCTGCTCCACTTCCAAACCAGGAAAGCACTGGATGGTGGCCCAAGTCCTTGGGCCTCTGTTAGCCATGTGGGAGATCGACAGGAAGCCCCTAGCTCTTGGGTTTGGGCTGGTCGCCTCAGCCTTTATGACCGTTTGGGGAGTGAAACAGTGGGTGGAAGATGTCCCTCTGGGTCTTTCCGTCTCTTTGCCACTCTGTCTTTCAGATAAATAAATGTTTAAAAAAAGAGAAATAACAACTCTAGCAAGTTAGGTGATAGGTTTTTGTCTAATATAAATCAGTGTTTTAGAATGAGTTGGTTTGTATTTTTTCATGATTAGTAATTTTGTTTTGTCCCAAGAATGGTCATATCTGAGTAATGACTGTTCCATTGTAACACATGCTGGTTGGTGGGTGATTGCACTTTCCCTCTTCTGCTTTATCTGCATGTAGGAGATCACAAATGAGTTACTGTTTCATTTATAATGAGCTCTGGTTGTCAAAATAGCATTTTGAAATATATTTTGACAATGAAATGTTAGATTCCGTTGGAATATGTTTATGGATATTAAAATGGGTGGATTATTTTCTTAGACAAAGTATTCTTTGATAATGAATGTGAAGATGCTTTGTGCATTGAAGGTCATGCGAATGTTAATTGTTAGTTGTTTTGGGAAAGGGTAAAACAAATACATTGCAATGTTAGTTTTGAAATTTGTATATTTCTTTCAGTTAAGGCTTTATTATCCAACATCATCCTTGCTTTACAAAAAAGCTTTTACTTTTTTTTATCTGATTGTGAAAGGATGGTCAGATACATTTGAAAAAGAGTAAAAATTGTATCAGAATTGCCTTACTGAGCATGAAAATGTACCAATTAAAATTAACATGGGGAAATTAATACATAAATAGATTAATAGAATAAAAATAGAGCAGCAAGGGTCCTAAAAATAATCAAAATATGTGTGTGAAGTAAATGTGATGAATATTTGATGTACTTATGAAAAATTTGTAAAGCACATATATGCATATATAAAGTCCTGAAACAAGACTATGAACATACTGGTAGCAAATAGATATTTGGGATGGAGAAGGCATTGTTAGAATGGGAAATTCAGAGTTAAGGAAAAAATGCATGTAAAAATGCAAAATTTCCATACTTGGAGAAATTTTATACAGAAACAGATCAGAAGGAGCAGAAATACCTATGAAGAGGTATTAACCTCACTAATGACAGCAGAAATGTAAACTACAACTTTTTATGATTCATAAATACCGAAACGAAGATGTTTGGGAAAATTAATGCAATCATGTTTGTACTGAGGGTAAACTTAACATTTCTACAGACTGAATCATTAATCGTTTAAGTTAATGTGTTTGCCAGGATTAGAAACCACAAAGGAAACAATAAATTTGAGCTATGAAAAATAAATTAATAGGCTAGTCTTCCACCTACAGCACTAGCATCCCATGTGGGCACCGTTTTGAGTTCTGGCTATTCCACTTTCCATCCAACGGCCTGCTTATGGCCTGGGAAAGCACTGGAAGATGGCCCAAAGTCTTGGCCCCTTGTACCCATGTTGGATACCTGGAAGAAGCTCCTGGCTCCTGGCTTCAGATCACTTCAGCTGAGGATATTGTAGACATTTGGGGAGTTAGCCAGTGAATGGACGATCTCTTTCTTTTTCTTTATGTCTCCCCTTCTCTGTAAAGCTGCCCCTCCGATAAAAATAAACCTTAAAAAATTAATAAATAATGTCAAAATTCACACTTACAGAAGAAACAGCAGCACTATGGCAGGAGATAGATCATTTAATACTCAGAATTTAACAGGAATTCCTACAACAGAAGGTTGAAAATCTAGTCACAAAATGAACAAAGTAATAAGGACATAGATAGTATTTCATTTTCTTAGGGTGAAATTTCATTATTATTATGAATGAAAGTTACAAAAATTAAAAGGGAATGTCATTTTCATTCATGAACTCCATTGCGGAATTCATTTATTAAGTTTATTTGAAAGATTATATTGATTCCTTCCTCAAAGACCCATGACAGCTGGAGCTAGGTCGTGCCACAGCTGGCAACCGAGTAACTCCATCCACATCTCCCACTGAGCAGCGATTGCTTGATCCAGGCCGTCTGATACAGGAGTGGATGTCCCACTGGGGACAACATTTTGGACCATACCACTGGCCCCAGAAGGTTTATTTTTTAATTTTTTTACTTTTTAAAATAATTCATATGTGATTGATTAGGGTCAAGGGTTGCAGGATGGTGGGTGAGAAGACCATTTCCATACTCTTATCTCTTGTAGGCAAAAAATAGATGGGTTTTGTTTTTTAATCCAGTCTGCCTATCTATGATGTTTGATTGATGATTTAAGCTGTTTACATTCAGGGTTAATATGAATGGGTGGTAATTTGGTCCTGTCTTTTTAGCAATGGGTTTGTCACTGATTTAGTCTTCTCTTGTTATTTCACTGGGATGTTCTTCACATTTGCCTTTGATTTTGGTGGGCGCTGTTCCTTTTCTCTGTAGGGCAGGTTTGGAAGAGGCATATATATTTTTTTTAATAATCTTACTTAGTTTATTAGGGTACAAAGGGTCAAGGGCTGCAGGAAAGTGGGTAAGACCATTGTTTTCACATTAATATCATTTTTTTCTCCTGTATCTGGGGTCAGGGGAGAAACAAAAGGAGAAGCTCCATCCAGCCTCCCACTCATCCCCGGTTCCCGATGTGAGGCACACTCCAAGGGTCCTGCTCAAGCAGTTTTGACAGTTCAACAGGTCTGAACTGCTGCCAGTCTCGCTGTTCCAGTCGTGATGAAACCTATTCAGAATCTACTGGCTGACATAATCACTTCATGGTTGGGATTCTGAGATCAGCAGTTCAGTTGGAGGAATCTCCAAAGAAACTTCATCTGAGATGATCACAAACCTGATTCTTGTGTGAGTTTGCCAGTACAGGGTCTGGCACAGTCCGTCGCCCCGGTCAGCTTATGCACATGCTGGTCGTTGCAACTGCTGGGTCAGTTCTGCCTCCAGCTGTCTTCCACTTGAACCAGTGGGTGTTGTAGTCCAGCCTGATCCTGCCCATTTCACACTCGGTCCTCATGCAAACCAGTGGGAGCTGCAGCCTGGTTGGGGTGACTCCCCAGAACCTTCACCAGGCCTGCTCCTTACCCTGGTTCCCATGCATACCGGTATGTACCGCAGGCTTGTTCAGTCTGTCCCACTTTCCATTTAGCTCTTGTATTTGTCAATGGGCATTGAAGCCTAGTTCAACCCAACCAACCTACTATCCAGCCCACACACATATTGGCAGGTGCCTTTCTGTCTAGCCACCCCTGCCCTGTCCTGGTTTTCGTGCTCTCCATAGAGAGAGTGGTTACCCAGGAGGGAGGTGTCCACTATTTCCCTACTAGGCCGGAAGAGGCATATTTTCACTTTCATTTACTGTGGAAGAATTTTATTTCATTTTCAAAGACAAGGGAAAGCTTTGCTGAGTAATTTATTCTGGGCTGACAATTTTTTGCTTTTAAAATCTGAAATATGTTGCTCCGTTCTCTTCCTGCCTGTAGAGTTTCCTGTGAGAGGTCTCCTGTGAGTTTAATTGGCATTCCTTTATATATCAGTTGATTTTTTTTCATGTGCACATTTAAGGATCTTTTCTTTATGTTCAACTGAAGAGAGCTTGATTATCTTGTGTCATGGTTAAGATTGCTTTTAGTCAAGCCTTTGGGAATTCTATACCCCTCATGGATGTTGTTTCCCAATTCTTTCTCTAGATTAGGGAAATTTTCCTTTATTATTTCATTAAATACATTTGTAAACCCAGCTTCTCTTTCTGTACCTTCTGTGACTCCTATAACTCTTAAATTAGGCTTTTTAATAGTGTCTTTCAATTCTTAAATGCTTTTTTAGCTTGAGCCAACTTTGCTTCCATCTTTTTGTTTGTTTCCCCCTGGTGGCTGGAAATATCTTGCAGTTCTGAGATTCTTTCTTCTGCTTCCTTCATTCTATTTTGGAGACCCTCCACTGTACTTTTAGTTTGCTCCACTGTATTCTTGATTTCTGATATATCAGCTTTCATTTTATTCATTTCCAGTGTGACATATTCCTTGAATTCCTTGAATGCCTGCTTTGTGTGCTTCTTGTTGTTGATAAGAAGTTTTATAACAAGTGTTTTGAATTGTGTCCCCAGTTTTCCAAATGTTTTCCTCAGTTAGCTCTGTGGTTGGTAAAGGGTTTTGTTCCTTTGCAGGGGAATCTTCAGTAATATTCGTTGTGTCTTTGTCTCTTCTTTTGCTCTTGATCATTATAGTTCTGCTTCTCAGATTCTTCTCCTTGGGGCAGGTTTCTAAGCTCTGTCACCCACAGGTCTGCCATTCAGTTTTATTTTGCAGTTAGTACATGGCTCTTTGTGTGCAATCAGTTGTGCCACTGCCTCCAGTGAGTTCCAGGTCTGGGTTCTTATGTTAGATTTCTACCATGGTCTTTGTCTTCCCAGCTCCTGGCTCACCAGTCTCCACCTCCTGTGATACTATGCTGAGGCTGCACCGTTGTGTGTACAACCTTTCTCCCACTTTCAGTTAGAGCAGGTCCCAGGATTAGGGAGGCACCAAGTGTCCTGTATAGATAGGTTGTTGTTGGTGGTGATCTTGTCAGAACCTATTGGGCATTGGGTCTGAGGGCCACACAGACCTATTTTGACCTGTATAATGGCATAGTCAGTATTATTTTCCTGTGGGACCAGTGCAGTGTACTAAGTTCAGGGAGTTCTCACCGAGCTCAGTGCATGCACAGCTCACTGTTTTCCCTGCAGTCGCAAATTCTTTGCCACACTGTACAAAATGGTACCTGATGTGCCACTACTAGAGTTCTTGATTTGCTGGGCATCAAGACTGAGGGCTATCTGTACCTGTCTTGGGTAGAACCTGTAGGAATCCACCTTATTGCAGTTCGCTGAAGTAGAAGTGATTTCACTCCCTGCTCAGTGCATTTGCAGTCCTGCCCCATAGCCCTTGCCTCCTTAAACAAAATGGCACCTGATATGACTCTAGGGGCTGGACTAGGTTGTGAAATCCACCCTGTTCCAGTACTACTCGTCTGGGATCTGCTGCTCTGTCTCTGCTACTGTTCAAATCAGACCAGAAGGACGAGCAGTTCTTTGTCTGGGTTCACCTCCCAAGCTCCCAGTGAAAGTCCCTTCTCACCTGGCTGCAGGTGGAGTTCAGATTGCCATTTGCTGAATGCTCCTGGAGTATCAGTCACTGCAACACCACACCTTTGTTTTTGCTGCTTTTCTGTGTCTGTCAGTCTCCAGGTGCCCCTCTGCTGTTGGTCTGCCCTCTCCTGTTTCCTGGCATGTTCCCTCTGTGCTTCACACTGGCTAATATTTCTCCTTCTGTTTAAACTTTTTTTTTTTCATCTGTTTAAACTTGTACTTACCTTATTCCGCCATCTTGATTCTCTGAAAGATTTTTGGTTCTGCAGTTTAACTTGTCAGAATTTGCCGCCCTGCATCTGCCAGCTGATGTTGTGGCAAAGCCCAACCAACCCAGTCCCACTCTGGTTTGTGCATGCACCAGTAGGAACAGTCAACCAACCCAACCTGGCTTTCCCCTGATCCAGCTCATGTGAGGTGTTGTAGCCCTGCCCAGCTTGGTCTTCTGGAAGCTTTTAGTATGAAAAGAACGCTGCAGAGCAGCTGCTTGGGGTCTATGTCCCATATTTGATTGAAGTGCTTGGGTGGAATCCTGGCTACTCTGCTTGGGGTCTGACTGCTTGCTCGTGCAGTCCTGGGAGGCACGGGGGGATGGCTTACGTAGTTAAGTGCCTGCCACCCATGTAGGAGACCTGGGTGCAGGGAGCAACACGCAGGCATGTGGGAATGAGCCCACATAGAGGAATAGCTTCTTTGCCCCTCCCTCTGTGTCCCTGCCTTCCAAATAAAATTAAGTGGGAAAGTTTTACGGAAAACAGTTCTATTCAGTATAATTAGAATTTAGTTAGCAGCTCCTTATTGGTTAAACTCAAATGTCATTTTACTGAATTGATTTTGACTTGCTTACATAGGAACTCCGTAGTGGAGCCATCTCATTGCAGTAGCCTCCCGTTTTATTATTTTAATAGTATGTATGTGTGTCTCTGATTGACATGTTGTTCCTAATTTTGCCCTGGAATAGATTAAATTCAGCTTTAAAGTGTTTAATTTTTTAAAGATTTATTTATTTATTTGAAAGGGAGCGACAAAGACCTTCCATCTGCTGATTTAACTCTCAGTTGGTGCAACAAGCTGGATTGGACCAGGTCAGAGCCAGGAGCTTTATCTGGGCCTCCCACATGGCTAGCAGGGGCCTGGGTACTTGGGACATCTGCTGTTTTTATTCAGGTCTGGGGCCAGATTGGAGTGGATTAGTTGCTATTTGGAAAGCTGCTGCATTGCAGGTTAGCTTTCTAAGCCACAGCATTAGCTACCTGCTTTAAAAGCAAAGCAAAACAAATATCCTTGGGTGCTTTTCATACATGTAGGAGTATATTTGTAAGAGAACTTTCTAGAATTAGAATTGTTAGGTCAAAGCATATGTAAGTTTAGATTTTAAATGGTTGTACCAAATAATTTTCGTAAAAGTTTATTTTTAGTAATTTGCAAGTGAGAGAAGCTTGCTACAACATGTGAGTATAATCTTGCTTATGTAGAAAATTATGAATTAGACCACATGGCAGGCTTATGTAGAGAATTTTCTTTAGAAGGAGAGGTGTGTTTGGCTTCCTGGTCAAGGTGTCACTTGGGACACCCACCTCCGTTCAGAAGGCTGGGTTCGAGTCTTGGCTCCTTTCCTATTCCAGCTTCTGCTAGTACCTACTCTGGGAGGCAGCAGGTGACAATACAAGTGGTTGGATCTTTGCCACCCATTTTAGAAAAGAATACATGGAAGGATACAGGATACATCAACACGTTGTTTCCAGGCAGGAATAATGGGAATTTAGTGGAACTGAGATTTACTGCGAACCTTTTTATACTGTTGAACATTTTAACTACTGTGTACGTTTTTTAAGCAGTCTAACTATTTGAGAAAAGTAGGCATGTGAATGTAGTTGATGTGTACACTCTTTTTTATTTTTTGAGTTTATTTATTTATTTATTATTCAAAAGGCATATTTTACAGAAAGAAGAGACAGAAATATCTTCCATCTGCTGGTTCGCTCCCCAAATGCTGCGATGACTGAAGTTGTGCCAGTCCAAAGCCAGGAATCCCCTTGGCGTTCCAAGGCTATGGGTCATCCTCTACTGCTTTTTCAGGCATAAGCAGGGAGCTGGATGAGAAGTGGAGCAGCTGGGATTTGAACTGGTACCCATGTAGAATTAGCCAACTGAGCCATTGCCCTGGGGTCAGCACTCTTAATTTTAGGTTTAAGATCTTTGTAATCTAACACTAGCATAGCGAGCAGTGTGTATAGATATATGTATGTAGCTGCTGCTTCATGCTGTGACACTGGAGAACACTATAGGGTGGCGGTCACAGTCATGTCATTATATTTTGCTGATTTTGAATGATCGCAAATAACATATCTTTCTACCCATTATGGCTTTTGAAATAATTACAGCTATTTTATATTATTGAGTTGTGATTTTTTGAAGCTTGAAACATTCTCCAGTATTTATTATTTTTAATTATTTGTTTATTTTTGAAAGGCACCAGGGGAGGTAGAGATAGATTTTGTTGTTTCAGTTGCTAAATATGTAGCAAGTGGGCTGGGCCAGGCTTGAAACCAGGAGTCAGGAACTCAGTATGAGTCTTCCAAGTGGGTGGCAGGGACCCAGCCTCTTGAGCCAACACATGGAGCCTGCCAAATTGCAAGGCGGGAAACAGCACATGGTGCAAGGCAGCAAACAGGATCAGGAGCAGTCAGGACTTGACCCCAAGTCTCTTTATTTTCAAGGTTTTTTCTTACTGTTTGAAAGGAAGAATGACAGAATAAGAGAGGGAGAGGGAGAGATGAATCTTGCATTCACTAATTCACCACCCAGATGGCTGCAGTCACTAGGGTTGGGCCAGGCTGAAGGCAGGAGCCAGGAATGTGATCCTTTTCTTCCTTGAGGGCAGTAGTGTTCCAAGGACTTGGGCCATCTACCACTCTCCCAAGTGCATCAGGGCTCTGGGTTGGAAGTAGAGCAGCTTGGACTTGAACTGGCCCTCAGGTGACAGCTTGATCACCTGTGCCTTCATACAGGGCCCCCGGGTGTGCTGAGCCGTTTGTCAGATGCCTGCTCTGGGCTTGCTTTGTGGAAGAAGGCAGTCCTAATGTAGTGTGTGCTCTTCTCCAGTTAGGGATGTTTATGATTATTTCCGGGCTGTTCTCCAACGTGATGAAAGGAGTGAACGAGCTTTTAAACTGACCCGAGATGCTATTGAATTAAATGCAGCCAATTACACAGTGTGGTAAGTAGTACACATCATTCAGGTTTCTGTTAAAATGTCTCATGTTTAAATTTATATGATTTTTTTTTTAAAGTAAGTGGTAATTTTTATTAAAGTAACATTTCACATAAGGGTGAAGTCAGTCCCTGGAGGAAAAGTGAGCTCCTTCCCGTTTTTCCAGGAGCCCCATTTTCTGGTGGCAACTCCTGTTTTGTTTTTTTTTCTTTGAAATGTGATTATGGAGTAGTTGGGCTTGAGTTTTTGCTTATTTCAAAGGCATAGCACTACATGCTCAGAGTGACCCCCTACCTACTGGCTCACACCCCACATGTTGGACTGCTGGGTCTGGGCCTGGCTGAAGCCAGCAGCTCTGCCCCGTGCACGTTCCAGGGAGCCAGCTCCAACTTAGCCACCCCCTGTTGACAGCACACATTAGCAGGACTGGGAATTGGGAGCAGAGTGAGGACCTGCACCAGACATTCCAATATGTGTGCACCCCAATAATCTTAGCTGCTGTACCAAATGGCCACATGTGGCAGGCTTCTTCTTGAATTAATGAGTGTATTTCAGTGTTACTTTTTATTGTTTTCTTTTTGAACCTCATCCGTTATCTACAAATGAAAGTTTATTTTCCACTGTTCCCCTTCTGTTAAAATGAGTTACCAGTTTCTTGTTCATGCTCATTCACTTTTGTTTTTTAAAGGTTAGTTACCTAAAGACAGAAAGAGGTCTTCATCCCCTGGTTCACTCTCTGAATGTTCATAGTCAGAGGAGTGAGAAACTTCTGGAATTACCACATAGGTGACAGGGGCCCGAGTCCTTGGGACATCTTCCACTGCTTTCCCAGGCCATTAGCAGGGTACTGGGTCATAAGTAGCAGCCAGAATTTGAACAGCCACTCTGACAGTGTGCTGGTATCGCTGGGAGTGGCTTTGCCTGCTATTTCATACTGGTGGTTCCTCGATTTATGTGTCTAAGAATGCTTAGTCTCCCTTCAGATTTATCGCTGTAACTATAAAAGTTATTTTAACAATTTTAAAACCAGTTTTCCATTTGTTTCAGCTTTTGTTCAAGTTGCAGATTCCTATTTCTTTGTGTAAACCTTTTCTCTTTAAATTGTGAGAATTTTGTCTTTTTTAATACTGCGTCTTTGCTATGTTTTCTCTTTCTGGAATGCGTTTAGTTGTATATTATGCCACCTGAATTGTCTTTTCATTGTCTTTTTAATTTAATTTTGAGTTCTTTCTCACTTTGTCTCTTCTATTGATAATGTGTTTTTTATTTGTTGTTATTTTTTAAAAACATTTGTATTGGTAACTTGGATGCGCAGAGAGGAGAGACAGAGAAGATCTTCCGTCCGCTGATTCACTCCCTAAGTGGCCTCAACAGCCAGAGCTTCGCTGATCTGAAGTAGAGGGCCAGGAGCTTCTTCTGGATCTCTTGTGTGGGTGCAGGATCCCAAGGCTTTGGGCTGTCCTCTGTTGCTTTCCCAGGCCATAAGCAGGGAGCTGGGTGTGAAGCAAGGCTGCTGGGATTAGAAGTGGCGCCCATATGGGATCCTGGTGCTCTCAAGGCGAGGGCTTTAGCCCAGGACTAGGCTACTATTTCAGACCCATGTTTTTTATTTTTAATTGACACATAGTTGCACATAATAATGAGTCATAGTGTAATGTCTAAAAACAAGGTGGGGGTTGGTGTGATGGTGTTACAGCCTAGTACTCCACATGTGGTGCTGGCATCCTAAATGGCTGCTAGTTCATGTCCCAGCTGCTCCATGTTTGATCCAGCTCCTTGCTTATGACCTGAGAAAGCAGCAGAGGATGTCTCAAATTCTTGGGTGCCTGCACCCATGTGCAAGACCTGGAAGAAGCTCCTGATTTCAGATCAGCTCAACTCCAGCCATTGTGACCATTTGGCGGATGGCCTCTCCCTCCTTGTCTGTAAAATCTGCCTTTCAAATAAAAATAAATGAATATTCTAAGAAAGCAAGCAAGCAAGGTTCAGACCACCAAGAGTTGATGCAGAGAAATCAGCTTAATTCAATAGACTGGAAGTCTGGAGAGATGACCAACAGTTTTATTAAATTTATTTATTTTATTATTTTTAAAAATATTTTTATTATTTTTTATTATTTATTTATTTAATATATCCCATTTAACTGGAAATCTCAGCATGACATTGCATTATTTTATGTCTTCAATATAAACTTAATTATTTTGTTTAATTTTTATTTTTTATGATTTTTACGTAGTTGATCATGGTGATTAGGGTCAAGAGCTATAGCAAAATGGGTGAGATCACCATTTCCGCATTCTTTTTTTTTAATTCCTGTACCTGGAGGGGAGAAAAGGAGAGAAGCCACACTCAGCCTCCCAAATGCCTCAGCACCTTAGGATGGAGGGCAGCCACCTGACATCACCCCTGGTTCCCAGATGGAGGGCATCATCTGAGAGCCCTGCTCATAAATTTTCAATAGTTTAACAGTTCTGAATTACTGTTGATTTTGCCACTCCAAGCACAATGAAATTTCTCCAGAATCCACTGGCTGACATAGTTCACCTAAGATTCTCCACTTATTCACTGCCAACACTTGATTGGGTAGTTGATTGATTTGATCTGTCCTCCGTCCTCTGAAGCTGGAAGCCAGGAGTTTCTTCTCACGTGGATGGATGCAGGAACCCAAGCACTTGGGCCACCTGCTCCTGCTTTCCCAGGTACATTAGAGGGAACTGATGGGAAGCAGAGCAGCTGGGACTCCTTGCTAGCTACACGACAATGCTGGCCCCTCACAGTGTTTTAATTGAAAGTAATTACTTAGTGGTCCTTTATTTTTTTAAGCTCAAAAATTTACTCCCATTTCTTTGTTGCCTTTCACTGTTTTTACTGCAGATGCTTTATCTTGCAGTTACTAGACAGGTGCATGAATGTGGATGACTACAGCCAGTGAGACTGTTAAATTCCTGGTTCCAGAGAGCAGCTACCAAAAATGTCTAACTATCCTTTAGCTCTGTTTGATACTGTTGCCAGGTAACTTACATGGAGTAATGAGACTTTGGATGGTTGATGCTTGCTCTAGGCATTTTCGGAGAGTTCTCTTGAAGTCCCTTCAGAAGGATCTACACGAAGAAATGAACTACATTACTGCAATAATTGAGGAGCAGCCAAAAAACTATCAAGTTTGGTAAGATGAAAACAGAGAGACGTATCACTAAGTAGATAGTGCTTGCCCATGATGACATAGTAGGGAGTTTTTAAAAAATTTTTTATATAGTTTCAGAACTTTACATTGGGCCGATGTTACCTGCTATGTGGTGTTGTTGGGATTCCGAGATACCTTTAATTTCATGCTTAAAGTGCTTCCGCATGTGTGGTTAGCACTAAGATGTTAGCTACTGTTATTTGTTTAAAAGTTTCACCATCAAAATGCAGTACTGTTGGGGTTAGAAAACATTTCAATAAGAATTAGAAAACATTTTTATTCAATATATTATGACTTTCTGATATTTAATCTTTATTTATTTAAACAGATTTATTGATACTGGAGATACTAAGATGAACTTGACATGACCTAAATGAGAAAGCAAATAATCAAACCAGTTATGTTACAGAACAGTGTGAAAAGTGTGGTAGAGCTTGTTCATAAGGTGTATTGATCTAAAATTTAAGGCCCTAAGTTAGCATGAGAAGGATGCAGGCATTGTTACAGGTAGAGGTAGCACAGCAGAATAGGAAGAAAGAAGAAATGAGGCAGAAGGACTGAGAACAAACAGAGGAACTAGAGTCTGAATAGTTCCTAGCATATAATGAGTGACCCTGAATGATTCCTTCAAAGTGTGGGACACAGGAGAAGGCTAGTTTTGAGAGTATTCAGTCAGTTTGGCAATAATAGTAACAGGTGAAGTATAATTTCTTGAGGAATGGCAAAAGTGATGTTGGTATTTTGGCTTGACAGCTGGGTGAATGGTGGTGCCATCACTTAGGGAAATGTTGAGGCATGGCAGCATGTTTTGGGGAAGAAAGATGGGGTCAGTATTGGACAAGTAGAGTTTGCAGAGAAACCTGGTAAAGCTGTCCAGTAAGTGGTTGAAAAATTATGTGGAATAAGGAGTAGGAAGGATTGATGACAGATCTGTTAGCTCTGTGGTTGTTGTTGAATGCCCTTGCCATGAACTGTCCTCCCACCAGGGTGGTGGCTGGAAAGGGAGTGAAGTAAGTAGCAAGTAGTTCAATTATAAATGGGAGATTAAGACTAGTTACTGAGAAGTAAGACACAGAGCTTTGATTATTATAATTATTTATTTATTTTTGTCATGGTGGTAAAGACTTTATGGTGAGGAGAGTTAATACAGAGAGGATTGGGCATTCTGTAGGGGAGGGGATCCAGTCAACACTCAGAATTGAGAAGGTGTCCACCCCATGGGTTAGCTGTACAAGAAACAATGCCTTCATGCCAAATGTGGACAAACCAGGGAGCAGCAGACCACGTAATCAAGTGTTACTCTATGAAATGCGCAACCAAGAACTGATAACTAATGCTCGGAGAATCTGAGCATAATAGGTACAGCACTCAGTAACTGGATGTTGCTTAGCAAACAGTAGAAGGGCTGGCTGTGAGTATTGTGTGGATCTTTGTGGAGCTATATTTAGCTAAACAGCTTTACCACTGTGACCTCTTTGCTTACAACTGTTTTGCCGCCTAAGAAATTAGATGTAAAGTAATTTTTAAATTAAAATTATAATTTTTTAATTAGAGGGAGATCTTTGTAAAAAAAAAAATTAATTTCCCTGCAGGTATTTATATATAAACTCTGTAGTGACAAAAATCTAGATATCATAGCTATTCTCATTATTTCATTACATCGTGTTTGCCGAAGAGAAATGGTTTATCTTTTCTGGATACTGCAGGTGCTGTCTATAATGTTATTACCCTTTATCTGGAAAACAACAAAACCACAGAAAATCCCTGCTGTTGAACATTCAGCAGTTTTTTTAGGTGTGGTACCTTTTTTTTTAAATTATTGGAAATGCGGATTTATAGAGAAAGAGATACACAGAGAAAGATTTTCCCTCCACTGGTTCACTCCCCAAGTGGCTGCAACAGAGTTCATCTGATCCAGAACCAGGAGCCAGGAGCTTCTTTTAGACTTCCCATGTGGGTGCAGGGTCCCAAGGCTTTGGGCCGTCTCTCTCCGCTGCTTTCCCAGGCTACAAGCAGGGAGATGGATGGAAAGTAGAGCAGCTAGGACATTAACTAGTGCCTCTGTGGGATCCTGGTGCATGCAAGGCGAGGATTTAGCTCCTAAACTACCTTGCTGGGCCAGGTGTGGTACTTTTTTTAAACAATGAGAAACCTATTTTCATCCTGTGTGAAAGCGGAGATTGACAGATAGCAATCTTCTGTTGATTGCCTCTTCAAATACCTTCAATTTTCAGGCTAAGTCAGTTACCTCAAGCTCAGTTTGGTTTTCTTGGGCAAATGGCAAAGACCCAAAAACTTGAGCCATCATTTACTGCCTCCTAGGAAGTCCATTAGCAGGACACTGCCTTGGAATAGAGGATCTGGGACTCAGCCAGGCAATCCAGTATGGGATGCAGTTCTCTCAGCTGGCGTTCTAACCACTGTGTCAAATACCTGTGCTGGGAGTTGGTGAAATTGTGTATTGAGCCAGTCCTCTGCTGCCAGTTGATACCAGCATTCCATATTGGCGCTGGCGCGCAATGGTTTGTAACCAAACTTTCATCCTAAGAATTCTCACTAAAACATTACAAAATGATGGTGTGAAAAAAAACTGTATAGTAACTCAAAATTGAGCTCTATAATGTAGCTGTATAGTGGTAGATTACTGGTAGTTTTGAAATCTCAGGTTTCCAAATAAAGATCTTTATGAACACATATATCCTCCATAGCATTCATGTGAAGAACTTTTAACCTAAATGGAGGGAAACTCAGCCATGTAAACTTTGTTCTGTACTAGCTAGACAACATCTGTTAGTTGGATGCCTTAAATATCCTTACTCTGGTTTAACAGTGCAGTCTTACTGTTTTTCCTGCTGGCTTATATTGACAGCAGCTTTTAAAAACAGCTAGTTCATCTGGAACTGTCTAAAAATTTCCTAAATGCTTCTTCTGTGTCACATTTGGGTCACTTTCCCCCTGCAGTGCAGTATTTAACATTTATTTGTTAACTTGAAAGAATTACAAAGAGAGACCGATCCTCCATCTATGGATTTACTCCCCAAATGACCGTAATGGCTGGGGCTTGGCCAATGTGAAGCCAGGAGCCCAGAACCTCTTCTGGGTCTCCCACTTGGGTGCAGTGGCCCAAGGAATTGGGCCATCTACCACTTCTTTTACAGGTACATTAGCAGGGAGCAGGATCAAAAGTGGAGCAGCTGGGACTCAAACCAGTGCCCATGTGGGTTGCTGGTATGACTGGCAGCAGCATTTACACTTGATCTTAGCCAAAAGGCCGAGAAGCAGTTGGCAGTGGTGTTTCATGCTGTGCCACAGCATTGGCCCCTGCAGGGTTGAGAATTATGCATGCCTCATGTATTAGTTCTTGAGCGAATGCACACTAAACCCCACCCTCTTTAGGCATCACAGACGTGTATTAGTGGAGTGGCTGGGAGATCCGTCTCAGGAGCTTGAGTTTATTGCTGACATTCTTAATCAGGATGCCAAGAATTACCATGCCTGGCAGCATCGGCAGTGGGTTATTCAGGTAATGCCTTTCTTGTTACAGCATTTTTCACATTCTCATTTTTTAATTGAAATAGTTAAAAGGACTGTTAAAGTATATGTTTACATCTAAACCATGTCATACATATACATCGTTATGCATTAGTTATAAAATTATTAAGATACTTAAAATCTGACAAACTAAGATTTAGTACTTACAGTCTCTTCAGGTATGTTTGCAAGTAGATTCCGGTAGTATCCTTCTAAAGAAGAGTAAATTTCAACATTTGCTTGAATTTGTATCACATATTTGTTAGAAAGTAGTATGTTTTTAATAGACTTGCATTTAGTTAAAAAGGGTGTATATATTCCGTGTTAAAGTTTTTGCATATATAAGCCTTAGAGTCTGATTTCACATAAGAGTTATGTATTTTGTTCTTACCCACATGTTGAATCCTGAATAGAATAGTTTAACTCCCACTGTAAGCCTTCTCTTTATGCTTACAAACAATTGTAGTGTGTTGTTTTCTGTGAATTTTTTCCCAGTGACTGACTTTTTGCACTCTCAAGATCATTTCATCAGAAAGATTTTTTCATTACATTTTAGACTTTTCTAATTAAAGGAATATGATTTTAAAGATTTTTAAAATATTTTTGTTGATGTACTTGTTTATAACTAACAGCATGTTCTAATTGGATGGGTTTTTAAAAATTCTCTTTTAGGAATATAAACTCTGGGATAATGAGCTGCAGTATGTAGACCAGCTTCTCAAAGAAGATGTGAGAAATAACTCTGTCTGGAACCAAAGATACTTCGTCATTTCTAATACCACCGGCTACAATGATCGTGCTGTGTTGGAGAGAGAAGTCCAGTTAGTAATGCCCTTCTCTTGCTCGTCTGTTAAGAAAATGCTCATCCTGACCTCATGTCTGGCATTGAGGATACAGCAAGGATCAAGACTGTCCCATGTTCTACTTTTGCAGTACTGAAACAAGGCTGAGTGCTGAGATAAATTACATAATGCCACATTGGCAAATAATGTGGTGTACCTCTGGTTTATAGTGTCTTAGTCCCCGGGTACCCTGTTAATCGAGTGCAGAGTCTTGGGCCTAATAAGACCTTTTGTGGGGCTCCCCTGAGTGGACTAGGGTGTCTAGCCGCATTTCTGGCCTTTAAGCAAAACTGTTTCCAGACACTGTTGGATGTTCCCTGGAGGAATGTTCCAATTGGGGGAATATACAGAAAGCTGCTGAAAGAACTAGAATTTCTGAATTGGCATGAATTTCTATTATTTGCACAAATATTAGTAGTGACTTCTTTTCTGACATTATTGGTGCATTCTGTCTCAGTGTCTGTTGGAACATGCGCATTAATTTTAAAATGTGAGGAGACCAAAGTCATAATTTTTGTTGTAAAAGTTGTTGTCAGTGCTGCTGAGAAGCTGATTTTCATGGCCCCCTTGTATCCTTGCCTTCACTTTCACTAGCATCAACACACATACCTTTTTTATATGCTCAATTTCAGTTTCCAATGATTTGCTTTTTCATTAAAAGTTCTCCATTAACTCTGTTCCTGGCTTATGTTTGGAGTGGACATACCCTCAAATCTCAAACATAGCTTAGATTTTTTTTGTTTCTTGTTTTAATTTACTTGAGAGGCAGAGAAGCAGAATGAGAAAAATGTGTGTGTGAAATTTACATAGGTGCCATGTAAGGTTATGTCAGCTCATAGTGAATAAGGCCTGTTAAGTATAGCAGAAGACTGGCCTGTCGCTGCTTCATTTTCTTTGACACTTAATAGGTGAACGACTCCTCAGCTTTTGTGTATAATGAAATAGTTCAGGAATTCATTCCAAAATAATACCTAAAATTAACATTTGTATTTAAGCAGGTATGTTTATTGTGGATTAGAAAAAATTTATTGCTGGTGTCTATGTTGTTCAGACTAAAAGATATAAGGAAAACAACATGTATACTGATCACAGTTCTAAGAAATGGGAAGAAAGAAGATGAATTCTTGACTAAATTGTATGTTTGTTCAAGGAAGCCAGAACATCCTGGCACCAGCTTTGTAACATACAGAAGCAGCTTAGTGCCTTGTGAGAACAGAACTGTGCTTTGCCAAAGCTCTGTGACACAGTAGGCCATCTAAAACACTGCCTCTCTCGGCTTCTGCTGCTTTGACTTGCTGGCCTCCTATGCCTTCTTCACAGCCTGCTTCCTGACCTCTGGCTGCTGCTGGATCCTCTGTGCTGGCCATGGTAGTGGCAATTCCCAGTGAACAGCCTAAATTGTCTTGATGGCCAATAAATGGTGACTGCTTCTTGTTTCCCTTGAGATTTATTTATCTGTGAAGATGGAGAGAGTTTAGTATGCTCACCTGGCTTGCAATAGCCAGAGTGGAACAGACCAAAGCCAGGATCTTAACTCCATCTGGGTCTCCCATATGAATGGCAGTGCCCAAGTGTCTGGGCCATCTTCTGCTTTTACAGGCCATCAGCAGGGAGCTGGGTCACAGGTGGAAAAATCAGCACCTAACTCCCTGTCCTACTGTTAGGAACCCTGCCATGGCCTAGGTTCCTAACATGTAGATTTCTCTCCAAAAATAACTCCCAAAATAAAAAGCTTAGGGAAATATAGGTGGTTCATTGGAGACACAGTGCTGGAAGGAAGGAAAAGCTTTGCAGTCAGTGATAGAATGCTAGTAAAAATGCTACTGCCTCCCCCCGCCCCATGTTTATTGTTATCAAATGTTATTTGTGTATTTTTGTCTTACCATGGCAGATAGAAGCCTTCAATAGGACAAAAAGAAAAGGTTAAATTCTATGTATCAACAAACAAAAATCCAATGATCATTCTCTGGGTCTGCGAGTTTCTGAACCATTTATACAGTTCTTTCTTACCTTTTTACCACTTTGTACTGTTGCTTCCAATTTTGTTTGGGCTTGTACCACTCTTGGCTTGTATGAATGTCATATGCCTGTACAATTTAAAAGTCAAAAGGAAGAGCTGTGATGACCAGTTAAAATCTATAGAGGGCCCAGCATGATGGCTTAGTGGCTAAATCTTCACCTTGTGTATGTTGAGATCTCAAATGGATGCCAATTTGTGTCCTGGCTGCTCCACTTCCCATCCAGCTGCAAGCTTGTGGCTTGGGAGAGCAATAGAGGATGGCCCTTAAGGTCCTGCACTTCTGTGGGAGACCTAGAGGAAATTCCTGGCTCCTGGCTTCAGATGGGCTTAGCTCTGGCCATTGCGGCCACTTGGAGAATGGACCAGGGACAGAAGGTCTTTCTATCTATCCTTTTGTCTGTAAATCTGACTTTCCAATAAAAATAAATCTTAAAAACAAAACAAAACTGTAGGAATGTGGTCATGAAACATGAGTTACGTGAAACTAGTTGGAAAAATCTTTGTAATGTTAAGTGAGTTTATGTTACTTTGATAGAATTGTATTGTGATAATACCACACAAATTCAAGAATAAGAAGCTCCTATTGGTGATATCTGAGAAGAGATGTGCTCAAACAGTGGTAATTAAGTCTATATTTTGTTTAATAATGTGGGGGAAGAGAAAGGGAATGCTTGTTTGATTGGAAATTGCATCATTGTTTTTATTAGTCTTCATTTAGAATATGAGAAATTGAATTTTAATTTTATGTGGTTTCTATGCTATCCTGTTTATATAATTATAATTTTATGATAGTTAACATAATAACTAGTATTATGTTAATTGTCCTTTTGCATTGACTCATTTTTTTCAGGTACAAGTACGTCTTGTCTTTTTGATCTCCTTGTTTTAGCTGACATGTCTTCCAGAAAGGAGATCTGTGTGAATTTCTTTCCTTACTGTGAATTGAAACCTTTAAATTGGCTAGGTGTCCTGCCCTGGGACAGGTTAGAGATATGCAGGAGGGAGGAGCTGTGTAGACTAGAGTAAGCCGCAGACTTGAGGCTTTCTGATTCAGATATGATCTAGAGAGATGCCAGCATCCCCTGAGAGACAGGAAAAAAGAATTGCCAGTAGGAAAGCACATGTAGACTGGGTTCTGACCTTATAACTGTGTCCATTGTGCTGTTTCTTTTTTTTTTTTTTAATTTATATTTTTGTTGGAAAGTTAGATTTACAGAGAGAAGGAGACACTCAGAGACATGTTCCATCCCCAAGTTCTCTCCCCAAGTGCCTGCAATGGCTGGAGCTGAGCTGATCTGAAGCCAGGAATTTCCTTCAAGTGTCCCACATAGGTACAGGGCCATTCTGTATTGTTCTCCCAGGCCACAAGTACAGAGCTGGATAGGAAGTGAAGCAGCCAGGACACAAACTGGTGCCCTATTGGATACTGGTGCATGCAAGATGAAGATTTAGCCACTGAGCCATTGTGCTGGACCCCATTGTGCTGTTCTGTAAGATGATATACACACTTGGGCCTGGTGCAATAGCTTAGTGGCCAGATCCTTGCGTTACATGCGCTGGCATCCCATGTGGGCACCAGTTTGTGCATCAAGCTGCTCCACTTCCCGTCCAACTTCCTGCTTGTGGCCTGGGAGAGCAGTAAATGGTGGCCCAGAGCCTTGGGACCACGCACCTGTTTGGGAGATCAACCTGAACAAAGCTCCTGACTCCTGGCTTCAGGTCGGCTCAGCTCCGGCTATTGTGGTTACTGGGGAAGTAAACCAGCCAACAGATCATTCTCTGCATCTCTCCCCTCTGTAAATCTGACTTGCCAGTGAAAATAAATGTATAAAAAAGATGTTATTTACACACTTGTGTGTTTTTTTTTTCTTATAGGTATACTCTGGAAATGATTAAATTAGTACCACATAATGAAAGTGCATGGAACTATTTGAAAGGGTAAGTGACCACTTTTGCTTGTTTTATATATAAAGCAAATAACCTGCTAATATGAGGCATCATGGAATATATTTCATAATCAAACTCTAAAAGAATACCTGAGGGTTTTCCATTTTCCTCGACCTAACAGCAGTATTACAGTGTTAACAGTAACTCACTAAACTGCTTTCCTCCCATCTTACGCATGTACCAGCAGTTTTTAAAAATAGTCTAGGTCAGTGGATTAAGCTGCCGTGTGTGATACAGCATTCTGTATGACACTAGTTTTAGGCCCCAGCTGTTCCACTTCCAGTTTGTCTCCCGTGGTGTGTCTGGGAAAGATAGTAGAAGATGGCCCTTGTTATCCACATAGGAGTTCAGTGCTCCTGGTTTCCGCTGAGCCCAACCTGGGCCATGGTGGCTTTTGTGAGTGAGCCAGCAGATAGAAGATTTTTTTTTGTTTCACCCTCCAACTTTCCTTTGAATGTCCAGGTAAAACAGTAATGAAATATTGTATTTATGAAACCTGTAATCTTTAAAAAATACTTGCGAAGCAGAGAGACTAATAGAGCAAGAGTGGCAACCATTGGTTCAGTTTTGCAAATGCTGGTAAATGGTGGGCTTGGCCAGGGGTGAAGCCTGGAACCGGAAATTCAATCCATGTCCAGTCAAAAACTGGAGTCGGGAATCAAGGCCAGCTGCTCCAGTATGGGGTGTGAGTGTCCTCACTGCTGGCTGAATGCCCATTTGCAAGAGTGTTTTTTGTTTGATTTTGGTTTTGTTTTGTTTTGGGTTTTGGTCTTGTCATAGAGTACACACACACACTTTGTTCAGCACACACACACACACACACACACACACTTGGGATGTGCTCGACTCAAGAACACAGTGAAGTAGGCTGGACAATTTGCAAACATCAAACGGATGCTTGGCCAGTATTTCATTTTCTTTCAGTTTTACTCCTTAAACAGAAAAAGCTTCAGTTCTGGCTGTTGATCGAAGGAAACTTACTGTTGAACATGTAGGTCAGTGAGGGCAGTAAACGCAAGAGGCTGCAGTGTGGGACCCGGTCACTCTGCGGAAGTGCTGGGCTCGGAGGACTGGGCACAGCAGAGAGCTAAGGGTGGGACCACCAAGAAGTAAGCTCTCCTATTTTAAGAGGATGATTTCTTTTCTGCTTTTACTTTACAGATTGAACTACAAATAATTAGTTTTCTTTTTTTTAAATGATTTTACTCCTGATTATCTCTGATACACTCCTGTAACTGAAAACTTTTTTGGTTCAGCCTCATTCATTCAAACCAAGTCATCTTTTCATGCTTGTATTTCATGAGTTTTTGTTTCTGTTTCAGAGTTAAACATCTTACTCTCTGGTTTTTTTTTGTTTGTTTGTTTTCTTTTCTTTTTAAGTATTTTGCAGGATCGTGGTCTTTCCAAATATCCTAATCTATTAAGTCAGTTACTTGATTTACAACCAAGTCACAGTTCCCCATACCTAATTGCCTTTCTTGTGGATATCTATGAAGACATGCTAGAAAACCAATGTGACAATAAGGAGGACATTCTAAATAAAGCACTAGAGGTAAGCTGTGAAATTTGTATTTTTCTTTTTGGTATTTCAGCATTGACTCTGCTCAATATCGCTAATATTTATGCCCTTTTCAACATGGTTGCTTAGGGCTGTTTGCTGTGTTCTAGGGGATGTGTGAGTGTATTTCATAGAAAAATGGAATTCAAAGATAGCTTTATAAATTTCAAAAATTTTGAAATCTGCATATATAGGAGGAATTGAGGAAATTCATGGAAAATGTATTATTGAAAAAGTACAAGATTTTTACACCAAAGTAGACTCCTGTGTGAATTCCATTTTTCTGCAAATTTGCAGTGTCCTCATCGTGTGTGACTAGCATTGCACTTTAGTTGAACATGAATTGAGTTGTGATGGCTTAAAAGCATTTTCTCTTGAGATTTAATCTTCCACCTCTTTTAATGAATTTTTATTTCTTATTTGCAGTTATGTGAAATCCTGGCTAAAGAAAAAGACACGATAAGAAAGGAATATTGGAGATACATTGGAAGATCCCTTCAAAGCAAACACAGCTCAGAGGGTGACCTCCCGACAAATGTGCAGCAGTAGCACCATCCAGAAGGGTGCGACAGGGCACTTTTATTTTTTTAAGGGACTCTCATGCAGGATCATTCCCTTGGCCTGTGGTGTGAAATGTGCACTGCACAGGTGCTGTTTTCTAACAAGAACTAAGCGTGATGTTCCCTGGGTGGTGCTGCTATCTGGTTAGCTCTGAGTAATACAGTTATTATACAAGGCAATGTAATTGGAGCAGAGTAGGAAGAAAGGAGTTCCATCAGGGAGCTTTTGTAGTCTTATCAGCATTTAACCTAATTGCTTAGCATTGGCTCTTCCCTGAGTGGTCTGTGCAAAGGCATTCCTCGTGTAGTGACTGCAGGTAACTCACATGCGATGAGGGTGAGGCAGTAAGTTGGGTTCGATTCCATAAGCAGATGATACAGTTGTTTCCTTAGAGCTGCTCTGGCACACTCACGGTATCTTACGCTCACTGTAACCAACTAATGCCAAAACAGTGGTTTTTGTAATAAAATTGTAGATGTATCTAAAAACAGTACTATAGTAGTTTGATTTATTAATGATATTTAACTCTTCAAGGGACATTGTCTTGGCATAGAAAAGCAATGGAGGAAGAAAGTATTGATATAAAACTAGAAACTAAGAGCATGGTGTTAAAGGAAAGTTAAATGTTAAAATAGGAATTGTTTACTTTTTGACTGTAAGCCATGAATGTCACTTATGATAGTTTGAACACAGTGGATTGGTCATTAGGCTCTTGCCTAATCTCTCAAGAGTTTATCCCAAAACCTTAGGTCAGAGCTGGTCATCCAGTGCTGCTGCCTGTGCCAGTCAGGAAACTGCTGTGAGGAATGGGGATGCTGCTGGCCGGCTGCCAGCTCCAGGCTGTGCTACCTCTTGTGTCCCATGCAAGCATGCCCACTCCCCTGTGCTTGCGCTGTTGCTGGGAAGGCTTCTTACGCCATAGCCCAGGAAGTGGCCTAGAGCAGCGGAGGTGGGGGCAAGGTCACGTGCTGTTCCTGTGTTTTCTCAGTCCTTACCTTATCACTGTAAAGCTCAATTGTCATTTTTTAACTCAAGCTAAACCAGAAAGTAATAACTTAATACTTTCCAGAGAAAATTTTTGCCATTTTACATGTTAGTTGTTGTTGGCTTTGATACCACAGACCTCTAGCATAATATTTGAAATTGCCATAGTCTTCCCTTTGCAGAAAATTGCGGAGGTGCCATAGGAACAAAAACTGCAGGGAAGTTATCATGAGATAGCATTTACCTCCAAAATGATCAGCTCTGCTCCCACGAGGCTGAGAGCCTGCTGAGCAGAAACATAATGGCAATTCATTAAGTGAATGTAAATACATTCACTTACGGTGAGGATAGCTATGAGGATGACCATGTTAGCTGTGCAGGTAGCATTTTCCATCTGACGTTTAACTGTGTGGCAGTTAACAAAAGGTTGTTCAGTGGCCATTGAATTAGGTGAGCGAGGAAGCTTCATGATTTACACTTAGGATTCTAGGCTCTCATAATCCCATCGTACTCAGGCAACTGGATATGTAGACCAGCCAACACACTGCTTCAGAGTGTGGTCTGTAAAGGGAAATATCTAACAGTGCTCTCACTGCTGCTATCTGCAAAAGCTGACATGGATAAAACTGGCACACAGCACACTTCAAGGCCAGTGGTGGTCTTTCCTGCCATGCAGTTAGTAATCGTATAGTCTTTCCATGATGCTCAACCTGTCTGCAGTCCTTTTCATGTTTCTGAGTGACAGGATGCATAAATCACATCTTTGTGAGTGTCCTGCATAAGCTGTGGGCCCAATGGCTACTTTCCTCATCAACTGTCATCTTTTACTTGAGCAAAGGTTTGGTAACTGGCTATTCACACTTGACAGCATTTATTTTCTGGAGAAGGAACAGAGTGTTGCCAATGGTAAAACTTGAGCTTATAGGTGAAAATTTTAATCTACCATGCTGAGCACCCGTGGTGATGTTAACAAATGTCAATTTTGGTGTATAATAAGTGTGTCAAAGATTGGGAGGTCTGCGAAGCTCAGCCATTGTTGATACAGCGTGACCCCATTCAGAATGTCAGAGGTAACAGTACGAAAAAATGAATTGATAGGATTGCAGAGTGCACATTGCAGCTGGCCTCTGAAAACTGCCACTTGGCAGATGCCCCCTCTCCTGAGAGACTGCTAAGATAATCTGCAGCCATTTGCGTAGTTGTGTGGGTTTGGCTTTTCTTCGTGTACTTTCATCAAAACATCAGATTACAGTAGATTAAATGTAAAGATACATGTGAGAATCCACGAATGAAATCTTAGACTGAAGAGATGCAAAATTGTAAAGCCATGCCATTTTCTATTTTAAATGTAATTTTCATAATTATTTTTGTTAACATGTAATGGGTTTATTGCTGTATTAATTAATAAAAATTTTAAAATTTCAGTATGTTAGTATCAGTCAATACTACCTGCATAAAGAAAAGCTGGAGTTAGAAAAGTAAAACCACAATTTTTATCCTGAGGGACCTCAGTTTTGAGAGAGACTAACAGTGTGCAACTCCTCGGTACCTTGAAAATGCTATTTTGACTGTTTAAAGAAATGGTATTTGTGGGGCTGGTGTTGTGTAGCATGTTAAGCTACTACCTGTCATGCTGGCATCCTGTGTATCTGCTGGTTTGAGTTCCACTTCCTTCCCATCCAGTTTCATGCTAATGTGCCTTGGAAAGGCAGCAGAAGGATCTAGCTTCCTGCTAATGGCCTGGGAAAGAAGGAAAATGGCCCAGATGTTTGGGCCTCTGCACCCACATGGGAAGCAAGGAAAAAGCCCCTTTCTCCTGGCTTCAGAATGATTAGGGCCCAGCACTCTTCACCTCGTAAGCTCTGGGAGCTCATGTGGGCGCCAGTTCATGTCTTGACTGCTTCACTTCCTGTCCAGCCTGGGAAAGCAATACAGGATGGCCCAAAGCCTTGGGATCCTGCACCTGCGTGGGAGACCCGGAAGAGGCTCCCCTGGCTCCTGGCTTCAGACTGGCTCAACTGTGGCTGTTTGGAGAGTGAACTAGTGGATGGAAGATCTTTTCTCTCCGTAAATCTGATCTGCTTTTCCAATAACAATAAATGTATCTTGCTAATCTTCTCTGTATCGTTCCAATTTTAGTATATGTGCTGCTGAAGCGAGCACAACAATAAATATATCTTAAAAAGAAACAACAGTGGGTTGTATGTTTGATGTTACAAAGTGATTGATGTGTCTAAGGGGGCAAAATCTGACTGTTGACATTTTTTATTTAACCGAGTTTTTGAATTGGAAAGTCTGATATACAGAGAAGAGGAGAGATAGGGAAGATCTTCCATCCGCTGATTCACTCCCCAAGTGGCTACAATGCCTGGAATTGCTCCGATCTGAAGCCAGGAGCCCAGAGCCTCCTCTGGGTCTCATGCAGGTGCAAGGTCCCAAGGTTTTGGGCTGTTCTCAACTGCTTTTCTAGGCCACAAGCAGGGAGCTGGATGGGAACCAGCATGTGCAAGGTGAGGACTTTAGCCACTAGCCATGCTGCCAGGCCCTACATTTTTAAATGAAGTTTTGATCTTAGTTTTGTAAGTGGTTAAGTCTTATGCACAATTTAAGAGAGAGTCCAGAATCTTTTCCTATGGAAGGTAGGTTATAAAGGAGCAGACATTTAGCCTACCAGAGGACCTGGCTTAGATTTCTAGCTGTCGCTTCTGAATCCAGCTTCCTGCCTAGTAGACCCTGGGAGGCAGCGGTGATGGTTCTAAAGTGGCCCCTGCTACAAGGGAGGCATGGACTGAGTTCCTGGCTCTTGGCTTGGGCCCAGCTCTGACCGACAAAATTAAGATGAGTGTTTCCTCAACAGTTGCATCAAGTGAGGCTATACTAGGTCTCCTCAATGTGATAGGAGAAATTTTAGTTGAATTGGAATTCTGTTTCCTCCTATTTGGTTTATTATTTCCTTTTGCTTGATTTGGTTTACTTTGATAATTTTTAAAGGTAGAAGCTATTGATTCAAGATCTACCGTCCTCCCCGAATTAAGCTTGACGGGCACTGCACTGTGAAGACATGAAGAAAAAGAGGGAAAACAATTTTCTCTGGGATTTGTGGGTTCCCTTTTTTGTCCCATAAGCCAGAAGCAGAAAGTTTCTCTGAGTCTCTCTTGGGCCTGCCAGTGCTCACTGCTGGCTTTGAGCTAGGTGGAGTTCAGGGAGGAAGCAAGGGGTGAAAAGAACAGGAAGATGTGTTTAATGGTGCTTCCCATTCTGTTTGAACTGCCTGCGACATTCATAGAAGAGAGGTTTGTGCATGCGCACTCCGTCTCACAAGGAGTTAGCCTTCTTGGCCCTGGAGTCTGCCCTGGGTTTCGCAGCTTGTTTGTGTCTGCTTACTAGTTAAAATTCTGACTTTGGAAACGACTAACTGATAAATTTGTCCTTGTATTGGTAAACAGTCACCAATCACCAGTGTTCTCAGTATGTAAACATGATACTTGACACGCTATGTTTTTCTGAAGAGTTGGAGTGTAGACTTTATATCTGAAAAATTGTCAAATAATCTGATGTTATTGCTGTGCAACATTTAAAGTGTTAGCTAATCATGGTACGTGTTTCTGAACAGGATTTTAAATTTGCTAGAGGCCAGCATAATAAAAGTTATCATCGTGTTGGTTTTTAAAGTTCACTGGCCTTTTTCTGATCCATTCTGGGCTTCTGACTGCCCTCAGGGGCTATCCTTTGGCTTTGCAAGCCTGATTGTGTCTTCGTTGTAATTACATTATGTCAAACCGTGCTTTGTACAAAGCGTGTTAGTCTTTTCATTTTCTTCTTTTTTGGTTGGTAGTGGGATTTGCTGTTTGAGTTCTAACTACTCTTTTCACAGATCTTTTGTCAAATGTTAATAATTGTATTCAGTCATTCATCACCAGCCTCCCTCCCTGAACCATACCATGATGAAATTCAGGAGTGTGATGTTTTGAGATCTTTTAAAAAGTTTCCTCTAGGACTGGGCAGGCACAGTAGCGTAGTGGCTAAAGTCCTCGCCTTGCATGCACCAGGATTTCATATGGGCACTGGTTTGTGTCCCAGCTGCCCCACTTGGTGTCCCACTTGCCATTCCTGCTTGTGGGCTGGGAAAGCACTAGAAAATGTACCAAAGTCCTGGGACCCTGCACCCATGTGAGAGATCCAGAAGAAGCTCCTAGCTCCTGGCTTTGGATCAGCTCAGCTCCAGCTATTGTGGCACCACAGATGGAAGATCTTTCTGTCTCTCCTTCGCTCTGTAAATCTGAGTTTCCAATTAAAAAAAAAAAAGTTTCCTCTATATGCTCTGTGTGTTCATAAGCTGTGGTCTGTTACTGAGCCTCAAGTCAGGTACCCGGAGGAAAGAAAGGCCAATGATGTATGCACACAGACGAGGAAGAGAAAGGGAAAAGGTTCCTTGATAGCAGGCAACCAGGGGGTGGCAGGCTAGCACCGTAACACCCAGCCTTTACTGGGGAGGGGAAGCAGGCAGTTTGCATAGGAAAACATTTTGTTACGACACCATTCTGACCAAGTCCTCATTACGGGTCTGCTAGGGTGGGGGGCTGGCACAGATTTGGCAGGAGTGCAGCCGGATTTCCAAACTACTTTCAGGGCAGCTGGAGCTAGATCCAGCAGAGCTGTACAATAAAGAAAGCTTTGTTCTAAAAAGCTGCAGTTTTGTCCGACACCTGCCTCTCCAGAGGCCAGGTCCCAGCTCGGGGACCCCTTGAGTCACAGTGTGGGCCAAGTACTGGGTGGTGATGAGGCCCAGCATCCCTTGGGGTTGTTGTGACTTTTAATTTGTATTTTAATGTTTAAAGCGCAAACATAGATCTCCCATCGTGCGGGTCACTCCTGAATGCCCGCGATTGCTGGACTAGACCCTGCGCGGGCCCGAGTCCCAGGCGGCCGCCAGCGGGCAGCCGCGTCCCCGGCCCGGGCTCGTTTCCGGCCGCGCCGGCGCAGGAGGCCGCGTGCGTGCGCGCTCGGGCCGGGCGTCCTAGGAGCGCGCGGCGGCCGCGGGCAGGTAGGGCGAAGCGGGGCTGCGGGGCGCGCGGCGGGGCGCCCGGCTGGTGGCTTCGCGGTTGGCCGAGGTGGCCCTGCACCGGGGCCGGGGCTTACGGGGCGGCGGCCGGGCTGGCGCGCGGTGGGCGTCCCGCACCTCTGCAGGCTGCCTGGGCCGCAGTCCCGCTGCTCCGCCCGGCACCGGCCAGGCCAGGCCGGGACTGTGGAAAAGCCTTTTATTTAGTCTTTTGGCCTGCTTGGTCCTGCTCGGTAACTAACAGCACTGTAGGGCTGCAATATTCAAGATAATTAACTTGGCGTATACCGTATTGCCAACAACAGCGTCACCCAAGTTGTATTGGGTGTTGCTCGTCGGTTTCCTCCGCGGTGCCAGCCACTGTGTAAATTGTGGAAGCTGGTTTGGTTAGGGTGCTTTTTTTCATTTTTAATGGGTGCAGTGCAGACACACAGCGCAGCTGCACCACCCTTCCCATTTGCTTATCGTGTCATTCTTGGAGTTTACACAGGATATCACGCCTCCTGGGGGTGGCCTGGGTTTCCCTGCCAGGTGTCCCGCCCCGCCCTCACCAACCTCTGTTAGTCATTATGTAGAATTCCTGTTTACACATGTACAATGTCTCTGTCCACGTGTGGCTTACTCCATAGAAAGCAGCGGTCTCCAGTTTTGTCCTTTTTGTTGCACCTGTCCAGCTTTCCTTCCTTTTTGTGGCAGGGTGACTGTGTCTTTTACTCCAGTTTCTTTACTCCATCATTATGTGCCGAACAGGTGTCTTCTGTATCGCGTTCTTTTTTTGTGTCAAAGCCAATCTGGGACTGTGGAGTGGTGGGTTCCATCTTGTGCCCTGTTGTCATTTTCTTTGTATAAGCAGTGCCTGTCCTGCTGACCTCAAGGTCAGTCCAGCAGCTAGGAATTGCAGGGTTTAGAAGAATGTGGGTTGGCTTTCCCATGCAATTTCATGGCTTTGGACTTTGAAATGGGAGCAGCAGTTTTATCCACTTTGTGGATGTTGCGTGAAGTTGGCACTATGAAATCAGCTTGATCTGACTGTGGTTGTCTTCTGCTGAGAGAGTGTTCTAGTCGTGCAGTGAGGACTTGGGGATAATTAATCGGCTGCTGAGATGTGAGAGAGAGCCAACAAGATATGTGTGAGGGAATTGTTAGGTAATGGTGAGGGTCCCACAGAGATTAGAAACCAGAGTTCCTGGGGTCCTGTCGAATTTACCCGCTGACCTTGGCAGCCTTTGAGTGGAAATAAAGCAAGTGTGTGGGAGAGCCTCTCTAGGGCTGGACCAGACCTGCATGTGTGGGGTGAGGAGGCAACTTCTCCATTCTACCCTTGCACGAATCCTACCAGTTCCTGGCATAGATCCAGTGGTTTCGCATTCACAGATGGTTCAGAGGTTGAATTGGTGGAGAGAGATTTGGGAGAGGGCTTTCGAGCGTTGAGATTAACTGTGAGGGTGGGCTGTGAGGGTAGGGGAGGGGATACCAGTATCATATTGGAGTTGTGGCATCTCTGCTCCCAGTAGTCTCAGCTGAATGCATCCTAGGTGGGGCAGCAGATGGTGGCTCAGTACCTGGGCCCCTAGCCCGTGTGGGAGCCCTGGATTCAGTTCCAGACTGACTCTAGCCTAGCCCAGCCCTGGTTGTTGCTGGCATTTGGGAATTAAGCCAGCAGCTGGAAGATCTCTCCATCTCTTTGTCTCGGTGTGTCTTTCTGCCCTTCAAAACAAAATCAAAATAAATAGAATTTTAGAAAAAGTAGAAAGCCCTAAAACTAATATGCAGTGCAACTTTACCAAGCTGGGTGGATAGTCATCTTTTTAATTTTTACTTCTTGAAACTCTCATTAAAGATAAAAGATCCTATTGGCTGTGTGGAGGATGGACTGGGAAAGAGAAGGGAGTGGAGACCACATAGGAAGCTGCTGCAGAAGCCCAGGTAAGAGACACTGGTGGTTCACCTCAGGGCAGAGGCGGCGGGCTGGAGGGAGTGGACCGCTGTGACTGCAGGTTGGACAGTGGAATCGATTCTGAGACAGTTGGTTGAGTTAGGGAGTGGGGAGGGGACATTACCCTGGTTGGTGACTTGGTGAGTAGGGAGCTCTGGAGAAAAGGGTGCTGGGTGCAGGAGGCTGACAGTGAGTACAGCTGTGGGTGTGCCAGGCTTGATGAGCCGCTGTGACGTGAAGGGAGTGCTGGGCCAGCTGAGTGACGTAAGAGAAGGTGCTGGTCCCCACTGTGGACCTGGGAATTCCAGGGTTGAGGCAGCACTGATGCTGCCAGCAGGTTGAGATTGTGTGGACGTGGCCAGCCACATCCTACAGCGCTAGTGCTGGGAATGCTCTAATCACTACATGTTGGAGGGAAACCCAACAAAGAACAATATTCGGTTATACATGACAGCTGTCTTCACTGGAACATGGCCTCATGTGTTTAGCAATCACCTGGGATGGAGTGACAGCTGTGATGGGCATGGTACCTGGCTTGTCATTACACCACCCCTGGGTACACTGCAAGGCACAGCTGTGTAGTGCTCTCGATTTTGACTTTGGTCCCTGAGCCTCAGTGCTGCCTTCATAGGAGAGGGATGGTCAAGCCAGGACCCAAGGTCCGAGCTGAGAGCTGGTTGGCTGCACTAAGTGTTAGGAGAGAGATAGCAGTCAGGGGCCAGTCTACACAGCACCCCTGAGGGGCAGGTACTGGTGTGAGAAGCTCCAGAGACTGGGTCCTGGCCTGGCAGTAAAGGCTGTCACGGTGGAAGGCTCTGAGGGTACCTGGAAGGGGAGTGAGCACAGAGAAAGTGGGGGGTTGGAGTCTCGATGAGCCAGGTGGACGCAGTGGGGAGACTGAGGCACAGGGGTGGGCAGGGCTGAGGCATGGAGTAGCAGGAGTGGAGTCTGCTGATTGAGTGAGTGCTGTGAAGTGGTTCAGTAGGACCCGCGTTCACACAGCACCTTGGCAGTGGCCAAGAGGCCAGCGGCCTTTTGTTTGGAGAGGCTGCCTGCGAGGGTCGTGCACCGTCCCGTTCCCGAGTGAAGAACGAAGCTGTGCGTGCTGAGGCTCCGCTGCTGCCTCTGGTGTGGGAGAGTGGCATGACGCTGTCATTTTCGGAGTTATGCCACGGTGGAAAGAGTAGCTTTCAAGGGAAAGGCCACAGATTGAATTTGGGAAGCATTTTTATCTTTTAGGATTGAGATATAATTTTCATGCTGTAAACTTTACCTGTAATTAAATTTTTTCAGTTTATTTACTTGCTTATTTTTAATTTAAGAAAAAGAGCGTGAGAACTTCCATGTAGTAGTTCACTCTCCAAGATGGCCAGGGTAGGGTCAAGGCTGAGGCTGAGGCTGGAGGCCAGGAATGTAATCCAGGTCTCCTGCATGGGCACAGGAACCCAGCTACCTGGGCGGTCACTATTGCTCTCTGGATTTTGTATTAGCAGGAAGTGAAGGCAAGCATCAGATTCAGATACTTCGGTTTGGGATGCTGGGAACATAACCAGCATCTCTGCTGGGCCAGATATCTGCTCCAGAAGTTGCCATTTCAAGGTGTACAATTCCATGTGCGTTTGTTTTTTAAATTCAGTCACAAGGTTGTACAGCCATCAGTCCTGTTTGATTCCAGAACATTTCCATTCAGAAAGAAATCTTGTGTCCATTGCCTGTCAGTTCCCATCTCTACTCTGTCCCGCCTGTGGTAACCACTGGTCTTTCTCCAGATTTGCCGGTTCTGGGCGTTTCATATAAATGGAGTCCTACTGCATGTGACCTTTGAAGGGAGGCTTTCTTTATTTGAGAGACAGGTTTTCTGTTAGCTGGTTTATACCCCAGATGCCCATGGTGGCTGGGGCTGGACCAGCCTGAAGCTGGGAGTCTAGAACACCGTGCAGATCTGCCTTGTGGGTGCTGAGAGCTCAGGTGCTTGGCCATCACCACCATTGCTTAAGGTTGTGCATCAGCAGGGAGCTCAGATCGGACTTGAGGCCAGGCACTGTGATATGGTTGCGGGTGATCCACTGGGCCTCATAACCACTGTGCTGGAGTGTGGCCCATGACTGCCCTGTTTGACTTAGTGTCATGTTGCTGAGTTTTATCCATTTTGTAGCCTGAATCAGAGCTTAGTTCTTTTTTATGGTTGAACAGTGTTCTATATGTGAATGTAACACATTTTAAGTAATGGAAGAGATTAGGAATTCTGGTAATGATTTAGAAGAGGAAAGTCCTGGCCTTGCAGGCTGGGAGGGAGAGACCTTGATCTCTTCTCCACCATCAGCAGTGGTCGAAGGTGTGCGGCAAGAGGTGAGAGAACTTTGAACAGTGTCCCAGGCTGCCCTGCCTGTGGCCTCGTGGAGGGGACCTGTTGGTTTTATTGACTTAGTAGCAGTGAGACTGCACACCTTGGACCTGAGATGTGTGAATCAAAGGGAAAGAACAAATTATAGGATGCTGGGGACAGGTGAAGCTTAGGCCAGCTGTCACTGAACTTGTGTTTTTGATGTGCACAGTACTGAGCAGAGGTTTGCAGAGTGCTTGGCGTCTAGTCTGGATTGCCAAGTGGACGCCACTGTCCGTTTTGCCCACTAGATTTTCCCTATCTCTGGGATGGGAGGAACTATCTCTGTTTAATTCATTGGTGTGTCTTCAGTACCCAGACTAGTGCTGGCGCTAAGTGATTTCATCTGTGTTGGGTGAATGAGGGGGAAGGTGAAGAGTGGGACATGGGGCTGAGCCCAGACAGGCTATTGAACTTGTGGGCAAACTTCCCTGTGGCTGCTGCACCATCCAGGGCTTGAGAGCCCAAGGGGCCACACCATTTGGACTGCTGCAGTGTATTTGTGTCTAGAGCCGCTTGTGTTTGCTCCTTTATGGCAGAATGCTTTCAAGCCAGTCCATGGGGCTAACCAGAGTGCTCACTGACCCAAGTGTTTGGATGGAGACCTGAGCTGGGGGAAGGAGCTTGCTCCTAGAAGGTAACCTCTGCGCTGCAGGTGTTTGTGACACAAGGAGCCATGGACTTTCAGATGCTAGAGTTGCCTTGCCTGCCAGGCTGCATACACTGGTGGGGCTGCTTGCCTTCTGGCTCTGCCGATGCACTCATTGTGACAATCCCTTGCTGTTGTCAGGGTCTCTTCCTGTCCCCCACCCCCTGCCTCCCTGGTCCCTTTCCCTGGTCGCTGCCTTGTCAGTGGCTACTTATTGTCCGGGTCAGCTCTGAGTCCCTTCCTGTCTCAGCTCCAGTAGTCTAGCTTGTATGTTTACGTCTGATCCTAGGTTACTGCCAGGGCCTCTGGCAGCCTCCCTCTCTCTGTTTTCTCCACTGCAGGTCTGCTTCTGGATCCTCCCTGCTGGAGAGCAGTTTTCCTTTCTTAAGAACATTTAGGACTTTTGAGGGCTTTCCGGAGGAGAATGTCCTAATGTTTTTAGAGATTAGGAGGGCCTCAGCATTCCAGCCTTTACCTCCTACTGCTGTGTTTGTCCATCTTCTGCCCTGACCCCCTGGACTAGCAAATGGAAGGCTAGGTCACAAAGTGTTTGGGAAAATGGAATTAAAATACAAATTCATTTTCGTTCAAAAATTTTCAAGTCCATAATTAAAAAAAAAAAACATATTTCTGTGAACTTTTTTGTACCGATCGATATAAACTCATTGTTTTTTTCCTTTTTGAGAGAGACCCTTTGTTGCTAGGCTCCCCGGCCTCCAGGAACGCAGTCCGGAGCCTCCCTGTGAGTGACAGGAACCCAGTTACTTCAGCTGTCGCCGCTGTGCCTCAGGTTACCCAGATCAGGAGCCAGAGCCAGGTGTCCGGCCCAGTCATTTTGATGTGCAATGTGCCTGTCCTAAGTGCTAGGCCAGGTGCCCATCCCTAACCTCATTTTTAAATCCATTTCCCAATCTTTCTGAAGTGTGCTTGTATGCGTTTTGCATTTGTGAATGTCTACTTAATGCACACTGTGGCTAGACAGAATCTTCAGACCTAATGAGCTAGGTGAATTTAGTTTGTAAAAACAAAACAAAACAAAAAAAGAAGATGGGAGCAGTTAACCTTGAGCATTTTGTACAAGCCCCACTAGCCAGTACATTCCTGAATCCTGAAATACTGTGAAAAATTGTGGGATCCTGGAGTGTAAGAGGCCTGAGGGGGTGTGATCAGCTTCAGTCCTGCACAACAGCTTAACGGAGTTAAACACTGACAGTGATTTTTACTCCTCGCTTCCTTTGTGTCCTAGGGAATAACAGAGAGTACCAGCATGGAGAAGAGAGCCGAGGAGAACAGGAAAGGCCTGAGCCGCAGAGAAGTGCCCCCAGCTGTTGGGCTGCTGCTCGTCCTGGCGTTCATGAACCTGCTGCTTTACTTCTGCCTGGATCGGTTTTTTGTTTCTCCTCAACGTTCGGCATTGGACCCCGGCCACTGTCCCTATGGGTACTTCAGAGTGGGACAGATGAAGAACTGCTCCCCGTGGCTGTCTTGTGAGGAGCTGAGGACGGAAGTGAGGCAGTTGAAGCGTGTTGGGGAAGGAGCTGTGAAGAGAGTGAGTTCATGATTGCTTCTGTGATGCCGTCAGAGTGTGCACCTGTGTTAGCTCTGTGAAGAGGTGCGGCTGACTTAGCTCCTCACTTGGCAGGGTGTGGAGACCCCTCAGCCCTGTTGGCTTGGTGTTGGGTGAAGGCAATGGCAACTCGTGGGGCACAAGGGTGGCTTGATTAGCCAGAAATGGAGAGAGATAGGATAAACCCCAGTAACCTAATGAGCCCCTTCCCCATGGCATTTTTAAGCCTCCCCAATTTTTTTTCCCACCCTCTTAGAAGCATTAATACAGGATTTTGGAGTTTACATGTCAAAACTCTTTACATGGAGTTTTGGGGGCCAAATCATACTTAAACCACCAAGCCATAGTCCTTTGAAAAAGCAATTTGATGTTTTATATGGAACATGGAGGTTCCATTAACCCAGTTGTGTCATACCTGGGACTTTATCCTAATAAAAATATGCAAAGCGGGAAAAAGCCAGCTGCGTAAAGGGGTGCTTTTAGAGAACTCGTAACAGTAACTTTAGGAGAATATGCTATGGTGTCACCCCTTAGTGTCTGAGGGCCCCATGTGGCATGATGAAGGCAGTTTTATGATGATCACACAGGATATAGGAGCCACGGTTTGGCAGAGTAATTCCGACTCTGCTTTGGACACCCACATGCCATGTTGGAGTGCCGGGTTCGAGTCCTGCTACTCTGGGTTCTGTTGAGTTTACTGCTGATCATACGCTTGGGAGGCAGTGGAAAGTGGCTTAAATACTTGAGCTGCTGCCATCCACATGAGACACCCAGGTGGAGTTCTAGGTTCCTGACTTCGGCCTGGTCCAATCCGAGCTATTGAGGACACCTGGATCAGTGGAGAGAAAATCTTTCTCAATGTATCTGTCTTTCACACAGAAGTACAATTCAAGGAAAGCAAGCACAGAATTGTGTAGTACACTGTTTTCAACTGCCTGTAGGAAAATACAAAAATGATAGAAATTGTGTTGGGTAAAGGGTTCCATGGGTAATATTTTTCAGAGCCTTATGATAGTGTTATATTGATTTAAAATCTTTATCCCAGAACTCTCTGATTGGTAGCTGTTTCTGTGAGAACTAAGGCCTCCTGGTGCAATGGAGTTGGTGAGTCTGGCAGCTGGATAGAGATGACTGGACACAGCTGCTTGCCAGGACATCCTGACTGGCTGGCATGCGGCTAGGAGGGTGCTAATGGGTTCGTAGCTTTATCCCAGGAGACTGGCACACTAAGGCTGCTCCCCTCGTGTGGGTGGGAAGGAAAGGATTGTATATAAAGTACAACCATGAGCGAGCTAGCTGCTGTTACAAAGACTCACTCCTGCGCTGTAGATGTCAGGGCAGCCTGGAGTCAAACACTAAAGGACATAGAAAACAAGTGTGTGGTTGGTGTTGGTCAGTGACACAGGCAGTGAAGGTGGCTGGGCTGGGACAGAGGAATGGGTTTGTGAGTCAGTGGTCAGGGGAGGACTCTGGCTGCAGCGATGTGAGATGGTCACCAGAGTCCATGGGTTTGGGGGAAGACGAGTGAGAGCAGGCAGGTGTCAGGGGACCGAGAAGGAAGACAGCGTGGGCCAATGGCAGGATAATAAAATCTGCAAATGAAGGAAGAGAAGTGTCAGGTGGGAGCCAGGCACAACGGGCAGCCTTGCAGGGCTGTGGAAGCCCACGGGAGTGATTTCGGAAGAGGAATTTATCTTTTCTAGGGATTATCTTGCCTGCTTTGTGGAGGGTGGGGATTGGTTAGGCCTTTGTAAGTCAGTGAAGAAAGAAGTGAGCAAATGATGGGTTCTGATGTGCAAGGCTACTTGAAAGAGTTTGTGAGCAGGTGGAATCTGTTTTTCTCCTTTTTTTTTTCTTAAAGATTTATTTATTTTTTTATTACAAAGTCAGATAGAGGAGGAGAGACAAAGAGGAAGATCTTCCGTTCGATGATTCACTCCCCAAGTGAGCCCAACGGCTGGTGCTGTGCCGATCCAAAGCCAGGAGCCAGGAGCCTCCTCCAGGTCTCCCACGCGGGTGTAGGGTCCCAAGGCTTTGGGCCATCCTCGACTGCTTTCCTAGGCTACAAGCAGGAAGCTGGATGGGAAGTGGAGCTGCTGGGATTAGAACTGGTGCCCATATGGGATCCCGGCACGTCCAAGGCAAGGACTTTAGCCACTAGCCGTGCTGCCGGGCCTGGGATCTGTTTTTCTTTTAAGATGTATTTATTTGAAAACCATAAGGATAGGGAGAAACAGAGAGGTATTCATCCATTGATTCACTCTCCAAGTGGTTGAGACAGCTAGCTAGGCCAGGCTGAAGCCAGGAGCTCCGTCTTGTTCTCCCACGTGGATGGCAGGGGTTGAAGCGTTAGAGTCATTACTTGTTACCTTTCCAGGCACACTAGCAGGAAGTTAGATTGGAAGCAAAGTTAGCTGAGACTCAAGTTGGCACTCCAGTATGAAATCAGAAACTTCACTTGCTGCACCGTATAGCAGAGGCTCCATTTTTGTGTGTGTGTGTGTGAATGTCTTGAAGATCCCTCTGTGTGTAGTTTTATTTTGTATAAAAATAAACAATTCCACTTTTCTTAGATGTCTTGAAGTACTCTTATGTTCCAAAGGCATTGCCATTGTGACTTCCTAATAGCCTACGTGACAGGATATAAGAGAAAGAATGGGTGACTGCCAGGTTCTGTCTTGGAAGGCCGGAAGGACAGAGCTGGCCTTACCTGAGATGGGAAACTCGGGAGGTGCTGTGTGAGGACTGGAGCAGTAGCTGCACTGAAAGCCGTGCCTGGGAGGGGAGTATGCATTTTGGCATTTGTTGATGTTTCAAGGTGGTGAGGGCATTAGGTCATGACAGCCAAGGAAGGAAGGGGTGTAGTGGCTAGGATAAGGACGTACAACCTGTGTTTTTTTCCTTTAGAAAAGAAAGGTTTATTTTTCCATCTATCTGAAAGGCAGCATGCAGAGAGAAAATCAGTGAGAAAGAACCTGCATTTGGTCACTCCCAAATGCCTTGGACAATCAGGGTTTGGCCAGACAAAAGCCAGGAGTCTAGAACTCCCATCTGGGTCTTTGTGTGGGTGGCAGAGGTACTTGAGCCATCGACTGCACATTAGCAGGGAGTTAAATCACAAGGGGAGAGGCCAGGACTTTAACCAGCACTCTGATGTATGCTGGTGTCCAATGGAGCTTAATATGCAGCACTACAGTACCTGCCCCTAGCCCATGATTTCCTTCTCCAAAGGGTGACCTTGAGGGTTGCCCCTGTGTTGTCATAATTGCTTAGAACACTTTTGGGATTTGTTAGATTACTTTTCTTTAAAAAAAAGAAATTTATTTATTTATTTTATTGGAAAGGCAGATATACAGAGTGAAGGAGAGACAAAGAGACAGAACTTCCATCTGCTGGTTCCCTGCCCAAGTAGCTGCAGTGGCTGGAGCTGAGCCCATCTGAAGCCAGGAGCCTTTTCTGGGTCTCCCACGAGGGTGCAGGGTCCCAAGGCTTTGGACCGCCATCTACTGCTTTTCCATGCCACAAGCAGGAAGCTGAATGGGAAGTAGAGCAGCTGGGATAGGAATCCGGTGCATATTAAGCAAAGATTTCAGACTTTAGCTAGTAGGCTTCTGTGCTGGGCCTTCAAGCAATAATTTTTTTTTTCGATTATTTTTATTGGAAAGTCAGATTTTTACAGAGAGAAGGAAAGACAGAGAGAAAGATCTTCCATCTGCTGGCTCACTTCCCAAGTGGCCACAATGGCCAGTGCTGAGCCATACTGAAGCCAGGAGCCAGGAACTTCTTCTGAGTTTTTAACAAGGATACAGGGTCCCAAGGCTTTGGGCTATCTTCAACTGCTTTTCCAGGCTGCAAACAGGGAGCTGGATGGGAAATGGAGCAGCCAGGATAGAAACTGGAACCCATATAGGATCCTGGTGCATGCAAGGTGAGGACTTTAGCCACTAGGTAGCAGACCCCCCCAGGCAGTTTTTTTTTTTAGATTTATTTATTTATTTTTTATTACAAAGTCAGATATACAGAGAGGAGGAGAGACAGAGAGGAAAGTCTTCCGTCCAATGGTTTACTCCCCAATTGTCTGCAACGGTCAGTGCTATGCTGATCGGGAGCCAGGAGCCAGGAACTTTCTCCAAGTTTCTCATGCAGGTGCAGGGTTCCAAAGCACTGGGCCATCCTTGACTGCTTTCCCAGGCCATAAGCAGGAGCTGGATGGGAAGCAGGCCTGCCGGGATTAGAACTGGCACCCATATGGGATCCCAGTGCGTTAGGCCACCACACCGGGCTCTATAAACAAAATTCTTGCCATTCCAGTCTGGTCTCCCGTAGCCTGGTGTTTGGCTCCACTGCCTTTGCCCTTCCTGGTCTGGTCATCCTGTCTTTGCTGGCCACTCATGCAGTGGGTAATGATCCACTTCCCTCTCACTGCCCTTTTGGCTCTGTCTCTCCATCACGCCTGACTGGAGCAACCCCACACATATTTTAACCCAGCTGGGTACCTGTCCTATGTGAATTATGCTGAAGAGAGGGAAATCCCACAACCACACAATTTCAATGCTTCACCACAAATCTCAGCCATGCACTCAGCATAGCCACTCGCCCTTGCTTCCTGAATTATGAAAACAGAGGCCACCCCAAGGGCGTGTCTCCTTCTTCCAGTCACTGGATCTGTGAGCCCAGCAGCTCAGTTACCCTCCCTGATTTCTCATGTCACTCATTTAAGCTATGCCCTCTGTGTTGAGCAGCAGGTCTTTCCACCCCATGCAGCACTCCTATTGGTGTATGCAGGCAAAGGGCCAGACGTTTGGCCCAGCAGTTGGGACTCATGTGTTGTATATCGAAGTGCTAGGGTTTGGTGTCCTGGATTCAGTCCCGATTCCAGCCTTTGCTAATGTGCACCCTGGGATGGCTCTGGCTCAGATAGCTGGCTTCTATCCCACACATAGAAGACAGCTTGAGCTGGTCTATAAGGAGTGAACCAGCCA